TGGGACCCCAAACTGGGACCCCAAACCCCAAACTGGGACCCCAAACTGGAACCCCAAACCCCAAACTGGGACCCCAAACTGGGACCCCAAACCCCAAACTGGGACCCCAAACCCCAAACTGGGACCCCAAACTGGGACCCCAAACCCCAAACTGGGACCCCAAACTGGGACCCCAAACCCCAAACTGGGACCCCAAACTGGGACCCCAAACCCCAAACTGGGACCCCAAACTGGGACCCCAAACCCAAACTGGGACCCCAAACTGGGACCCCAAACCCCAAACTGGGACCCCAAACCCAAACTGGGACCCCAAACTGGGACCCCAAACTGGGACCCCAAACCCAAACTGGGACCCCAAACTGGGACCCCAAACTGGGACCCCAAACTGGGACCCCAAACCCCAAACTGGGACCCCAAACCCAAACTGGGACCCCAAACTGGGACCCCAAACCCCAAACTGGGACCCCAAACCCCAAACCGGGACCCCCAAACCCAAACTGGGACCCCAAACTGGGACCCCAAACCCCAAACTGGGACCCCAAACCCAAACTGGGACCCCCAAACCCAAACTGGAACCCCAAACCCCAAACTGGGACCCCAAACTGGGACCCCAAACCCAAACTGGGACCCCAAACTGGGACCCCAAACCCAAACTGGGACCCCAAACTGGGACCCCAAACCCAAACTGGGACCCCAAACTGGGACCCCAAACTGGGACCCCAAACCCAAAACTGGGACCCCAAACTGGGACCCCAAACCCAAACTGGGACCCCAAACTGGGACCCCAAACCCCAAACTGGGACCCCAAACTGGGACCCCAAACCCAAACTGGGACCCCAAACTGGGACCCCAAACTGGGACCCCAAACCCAAACTGGGACCCCAAACTGGGACCCCAAACCCCAAACTGGGACCCCAAACTGGGACCCCAAACTGGGACCCCAAACCCAAACTGGGACCCCAAACTGGGACCCCAAACTGGGACCCCAAACTGGGACCCCAAACCCAAACTGGGACCCCAAACCCAAACTGGGACCCCAAACTGGGACCCCAAACCCAAACTGGGACGCCAAACCCCAAACTGGGACCCCAAACTGGAACCCCAAACTGGGACCCCAAACCCAAACTGGGACCCCAAACCCCAAACTGGGACCCCAAACTGGAACCCCAAACCCCAAACTGGGACCCCAAACTGGGACCCCAAACCCCAAACTGGGACCCCAAACCCCAAACTGGGACCCCAAACCCCAAACTGGGACCCCAAACCCAAACTGGGACCCCAAACTGGGACCCCCCCCCCCGTTACCGATCGCCGCCTCCCGTTGCCGGAGGAGGATGAGGCGGATGAGGCGGATGAGGCTGAAGGCCGGAACGCGCCCTGAGGGGATCCGCGGTGCTGCCCCGGCCGGAACGCTCCGCCTCCACCGCCAAATGGCGGCTGAGCCTCCCCCTCCTCTCCGCCCTCACCGAGACCCCCCCAAAACCCCCCCCGGGCCCTCCTCCCGCCGCTCCGCCGCTCCCTCGGGGCTCACGGGAAATGGAGTCCGCTCCTGAGGGGAGACGCCGGCAAATGGCGGCGGCGGCGGCGAGCGCCTGGATCTCGCGAGAGCGCAATGCGTCTGAATGGGAGCTCTCGCGAGATCTCGCGGCACGCCCTCCTTCTCCTCCTCTCAGCTCCTCCCGCCTTTCCCGCCCCTCTCAAATCACGCGAGAGCGCCTATTCAAACGAATTACAATCTCGCGAGATCTCGCGGCTCGACCGACTTCTCCCTCCCCTCAGCTCCTCCCGCCTTTCCCGCCCCTCTCAAATCTCGCGGGAGCTCCCATTCAGACGAACTGCGATATCGCGAGATCTCACGGCCCGATCGTCTCCTCCCCTCAGCTCCTCCCGCCTTTCCCGCCCCTCTCACATCTCGCGAGAGCTTCCATTCAGACGCACTGCGATCTCGCGAGATCTCGAAGCCCGCGCTGCTCCTCCTCCTCCCCGCTCAGCTCCTCCCGCCTTTCCCGCCCTTCTCAAATCTCGCGAGAGCGTAATGCGTCTGAATGGGAGCTCTCGCGAGATCTCGGGGGCCGCCTTCCTTCTCCTCCTTCCCTCAGCTCCTCCCGAGTTTCCCGCCCCTCTCAAATCTCGCGAGAGCGCAATGCATCTGAATAGGAGGCCCCGCGAGATCTCGCGGCCCGACCGACTTCTCCCTCCCCTCAGCTCCTCCCGAGTTTCCCGCCCCTCTCAAATCACGCGAGAACTCCCATTCAGACGCATTGCGGTCTCGCGAGATCTCTCGGCCCGAACCTCCTCCTCCTCCCCTCAGCTCCTCCCGCCTTTCGCCTTGGCCGCCCCTCTTAAATCTCGCGAGAACTCCCATTGAAGCGCATCGAGATCTCGCGATATCGCCTTTCTTTGTCCCCCCCACTCCATCCTCTTGCCAGCCCTCCCGCCACTCCAAATCTCGCGAGATCTTCCATTGAATCGAGTTGTTTGGACCCCATTCACTCCGTCTCCCGCGCTCCAAGTCTCGCGAGAGCTCAGCGCGTTTGAATGGGCGCTCTCGCGAGATCTCCGCCCTCCCCTGCCCTTCCTCGCCTCCTCCCCTCGCTGCTCCGTCCCGCCCTCCCGCCACACGAAGTCTCGCGAGATCGTCCTGCTTCTCTACGAGCGCTCTCGCGAGATTTTAACACCCGCACGAACTGAGGCTTTTCTCTCGCTCCCGCCTCCTTCCCGCTCTTTGTGCAAGTCTCGCGAGATTGCCGTCCGTCTCAATGAATGTTCTCGCGATATTTCTCCCCCGCCTTTCCATCATCCCCCCCCTTTCCTCCCCTCCCAAGTCTCGCGAGATCCTTAACATTTGGATTGAAACTCTCGCGAGATTCCGGTTCTATTCCCCCGCCCTTTCCCGCCTCTCCCTTGAGCTCTCGCGAGATTTCAAGCGCGGAGAGGGAGCCCGATTGGTCGCTGAGACCACGCCCCTTTATGGGCGTGGCTTACGATGGGAGGCGTGACCAGCCCGTTACGTCATTTCCCGGCTGCTCCGCGCCCTCACTTCCGGTCTGGAGGCCGCCATCTTGGATCCACGGCCACGTGGGACACTGCGCGCCGCCATCTTGGCCCCCTGGGCGCCGCCATCTTAGACTGCCGCGGAGGATTATGGGATTGGCCCCCTGCGCATTCCCCCCCCCCCCAAAAAAAAATTCCCGGAAAATTTTTGGGATTTTCGAACCTTTTTTTATCCAAACGGAGCCGAAACGGGGCAGAAACACAAAAAAATTCCCCAAATTTGGCCCCAAAACGCGCGCGGGGGGGAGGGGGGGGGGGAGGAGAGGGGCGCCAAAGGTCAGTTGGGCACACCTGGGGGCACCTGGGGGCACCTGGGCCCACCTAGGAACTCACCTGGGCACACCTGGGCACACCTGAGGGATATTTTGGGCACACCTGGGGGCACACCTGGGCACACCTGGGGGCACCCCAATGATTTTAGGGGGTCCCGAGGCCTCCCCCATGTCCCAGGGGTGCTCCAGGTGAGCTCAGGTGTGCCCAGGTAACCCCCAGCTGTGCCCCTATCAGCACTCAGGTGTGCCCAGGTCTGTTCCCAGGTACCCCCAGGTGTGCCCAGGTGTGTCCCTAATAGCACCCAGGTGTGCCCAGGTGTGTGCCCAGGTGCCCCCAGGTGCCCCCAGGTGTGCCTAGGTGACCCCAGGTGCGCCCAGATGTCCCCAGGTGTATCCCAGGTGCCCCCAGGTGAGCTCCCAGGTGTGCCCAGGTGAGGGCCCAGGTGCCCCCAGGTGCCCCCAGGTGTGCCTAGGTGACCCCAGACGCCTCCAGGTCTATGCCAGGAGTGCCCAGGTGTGCCCAGGTGTATCCCAGGTACCCCCAGGTGAGCTCCCGGGTGCCCCCAGGTGTACCCAGGTGTGCCCAGGTGTGTCAGAGGCATATCCCAGGTGTGCCCAGGTGTGCCCAGGTGTATCCCAGGTACGCCTATGGGCTCAGGTGAGTGCCCAGGAGCCCCCACCTGTGCCCAGGTGTGCCCAGGTCTATCCCAGGTGTGCCCAGATGTCCCCAGGTGAGCTCCTGGGTGCCCCCAGGAGTGCCCAGGTGTATCCCAGATACCCCCGAGTGTGCCCAGGTACCCCCAGGTGTGCCCAGGTCTATCCCAGGTACCCCCAGGTGAATGCCCAGGTACCCCCAGGTCTATCTCAGATACCCCCAGGTCTATCCCAGGTGTGCCCCAGGTACCCCCGAGTGTGCCCAGGTGCGCCCAGATGTCCCCAGGCCTATGCCAGACACCCCCAGGTGAACTCCTGGATGCCCCCAGGTGTGCCCAGGTGACCCCAGGTGTCTCCCAGGTGAGTGCCCAGGAGTGTCCATGTGTGCCCAGGTGCCCCCAGGTGTGCCCAGGTGAGTTCCCAGGTGTGCCCAGGTCTATCCCAGGTGCCCCCAGGAGTGCCCAGGACTATCCCAGGTACCCCTAGGGGCTCAGGTGAGTGCCCAGGTCTATCCCAGGTCTATCCCAGGTGTATCCCAGGTACTCCCAGGTCCCCCCAGGTGCCCCCAGGTGTGCCCAGGTGCCCCCAGGTGCGCCCAGATGTCCCCAGGTGTATCCCAGGTGCCCCCAGGTGAGCTCCCAGGTGTGCCCAGGTGAGGGCCCAGGTGCCCCCAGGTGCCCCCAGGTGTGCCCAGGTGCCCCCAGGTGTGCCCAGGTGTGTCAGAGGCATATCCCAGGTGCCCCCAGGTGCCCCCAGGTGAGTTCCCAGGTGCCCCCAGGTGCGCCCAGGTACTCCCAGGTGCCCCCAGGTGAGTTCCCAGGTGCCCCCAGGTGAGCCCAGCTGTGCCCAGGTACCCCCAGGTGCCCCAGGTGTGCCCAGGTGTGCCCAGGTGTGCCCAGGTGTGCCCAGGTGCGCCCAGGTGCCCCCAGGTGTGCCCAGGTGTGCCCAGGTGAGTGCCCAGGAGCCCCCAGGAGTGCCCAGGTGACCCCAGGCGCCTCCAGGTCTATCCCAGGTGCCCCCAGGTGCGCCCAGGTGTGCCCAGGTGTATCTGAGGTGCCCCAGGTGTGCCCAGGTGTGTCACAGGAAGTAGTCGGCCACGGGTTTCTTGGCGGGGATGCCGCGCGTCTCCTGCGGCGCCGCCTCGAAGATGATGAACTCCTTCTGCAGGTGCTCGTCCAGCTCCAAGATGGCCGCCACGTTCCCGCACCTGCCGGCAGGTACGTCTCGTTTGCATCTCGTTTGCATCTCATTTGCATCTCATTTGCATCTCATTAGTCAGGTTTTTGGGGGCTTTAGCCCATTCCCACCTGCCCGCCTCACCTGAGGACGCTGGTCCCACCTGACTGCACTGGCTCCGCCCCCTTTGTGTCTCAATCCTCATTTGCATCTCATTTGCATCTCATTTGTTGGTTTTAAGGGGGTTTTTACTGACCCGCCCACCTGCCCGGCTCACCTGGGGACCCCAAACCCAGCCCAGCCTCACCCCCTTGGCATTACTCATTTGCATCTCATTTGCATATTGTTTGCCGCTCATTTGCATCTCATTTGCATCTCAATTGTTGGTTTTAGGGGGTGTTTAACTGACCTGCCCACCTGCCCGACTCACCTGGGGACCCCGGTCCCACCTGACTGTCCTGGCTCCGCCTCCTTAGTGTTACTCATTTGCATCTAATTTCCATCTAATTTGCATCTCATTTGCATCTCATTTCTTGGTTTTAAGGGAGTTTTTACTGACCCGCCCACCTGCCCAGCTCACCTGGGGAGCCCAAACCCAACCCAGCCCCACCCCCTTGGTGCTACTCGTTTGCATCTCATTTACACCTCATTTGCATCTCATTTACATCTCATTTGTTGGTTTTAAGGGGTGTTTTTACTGACCCGCCCACCTGCCTGCCTCACCTGGGGACCCCAAACCCAGCCCGGCCTCAGCCCCTTAGTGTTACTTGTTTGCATCTCATTTGCATCACATTTGCATATTATTTGCATCTCATTTCCCCTCTTTTGTGGGTTTTTAGCCCATTCCCACCTGCCCGGCTCATCTGGGGACCCCAAACCCAGCCCGGCCCCACCTGACTGCCCCAGCTCCGCCCCCTTAGTGTTACTCATTTGCATCTCATTTGCATCTCATTTGCACCTCCTTTGCATCTCATTTGTTGGTTTCAGGGGGTTTTTACTGACCTGCCCACCTGCCCGGCTCACCTGGGGACTCCAAACTCAGCCCAGCCCCACCTGAGTGCCCTGGCTCCGCCCCCTTGGTGTTACTCATTTGCATCTCATTTGCATCTCATTTGCATCTCATTTGCATCCCATTTGTTGGTTTTAACAGGGGGTGTTTAACTGACCTGCCCACCTGCCCGGCTCACCTGGGGACCCCAAACCCAGCCCAGTCCCACCCCATTTGTGTTACTCATTTGCATCTCATTTGCATATTGTTTGCAGCTCATTTGCATCTCATTTGCATCCCATTTGCATGCCTTTTGCATCCCATTTGCATGCCATTAGCCATTTTCCAATAGGGTTTTTGCCCACTCTTGCCTGACCCACCTGTGCCCCCCCCAGCCCCAATTTGCATCTCATTTGCATCTCATTGGGTGGTTTATGGGGGTTTAGCACATCCTCACCTGCAGCTCCCAACCCCTCCTGCACCCTACCTGATATTTGCATCTCATTTGCATCTCATTAAGCGCTCCCGGCGGGTTTTTAGCACGTTCTCACCTGCCCAGCTCACCTGGGGCTGCAGGTAGAGCCCAGCGCCGGCCCAGACCCCCCTGAACCTCAGTGAACTGTGGCTAATTAGCACCTCATTAGCATCTAATTAGCATCTCATTAGCATAGGGGCTCCAGCTCCACCCTCCCATTTATCTCCAGAGCCGCTCACCTGGGCCCCATCAGGTCCTGTACAGGTGTGCCCAAACCCCACCTGTCCTTTAATGAACTCCCAGGTAACTCCCAATTAATTATGCTTAATTAGCATCTGATTAGCATACCAGTAGCACTAATTAGACACTGGTTCCACCCTCCCATTTATCTCCACAGCCGCTTACCTGGGCCCCATCAGTTCCTGTACAGGTGTGCCCAAACCCCACCTGTCCCTCTTAGAAACCCCATATAATTACCATCTAATTAACATGTAATTAGCATCTCATTAGCATAACATCAGCACTAATTGGACCGTATTTCCACCCTCCCATTCATCTCCAGAGCCGCTCACCTGGGCCCCATCAGGTCCTGCACAGGTGTGCCCAAACCCCACCTGGTCTCCATCAACTCCCAGGTAACTCCCAATTAATTATGCATAATTAGCATCTCATTAGCATACCGGTAGCGGTAATTAGACCCCATTTCCACCCTCCCACCCCTGTCCAGAGCCGCTCACCTGGGCCCCATCAGTTCCTGTACAGGTGTGCCCAAACCCCACCTGTACCTCTTAGAAACCCCACATCATTACCATCTAATAAACACCTAATTAGCATCTCATTAGCATACAGGCAGCACTAATTGAGCCCCATTTCCACCCTCCCATTCATCTCCAGAGCCGCTCACCTGGGCCCCATCTGTTCCTGTACAGGTGTGCCCAAACCACACCTGGTCTCCATCAACTCCCACGTGCCTCCCAATTAATTATGCATAATTAGCATCTGATTAGCATACCGGTAGCAGTAATTAGGCGCGGACCAGACGGTGAGCACGGTCTCCCCGAAGTGCCACTTGTGGCCCTCCATGACCAGGTGTCCCCAAAGCCCACCTGAGCCCCAGGTAACCCCCAGGTAACCTCTGGCAATGTACCACTAATTAACACCTAATTAGCATCTCATTAGCATACCATCAGCACTAATTGGACCCCATTTCCACCCTCCTACCTCCATCCACAGCCGCTCACCTGGGCCCCATCAGTTCCTGTACAGGTGTGCCCAAACCCCACCTGCACCTCTTAGAAACCCCACATAATTACCATCTAATTAACATGTAATTATCATATCATTAGCATACAATCAGCACTAATTGGGCCCCATTTCCACCCTCCTACTCCTGTCCAGAGCTGCTCACCTGGGCCCCATCAGTTCCTGTACAGGTGTGCCCAAACCCCACCTGTACCTCTTAGAAACCCCACGTAATTACCACCTAATTAACATGTAATTAGCATCTCATTAGCATACAATCAGCACTAATTAGACCGTATTTCCAACCTCCTACCTCCATCCAGAGCCGCTCACCTGGGCCCCATCAGTCCCTGTACAGGTGTGCCCAAACCCCACCTGTCCTTTAATGAACTCCCACATAACTCCCAATTAATTACGCTTAATTAGCATCTGATTAGCATACCGGTAGCAGTAATTAGGCGCGGACCAGACGGTGAGCACGGTCTCGCCGAAGTGCCACTTGTAGCCCTCCATGACCAGGTGTGCCCAAAGCCCACCTGAGCCCCAGGTAACCCCCAGGTAACCTCTGGCAATGTGCCACTAATTAACACTTAATTAGCATCTCATTAGCATACCGGTAGCAGTAATTAGACACTGGTTCCACCCTCCCATTTATCTCCAGAGCCGCTCACCTGAGCCCCATCAGTTCCTGTACAGGTGTGCTCAAACCACACCTGCTCTGCAATCAACTCCCAATTAATTACGCCTAATTAGCATCTGATTAGCATACCGGTAGCAGTAATTAGGCGCGGACCAGACGGTGAGCACGGTCTCGCCGAAGTGCCACTTGTGGCCCTCCATGACCAGGTGTCCCCAAAGCCCACCTGAGCCCCAGGTAACCCCCAGGTAACCTCTGGCAATGTGCCACTAATTAAAACTTAATTAGCATCTCATTAGCATACTAAAAGCACTAATTGGATCCCATTTCCACCCTCCCATTTATCTCCAGAGCCGCTCACCTGGGCCCCATCAGTTCCTGTACAGGTGTGCCCGAACCCCACCTGTCCCTCATAGAACTGCCATGCAATTAACACCTAATTAGCATGTAATTCGCATCTCATTAGCATAAAATCAGCACTAATTGGACCCCATTTCCAACCTCCTACCTCCATCCAGAGCCGCTCACCTGGGCCCCATCAGTTCCTGTACAGGTGTGCCCAAACCCCACCTGGTCTCCATCAACTCCCATGTGACTCCCAATTAATTATGCCTAATTAGCATCTCATTAGCATACCGGCAGCACTAATTAGACACTGGTTCCACCCTCCCATTTATCTCCAGAGCCGCTCACCTGGGCCCCATCAGTTCCTGTACAGGTGTGCCCAAACCCCACCTGCTCTCCATCAAGTCCCAGGTAATTCCCCATTAATTACACTTAATTAGCATCTCATTAGCATACCAGTAGCAGTAATTAGACAATGGTTCCACCCTCCCATTCATCCCCAGAGCCGCTCACCTGGGCCCGATTAGTTCCTGTACAGGTGTGCCCAAACCCCACCTGCACCTCTTAGAAACCCCACATAATTACCACCTAATAAACACCTAATTAGCATCTCATTAGCATACCGGCAGCAGTAATTAGACACTGGTTTCACCCTCCCATTTATCTCCAGAGCCGCTCACCTGGGCCCCATCAGTTCCTGTACAGGTGTGCCCAAACCCCACCTGAACATCATAGAACTGCCATGTAATTAACACCTAATTAGCATGTAATTAGCATCTCATTAGCATACAATCAGCACTAATTGGACCCCATTTCCACCCTCCTACCTCCATCCACAGCCGCTCACCTGAGCCCCATCAGTTCCTGTACAGGTGTGCCCAAACCCCACCTGTACCTCTTAGAAGCCCCACGTAATTACCACCTAATAAACACTTAATTAGCATGTAATTAGCATACTAATAGCACTAATTATACACTGGTTCCATCCTCCTACTCCTGTCCAGAGCCGCTCACCTGAGCCCCATCAGTTCCTGTACAGGTGTGCCCAAACCCCACCTGCTCTATAATGAACTCCCACGTGCCTCCTGATTAATTATGCATAATTAGCATCTCATTAGCATACCGGTAGCAGTAATTAGACACTGGTTCCACCCTCCCATTTATCTCCAGAGCCGCTCACCTGGGCCCCATCAGGTCCTCTACAGGTGTGCCCAAACCCCACCTGTACCTCTTAAAAACCCCACATAATTACCATCTAAAATACACCTAATTAGCATCTCATTAGCATACCGGGAGCACTAATTGGATGCCATTTCCACCCTCCCAATCCTGCCCAGAGCCGCTCACCTGGGCCCCATCAGTTCCTGTACAGGTGTGCCCAAACCCCACCTGCTCTATAATGAACTCCCACGTGCCTCCTGATTAATTATGCATAATTAGCATCTCATTAGCATACCGGTAGCAGTAATTAGGCGCGGACCAGACGGTGAGCACGGTCTCGCCGAAGTGCCACTTGTAGCCCTCCATGACGAGCTGGTGGGCGCGGCAGATCATGGACACCTCGTTGGCGGCGTTGAACTGCGCCACGACATCGGAACCGAACAGGTAACCCGCGCCCCGGGGGGACACGCCCCAGCCTGTGGTGTCTGACAGGTGAGACAGGTGAGATCACACAGGTGAGACAGGTGAGATCACACAGGTGAGATCACACAGGTGAGATCACACAGGTGAGATCACACAGGTGAGACAGGTGAGATCACACAGGTGAGGTCACACAGGTGAGACAGGTGAGATCACACAGGTGAGACAGGTGAGATCACACAGGTGAGATCACACAGGTGAGATCACACAGGTGAGATCACACAGGTGAGACAGGTGAGATCACACAGGTGAGGTCACACAGGTGAGACAGGTGAGATCACACAGGTGAGACAGGTGAGATCACACAGGTGAGGTCACACAGGTGAGACAGGTGAGATCACACAGGTGAGATCACACAGGTGAGATCACACAGGTGAGACAGGTGAGATCACACAGGTGAGACAGGTGAGATCACACAGGTGAGGTCACACAGGTGAGACAGGTGAGATCACACAGGTGAGACCCCGCACAGGTAACCCGCGCCCCGGGGGGACACGCCCCAGCCCGTGGTGTCTGACAGGTGAGACAGGTGAGGTCACACAGGTGAGATCACACAGGTGAGACAGGTGAGATCACACAGGTGAGATCACACAGGTGAGATCACACAGGTGAGACAGGTGAGATCGCACAGGTTAGATCACACAGGTGAGGTGGATTCAGGTGATTTTTGGGGCCAATTTACTGAATTTTAGGGTAAAATCTCAACGATTTTGGGGATTTTTTTGGGGTTTTTCCAACCCACACCTGTGCCTCACCTGTCCCTCACCTGTCACTCACCTGTGCCTCACCTGTCCCTCACCTGTCACTCACCTGTGCCTCACCTGTCCCTCACCTGTCACTCACCTGTGCCTCACCTGTCCCTCACCTGTCACTCACCTGTGCCTCACCTGTCCCTCACCTGTCACTCACCTGTGCCTCACCTGTCCCTCACCTGTCACTCACCTGTGCCTCACCTGTCCCTCACCGTGCACAATTCAGGTGATTTTTGGGGCCATTCAGGAGATTTTTGGGGCCAATTTACTGAATTTTGGGGTAAAACCTCGGGGATTTGGGGATTTTTTTCGGGGTTTTTTCCACCCCACACCTGTGCCAGGTGTGCCAGGTGAGTGCCCAGGTGTGCCAGGTGGGTGTCCAGGTGTGTCCAGGTGTGCCAGGTGTGCCTCATCATGGACAATTCAGGTGATTTTTGGGGCCCATTCAGGTGATTTTTGGGGCCAATTCAGATAATTTTGAGGTAAAACCTCGGGGATTTTAGGATTTTTTCGGGGATTTTTGTGTCCCTCACCTGTCCCTCACCATGAACATTTTAAGGAATTTTTGGGGCTAATTCAGGTAATTTTTGGGGCTAATTCAGGTAATTTTTGGGGCCCATTCAGTGAATATTGGGGCCCATTCAGGTGATTTTTGGGGCCAATTCAGTGAATTTTGGGGTAAAACCATGGGGATTTTGGGATTTTTTCGGGGTTTTTTGCGTCCCTCACCTGTCCCTCACCTGTGCCTCACCTGTACCTCACCTGTCCCCACCTGTGCCTCACCTGTGCCTCACCTGTCCCTCATCATGAACAATTCAGGTGATTTTTGGGGCCAATTCAGAGAATTTTGGGGTAAAACCTCGGGGATTTTGGGATTTTTGGGGGTTTTTTTGCATCCCACACCTGTGCCTCTCCATGGAGAATTCAGGTGAATTTTGGGATAAAATCTCGGGGATTTGGGGATTTTTTCGGGGATTTTCGTATCCCACACCTGTGGCTCACCTGTCCCTCATCATGGATAATTCAGGTGAATTTTGGGGCCCATTCAGGTGATTTTTGGGGCCCATTCAGTGAATTTTGGGGTAAAACCTCGGGGATTTTGGGATTTTTTCGGGGTTTCTGTAACCCACACCTGTCCCTCACCTGTGCCTCACCTGTCCCTCATCATGGACCATTCAGATAATTTTTGGGGCCAATTCAGTGAATTTTGGGGTAAATTCTCAAGGATTTTTGGGATTTTTTGGGTTTTTTGCACCCCACACCTGTGCCTCACCTGTGCCCAGGTGTGCCCACCTGTCCCACACCTGTGCCTCACCTGTCCCTTACCTGTCCCTCATCATGAACAATTCAGGTAATTTTTGGGGCCAATTCAGTGAATTTTGGGGTAAAACCTCGGGGATTTTGGGATTTTTTTGGGGTTTTTTGTGGCCCACACCTGTGCCAGGTGTGCCAGGTGTGACCAGGTGTGCCCAGGTGTGCCAGGTGTGCCCAGGTGAGTGCCCAGGTGTGCCCAGGTGTACCCAGGTGTGCCCAGGTGTGCCCAGGTGTGCCCAGGTGTGCCTCATCATGGACAATTCAGGTGATTTTTGGGGCCAATTCAGTGAATTTTGGGATAAAACCACAGGGATTTTGGGGATTTTTCCGGGGTTTTTTGCATCCCACACCTGTCCCTTACCTGTGCCTCACCTGTCCCTCACCTGTGCCTCACCATGGACAATTCAAGTGATTTTTGGGGCCCATTCAGGTAATTTTTGGGGCCCATTCAGTGAATATTGGGGCCCGTTCAGGTGATTTTTGAGGCCCATTCAGTGAATTTTGGGGTAAAACCTCGGGGATTTTGGGATTTTTTGGGTGTTTTTTCCACCCCACACCTGTGCCAGGTGAGTGACCAGGTGAGTGCCCAGGTGTGCCCAGGTGTGCCAGGTGTGCCTCATCATGGACAATTCAGGTGATTTTTGGGGCCAATTCAGTGAATTTTGGGGTAAAACCTCGGGGATTTGGGGATTTTTTTTGGGTTTTTTGCACCCCACACCTGTGCCTCACCTGTGCCCCACCTGAGCTCAGCTGTCTCTCACCTGTGCCTCACCTGTCCCTCACCTGTCCCTCACCATGGACAATTCAGGTGATTTTTGGGGCCAATTTACTGAATTTTAGGGTAAAACCTCGGGGATTTTGGGATTTTTTGGGGATTTTTGCAACCCACACCTGTGCCTCACCTGTCCCACACCTGTCTCTTACCTGTCCCTCTCCGTGCACAATTCAGGTGATTTTTGAGGCCAATTCAGTGAATTTTGGGGCCCATTCAGGTGATTTTTGGGGCCAATTTACTGAATTTTGGGGTAAAACCTCGGGGATTTTGGGATTTTTTCGGGGCTTTTTGCACCCCACACCTGTGCCAGGTGTGCCCAGGTGAGTGCCCAGGTGTGCCCAGGTGTGCCAGGTGTGCCTAATCATGGACAATTCAGGTGATTTTTGGGGCCCATTCAGGAGATTTTTGGGGCCAATTCAGAGAATTTTGGGGCCCATTCAGGTGATTTTTGAGGCCAATTTACTGAATTTTGGGGTAAAACCTCGGGGATGTTGGGATTTTTTGGGGGTTTTTGCACCCCACACCCGTGCCAGGTGTGCCAGGTGTGCCCAGGTGTGCCCAGGTGTGCCCAGGTGAGTGCCCAGGTGTGCCCAGGTGTGCCCAGGTGTGCCCAGGTGTGCCAGGTGTGCCCAGGTGAGTGCCCAGGTGTATCCCAGGTGTGCTCAGGTGAGTGCCCAGGTGTGCCCAGGTGAGTGCCCAGGTGTGCCCAGGTGTGCCCAGGTGTGCCAGGTGTGCCTCATCATGGACAATTCAGGTGATTTTTGGGGCCCATTCAGTGAATTTTGGGGTAAAACCTCAACGATTTTTGGGATTTTTTGGGGTTTTTTTGCATCCCTCACCTGTGCCTCACCTGTGCCTCACCTGTCCCTCACCATGAACATTTTAAGGAATTTTTGGGGCCAATTCAGTGAATTTTGGGGTAAAACCTCGGGGATTTGGGGATTTTTTGGGGGTTTTTGCAACCCTCACCTGTGCCTCACCTGTGCCTCACCCGTGCCTCACCTGTCCCTCACCTGTCCCTCACTTGTCCTCACCTGTGCCTCACCTGTGCCTCACCTGTGCCTCACCTGTCCCTCACCATGAACAATTCAGGTGAGTTTTGGGGCCCATTCAGGTGATTTTTGAGGCCAATTTACTGAATTTTAGGGTAAAATCTCAACGATTTTTGGGAATTTTTTTTGGTTTTGTTGCATCCCTCACCTGTCCTCACCTGTCCCTCACTGTGAACAATTCAGGTGATTTTTGGGGCCAATTCAGTGAATTTTGGGGTAAAACTGTGAGGATTTGGGGATTTTTTGGGGTTTTATGTATCCCTCACCTGTGCCTCACCTGAGCTCACCTGTGCCTCACCATGGAGAACTCAGGTGATTTTTGGGGCCAATTCAGTGAATTTTGGGGTAAAACCACGGGGATTTGGGGATTTTTCCGGGGTTTTTTCCACCCCACACCCGTGCCAGGTGTGCCAGGTGTGCCCAGGTGTGCCAGGTGTGCCCAGGTGTGCCCAGGTACCTTCGGGGTCGGACCAGAGCAGGTCGCACATGGGGCCGTCGTGCGGCACCTCCTGTTTGCGGTCGATGGTGCGGATCTGGTCCAGGGTCTGGATGGACGGCGAGAGGCCCCCGTGCACGCAGAAAATCTGGGAATTCGGGACATTTTGGGGTGTTTTGGGGCGTTTTCGGGGATTTGGGGGGATTTGGGGGATTTTGGGAACATTTGGAACATTTTGGGACATTTTGGGACATTTGGGGGATTTGGGATGGGCGGGGTCTGGATGGATGGGGAGAGGCCCCCGTGCATGCAGAAAATCTGCAAATTCGGGCATTTTGGGGCATTTTCGGGGGATTTGGGACATTTTGGAACAATTTGGGACATTTGGGACATTTAGGATATTTGTGGGGTTTGGGGGATTTGGGGGATTTTGGGTCATTTTGGGGATTTGGGGAATTTTGGGACAATTTGGGACATTTGGGGGATTGGGAACATTTGGAACATTTTGGGATATTTTGGGATATTTGGGGACATTTGGGGGATTTGGTGGATTTGGAACATTGGTGACATTTTTGTACATTGGTGACATTTTGGGACATTTGGTTCATTTGGGGGATTTGGGGGATTTTGGGACATTTGGGGACATTTGGGATATTTGGGGACATTTTGGGTCATTTTGGGGGGATTTGGAGGATTTGGGTCATTGAGGGGATTTGGGTCACTTTGGGGGGATTTGTGGGATTTGGGACATTTGGGGTATTTTGGATATTAAGAACATTTGGGGACATTCGGAACATTTTGGGACATTTGGGACATTTGGAGACATTTGGGGAATTTGGGGCATTTTGGGGCAGTTTAGATCATTTTGGGGGATTTGGAATGTTGGGGACATTTGGGGCATTTGGGGGATTGGGAACATTTGGGGTATTTGGGATATTTTGCGACATTTGGGACATTTTGGGGCATTTTGGGGGGATTTGGGACAATTTGGGGGGTTTGGGGGATTTGGGGTTTTTGGGGCATTTGGGACATTTTGGGATATTTGGGGACATTTTGGTCATTGCAGTATTTGGGACATTCTGGGTCATTTTGGAGTGGATTTGGGGGATTTGGGACATTTGGGGGATTGGGAACATTTGAGATATTTGGGATATTTTTGGACATTTGGGGCATTTTGGGACATTTGGGTCATTGGGACATTTTGGGACATTTTGGGACATTTGGGGAAATTTGGGGGATTTGGGACATTTGGGGGATTTGGGGCATTTGGGACATTTGGGGACATTTGGGTAGTTGAGGTATTTGGGACATTCTGGGTCATTTTGGGGGGATTTGGGGGATTTTGGGACATTTTGGTCATTGCGGTATTCGGGACATTTTGGGTCTATTTGGAGGGATTTGGGACATTTCGGGTCATTTAGGGTATTTGGGACATTTGGGGCATTTGGGGATTTGGGACATTTGTGTCATTGGGACATTTGGGGACATTTGGTTAATTTGGGACGTTTTGGGACATTTTGGGTCATTTTGGGGGGTTTGGGGGATTTGGGGTTTTTGGGGTTTTTGGGACATTTGGGGACAGGGGCGGGGTCTGGATGGACGGCGAGAGGCCCCCGTGCACGCAGAAAATCTGCCAATTTGGGACATTTTGGGGCGTTTTGGGGGGATTTGGGGGATTTGGGACATTTGGGGGATTGGGAACATTTGGGTTATTTGGGATATTTTTGGACATTTGGGACATTTTGGGACATTTTGATCATTGCGGTATTTGGGACATTTTGGGTCATTTGGAGGGGATTTGGGGAATTTTGGGAACATTTGGGACATTTGGGGGATTTGGGGTTTTTGGGACATTGGGGACATTAGGAGATGTTTTGGTCATTGCGGTATTTGGGACATTTTGGGTCATTTTGGGGGGATTTGGAGGATTTGAGGGATTTGGGACATTTAGGGTATTTGGGACATTTTGGGACATTTGGGGACATTTTGGTCATTGCAGTATTCGGGACATTTTGGGGGTTTTGGGGGGATTTGAGGGATTTGGGACATTTGGGGGATTTGGGGTTTTTGGGGCATTTGGGATATTTGGGGACATTTTGGTCATTGCGGTATTTGGGACATTTTGGGGTCATTTGGGGTATTTGAGATGTTTGGGCAATTTGGGGACATTTGGGGGATTTTTGGTCATTGGAGACATTTGGGGAATTTGGGGCATTTTGGGGCAGTTTGGATCATTTTGGGGGATTTTGAACGTTGGGGACATTTTGGGACATTTGGGGGATTGGGAACATTTGGGGTATTTGGGACATTTTGGGTCATTCTGGGGGGATTTGGGGCATTTGGGATCATTGGGGGCCCTTCGTGTCCCGACCCCTTCCAGCTGCCCCCGGGTGTGCCCAGGTGTGCCCAGGTGTGCCCAAAACCCCCTTTAAACACTCCCAGGTACCCCAGGTGTGCCCAGGTGTGCCCAGGTGTGTCCCAAACCCCCTTTAAACCCTCCCAAGTGCTCCCAGGTGTCCCCAGGTGCCCAGATGCTCCCAGGTGCCCCAGGTGTGCCCAGGTGTGTCCCAACCGCTCTTTAAACACTCCCAGGTATGCCCCAGGTACCCCAGGTGCCCCAAGGTGTGCCCAGGTGCCCCCAGGTGTGCCTGCCCAGGTGTCCCCAGGTTCCCCAGGTGTCCAGGTGTGCCCCAATACCCCTTTAAACACTCCCAGCTGCCCCAGGTGTGCCCGCCTAGATTCCCCAGGTGTCCCCAGGTGTGCCCAGGTGTGCCCAGGTGTGCCCCAGGTGTGCTCAGGTGTGCCCAGGTGTGCCCCAAACCCCCTTTAAACTCTCCCAGGTTCTCCAGGTGTGCCCAGCCAGGTGCCCCAGGTGCCCCCAGCTGTGCCCAGGTGTGCCCACCCCGGTTCCCAAGGTTCCCCAGGTGTGCCCGCCCAGGTTCTCCAAGTGCCCCAGGTGTGCCCAGGTGTGATCCAAAACCCCTTTAAACAGTCCCAGGTATGCCCCCAGGTGTCCCCAGGTACCCCAGCTGTCCCCAGGTGTGCCCACCCAGGTACCCCAGCTGCCTAGGTGTGCCCGCCCAGGTTCCCCAGGTGTGCCTGCCAAGGTTCCCCAGCTGCCCCAGGTGCCCCAGGTGTGCCCACCTTGCCGTCGATGATGGCTGACAGGCTCAGGTAGTCGAAGATCTCAGTGTCCCACCTCCCCCAGGTGTGCCCAGGTGCCCCCAGGTGTGCCCAGGTGTGCCCCAATACCCCTTTAAACTCTCCCAGGTGCTCCCATGTGTGCCCAGCTGCCCCAAGTGCCCCCAGGTTCCCCAGGTGTGCCCAAGTGTCCCCAGGTGCCCCATGTGCCCCCAGGTGCCCCACCTTGCCATCAATGATGACTGACAGGCTCAGGTAGTTGAAGATCTCAGTGTCCCACCTCCCTCAGGTGCCCCCAGGTGTGCCCAGGTGTGCCCAGCTGCCCCAGGTGTGTCCCAAGGTGTGTCCCAAACCCCCTTTAAACACTTCCAGGTGTCCCCAAGTGTGCCCGCCCAGGTTCCCCAGGTGCCCCAGGTGTGCCCAGGTGTGCCCAGGTGTGCCCGAAGGTGTGTCCCAGGTGTACCCAGCTGCCCCCAGGTGTGCCCAGGTGTCCCCCAATACCCCTTTAAAGACTCCCAGGTGTGCCCAGGTGTGCCTGCCCAGCTGCCCCAGCACCCAGCTGTCCCCAGGTGTGCCCAGGTACCCCAGGTGTGCCCAGGTGTGTCCCAAAACCCCCTTTAAACACTCCCAGGTGATCCCAAGTGCTCCCAGGTTCCTCAGGTACCCCAGGTGTGCCCAGGTGTGCCCATTTGTGTCCCAGGTGTGCCCCAAACCCCCTTTAAACCCTCCCAGGTGTCCCCAGGTGTGCTCAGGTGTGTCCAGGTGTACCCAGGTACCCCCAGGTGCCCCAGGTGTACCTGCCCAGGTTCTCCCAGCCCCCAGGTGTGTGCCCAGGTGTTCCCAAGGTGTGCCCACCCACGTTCCCCACCTGCCCCCAGGTGTGCCCCCAGGCACCCACCTTGCCGTCGATGATGGCGGACAGGCTGAGGTAGTCGAAGATCTCGGTGCAGTAGCGCCACACGGTGACGGAGCCGTACTTGCGCAGACACTCGTCGTAGAAACCGTACACCTGCGTGATCTGCCGGGACTCGTGGTTCCCCCGGATCAGCGTGATCCGGTCCGGGTACCGCACCTGGGACAGGTGACACACCTGTGACACACCTGGACACACCTGGGACACACCTGCGTGATCTGCCGGGACTCGTGGTTCCCCCGGATCAGCGTGATCCGGTCCGGGTACCGCACCTGTACAGGTGACACACCTGTGACACACCTGTGCACACCTGGGACACACCTGGGCACACCTGGGACACACCTGGGACACACCTGTGCACACCTGGGACACACCTGCGTGATCTGCCGGGACTCGTGGTTCCCCCGGATCAGCGTGATCCGGTCCGGGTACCGCACCTGGGACAGGTGACACACCTGTGACACACCTGTGCACACCTGGGACACACCTGGGACACACCTGTGCACACCTGTGACACACCTGTGCACACCTGGGACACACCTGGGACACACCTGGGACACACCTGGGACACACCTGGGACACACCTGGGACACACCTGGGACACACCTGGGACAGGTGACACACCTGTGACACACCTGGGCACACCTGGGACACACCTGGGACACACCTGGGACACACCTGGGACACACCTGGGACACACCTGGGACACACCTGGGACAGGTGACACACCTGTGACACACCTGGGCACACCTGGGACACACCTGGGACACACCTGGGACACACCTGGGCACACCTGGGACACACCTGGGACACACCTGGGCACACCTGGGACACACCTGGGACACACCTGGGACACACCTGGGACACACCTGGGCACACCTGGGACACACCTGCGTGATCTGCCGGGACTCGTGGTTCCCCCGGATCAGCGTGATCCGGTCCGGGTACCGCACCTGGGACAGGTGACACACCTGTGACACACCTGTGCACACCTGGGACACACCTGGGACACACCTGGGACACACCTGGGCACACCTGTGACACACCTGGGCACACCTGGGCACACCTGGGACACACCTGTGCACACCTGGGACACACCTGGGACACACCTGGGACACACCTGGGACACACCTGCGTGATCTGCCGGGACTCGTGGTTCCCCCGGATCAGCGTGATCCGGTCCGGGTACCGCACCTGGGACAGGTGACACACCTGTGACACACCTGTGCACACCTGGGACACACCTGGGACACACCTGGGACACACCTGGGACAGGTAACACACCTGTGACACACCTGTGCACACCTGGGACACACCTGTGCACACCTGGGACACACCTGGGACACACCTGTGACACACCTGTGCACACCTGGGACACACCTGTGCACACCTGGGACACACCTGGGACACACCTGGGACACACCTGGGACACACCTGGGACACACCTGTGCACACCTGGGACACACCTGGGACACACCTGCGTGATCTGCCGGGACTCGTGGTTCCCCCGGATCAGCGTGATCCGGTCCGGGTACCGCACCTGGGACAGGTGACACACCTGTGACACACCTGTGCACACCTGTGCACACCTGGGACACACCTGGGACACACCTGGGACACACCTGGGACACACCTGGGACACACCTGTGCACACCTGGGACACACCTGGGACACACCTGCGTGATCTGCCGGGACTCGTGGTTCCCCCGGATCAGCGTGATCCGGTCCGGGTACCGCACCTGGGACAGGTGACACACCTGTGACACACCTGGGCACACCTGGGACACACCTGTGACACACCTGGGCACACCTGGGACACACCTGTGCACACCTGGGACACACCTGGGACACACCTGTGCACACCTGGGACACACCTGGGACACACCTGGGCACACCTGAGACACACCTGGGACACACCTGGGCACACCTGGGACACACCTGGGACACACCTGGGACACACCTGTGCACACCTGGGACACACCTGTGCACACCTGGGACACACCTGGGCACACCTGGGACACACCTGGGACAGGTGACACACCTGTGACACACCTGTGCACACCTGGGACACACCTGGGACACACCTGCGTGATCTGCCGGGACTCGTGGTTCCCCCGGATCAGCGTGATCCGGTCCGGGTACCGCACCTGGGACAGGTGACACACCTGTGACACACCTGTGCACACCTGGGACACACCTGTGACACACCTGGGACAGGTGACACACCTGTGACACACCTGTGACACACCTGTGACACACCTGTGCACACCTGGGCACACCTGGGACACACCTGTGCACACCTGTGACACACCTGTGACACACCTGTGACCCACCTGGGACACACCTGGGCACACCTGTGCACACCTGGGACACACCTGTGACACACCTGTGACACACCTGGGACACACCTGTGACACACCTGGGACACACCTGGGACACACCTGCGTGATCTGCCGGGACTCGTGGTTCCCCCGGATCAGCGTGATCCGGTCCGGGTACCGCACCTGGGACAGGTGACACACCTGTGACACACCTGGGCACACCTGGGCACACCTGGGACACACCTGGGACACACCTGGGCACACCTGGGACACACCTGGGACACACCTGGGACACACCTGTGACACACCTGGGACACACCTGGGACACACCTGGGACACACCTGGGACACACCTGGGCACACCTGTGACACACCTGTGCACACCTGGGACAGGTGACACACCTGTGACACACCTGGGACACACCTGGGACACACCTGTGCACACCTGGGACACACCTGTGCACACCTGTGCACACCTGGGACACACCTGGGACACACCTGTGGCCCACCTGTACCTGCCCAGGTGAGCTCACCTGTCCCACCTGTCTGTACCTGTCACACCTGCCCAGGTGAGCTCACCTGTCTCATCTGTCTGCACCTGCCCAGGTGATCACACCTGTCCGTACCTCTCTGTACCTGCCCAGGTGAGCTCACCTCTCACACTGTCTCTACCTGTCTCAGGTGATCACACCTGTCACACCTGCCCAGGTGAGCTCACCTTCAGCGCCAGCAGCAGCAGGAAGGTCTCACACCTGTCACACCTGTCACACCTGTCCAGGTGAGCACACCTGTCCCACCTGTCTGTACCTGTCTCAGGTGATCTCACCTGTCTCAGGTGATCACACCTGAGCACACCTGTCACACCTGTCTCACCTTTAGCGCCAGCAGCGGCAGGAAGGTCTCACACCTGTCTGTACCTGTCTGTACCTGTCTCAGGTGTACACACCTGTCCAGGTGAGCACACCTGAGCACACCTGTCACACCTGTCTCACCTTTAGCGCCAGCAGCAGCAGGAAGGTCTCACACCTGTCTCAGGTGTTCACACCTGTCTCACCTGTCCAGGTGAGCTCACCTTTAGTGCCAGCAGCAGCAGGAAGGTCTCACACCTGTCTCAGGTGAGCACACCTGCCCAGGTGAGCACACCTGAGCACACCTGTCTCACCTGTCCAGGTGACCTCACCTGTCACACCTGTACCTGTTCAGGTGAGCTCACCTGTCTCAGCTGTACTTGCTCACCTGTCTCACCTGTCTCACCTGTCTGTACCTGTCTGTACCTGTCTCAGGTGATCACACCTGTCACACCTGTGCACACCTGTCTCAGGTGAGCACACCTGTCTCACCTTTAGCGCCAGCAGCAGCAGGAAGGTCTCACACCTGTCTGTACCTGTCTGTACCTGTCCGTACCTGTCTGTACCTGTCTCAGGTGATCACACCTGTCTCACCTGTCCAGGTGAGCTCACCTGTCCCACCTGTCTGACCCTGCCCAGGTGAGCTCACCTGTCCCACCTGCACCTGCTCAGGTGAGCTCACTTGTCACACCTGTCTGTACCTCTCTGTACCTGTCTGTACCTGTCTCAGGTGATCACACCTGTCACACCTGCCCAGGTGAGCACACCTGAGCACACCTGTCACACCTGTCTCACCTTTAGTGCCAGCAGCAGCAGGAAGGTCTCACACCTGTCTCACCTGTGCACACCTGTCCAGGTGAGCTCACCTTCAGTGCCAGCAGCAGCAGGAAGGTCTCACACCTGTCACACCTGTCTCACCTGTCCAGGTGTGCACACCTGTCTCACCTTTAAGGCCCGCAGCAGCAGGAAGGTCTCACACCTGTCTCAGGTGAGCACACCTGAGCACACCTGTCCCACCTGTCTGTACCTGTCACACCTGTGCACACCTGCCCAGGTGAGCACACCTGAGCACACCTGTCTGTACCTGTCCAGGTGAGCTCACCTGTCCCACCTGTCTGACCCTGCCCAGGTGAGCTCACCTGTCCCACCTGTCTGTACCTGTCTGTAGCTGTCTCAGGTGAGCACACCTGTCACACCTGTCACACCTGTATCACCTTTAGGGCCAGCAGCAGCAGGAAGGTCTCACACCTGTCTGTACCTGTCTGTACCTGTCTGTACCTATCTCAGGTGATCACACCTGTCTCACCTGTCCAGGTGAGCTCACCTTTAAGGCCAGCAGCAGCAGGAAGGTCTCACACCTGTCTCACCTGTCTCAGGTGATCACACCTGTGCACACCTGCCCAGGTGAGCTCACCTTCAGTGCCAGCAGCAGCAGGAAGGTCTCACACCTGTCTCACCTGCCCAGGTGAGCACACCTGTCTCACCTTTAGGGCCAGCAGCAGCAGGAAGGTCTCACACCTGTCACACCTGTCTCAGGTGATCACACCTGTCCAGGTGAGCTCACCTTCAGCGCCAGCAGCAGCAGGAAGGTCTCACACCTGTCTCACCTGTGCACACCTGTCACACCTGTCCAGGTGAGCTCACCTTTAGCGCCAGCAGCAGCAGGAAGGTCTCACACCTGTCTCACCTGTGCACACCTGTGCACACCTGTCCAGGTGAGCTCACCTTTAGCGCCAGCAGCAGCAGGAAGGTCTCACACCTGTCACACCTGCCCAGGTGAGCACACCTGAGCACACCTGTCACACCTGTCTCACCTGTCCAGGTGAGCATACCTGTCCGTACCTTTAGCGCCAGCAGCAGCAGGAAGGTCTCACACCTGTCTCACCTGTGCACACCTGTCACACCTGTCCAGGTGAGCTCACCTTTAGCGCCAGCAGCAGCAGGAAGGTCTCACACCTGTGTGTACCTGTCTGTACCTGTCTCAGGTGTGCACACCTGCCCAGGTGAGCTCACCTTTAGCGCCAGCAGCAGCAGGAAGGTCTCCACGCTGTAGAAGCCGCGGTCGACGAAGTCGCCCATGAACAGGTAATTGGTCTCTGGGACATCCCCGCCCACCTGTGCAGGTGAGATGGACAGGTGAGATGGGACAGGTGAGACACGGACAGGTGAGATGGGACAGGTGAGATACAGGTGAGACATGGACAGGTGAGATGGACAGGTGACACAGGTGAGATGGACAGGTGAGACATGGACAGGTGAGACATGGACAGGTGAGACAGGTGAGATATGGACAAGTGAGATGGACAGGTGAGATGGACAGGTGAGACATGGACAGGTGAGATGGGACAGGTAAGATACAGGTGAGATGGGACAGGTGAGATTGGACAGGTGAGACAGGTGAGATGGGACAGGTGAGACAGGTGAGATGGGACAGGTGAGACAGGTGAGACATGGACAGGTGAGATACAGGTGAGATGGACAGGTGAGATATGGACAGGTGAGATGGGACAGGTGAGACATGGACAGGTGAGACAGGTGAGACATGGACAGGTGAGACATGGACAGGTGAGACATGGACAGGTGAGATGGGACAGGTGAGACATGGACAGGTGAGATATGGACAGGTGAGACATGGACAGGTGAGACATGGACAGGTGAGACAGAGACAGGTGAGATGGGACAGGTGAGATACAGGTGAGAGATGGACAGGTGAGAATGGACAGGTGAGATGGACAGGTGAGATGGGACAGGTGAGATGGGACAGGTGAGATGGGACAGGTGAGACATGGACAGGTGAGACAGAGACAGGTGAGATGGGACAGGTGAGATACAGGTGAGATATGGACAGGTGAGATATGGACAGGTGAGTTACACAGGTGAGATGGACAGGTGAGATGGGACAGGTGAGACATGGACAGGTGAGATATGGACAGGTGAGTTACACAGGTGAGATGGGACAGGTGAGATGGGACAGGTGAGACATGGACAGGTGAGACATGGACAGGTGAGACATGGACAGGTGAGATACAGGTGAGGTCACTCATTGGTCACTCAGGGGTCACTCAGGGTCACTCATTGGTCACTCATTGGTCACTCAGGGTCACTCAGGGTCACTCACTGGTCACTCAGGGTCACTCAGGGTCACTCAGGGTCACTCAGGGTCACTCAGGGTCACTCAGGGGTCACTCAGGGTCACTCATTGGTCACTCAGGGTCACTCAGGGTCACTCAGGGGTCACTCAGGGGTCACTCAGGGTCACTCAGGGGTCACTCAGGGTCACTCATTGGTCACTCAGGGGTCACTCAGGGTCACTCAGGGTCACTCATTGGTCACTCAGGGTCACTCAGGGGTCACTCAGGGTCACTCAGGGTCACTCAGGGGTCACTCAGGGTCACTCAGGGGTCACTCAGGGTCACTCAGGGTCACTCATTGGTCACTCAGGGGTCACTCAGGGTCACTCAGGGTCACTCAGGGTCACTCAGGGGTCACTCAGGGTCACTCAGGGTCACTCAGGGGTCACTCAGGGTCACTCATTGGTCACTCAGGGTCACTCAGGGGTCACTCAGGGGTCACTCAGGGTCACTCAGGGTCACTCAGGGTCACTCATTGGTCACTCAGGGTCACTCAGGGGTCACTCAGGGGTCACTCAGGGTCACTCAGGGGTCACTCAGGGTCACTCAGCGGTCACTCATTGGTCACTCATTGGTCACTCAGGGGTCACTCAGGGGTCACTCAGGGGTCACTCAGGGTCACTCATTGGTCACTCAGGGTCAGGGGTCACTCATTGGTCACTCATTGGTCACTCATTGGTCACTCAGGGTCACTCAGGGGTCACTCAGGGGTCACTCAGGGTCACTCAGGGTCACTCATTGGTCACTCAGGGTCACTCAGGGTCACTCAGGGGTCACTCAGGGGTCACTCAGGGGTCACTCAGTGGTCACTCAGGGGTCACTCAGGGTCACTCATTGGTCACTCAGGGGTCCCTCAGGGTCACTCAGGGGTCACTCATTGGTCACTCATTGGTCACTCAGGGGTCACTCAGGGTCACTCAGGGTCACTCAGGGGTCACTCAGGGTCACTCAGGGTCACTCAGGGTCACTCAGGGTCACTCAGGGTCACTCAGGGGTCAGTGGTCACTCATTGGTCACTCATTGGTCACTCAGGGATCACTCATTGGTCACTCATTGGTCACTCAGGGGTCACTCAGGGTCACTCAGGGTCACTCAGGGTCACTCAGGGGTCACTTAGGGTCACTCAGGGGTCACTCAGGGGTCACTCATTGGTCACTCAGGGTCACTCAGGGTCACTCAGGGTCACTCAGGGGTCACTCAGGGTCACTCAGGGTCACTCAGGGGTCACTTAGGGTCACTCAGGGGGCACTCAGGGGTCACTCGGGGTCACTCAGGGTCACTCAGGGTCACTCATTGGTCACTCAGGGTCACTCATTGGTCACTCAGGGTCACTCAGGGGTCACCCATTGGTCACTCAGGGGTCACTCAGGGGTCACTCATTGGTCACTCAGGGGTCAGGGGTCACTCAGGGGTCAGGGGTCACTCAGGGTCACTCGGGGTCACTCAGGGGTCACTCAGGGTCCTCATTGGTCACTCAGGGGTCACTCAGGGGTCACTCAGGGTCACTCAGGCTCACTCAGGGTCACTCAGGGGTCAGGGGTCACTCAGGGTCACTCAGGGTCACTCAGGGGTCACTCAGGGTCACTCGGGGGTCAGGGGTCACTCAGGGGTCAGGGGTCACTCAGGGGTCAGGGGTCAGGGGTCAGGGGTCACTGACCCTGAACAGCTCCTTGAGGTCGTAGAACTGTCCGTGGATGTCCCCACACACCTGCGGGAAAGAGCCCCAAAATCACCCAAAATTCACCCAAAATTCCCCAAAGTCACCCAAAATTGTCCCAAAATCACCCAGAATCACCCAAAATGTCCTCAAATGTCCCAAATTGTCCCAAAATCACCCCAAATTCAACCAAATTGTCCCAAAATCACCCCAAAATCATGCCAAAGTCCCCAAAATCACCCAAAATTCCCCAAATTGTCCCAAAATCACCCAAAATCCATCCAAATTGTCCCAAAATCACCCAAAATGTCCCAAATTGTCCCAAAATTCCCCGAAATCACCCAAAATTCAGCTGAAAATCACCCAAAATTCATCCAAAAGTCCCCAAATTCACCCAAAATTCCCCAAAATCACCCCAAATCACCCCAAAATTTCCCAAATTCACCCAAAATCACCGAAAATCACCCCAAATTCCCCAAATTGTCCCAAAATCACCCAAATCCACCCAAAACCTCCCCAAAATCACCCAAAACTTCCCAAAATCGCCCAAAATTCACCCAAAATTCCCCAAATTCACCCAAAATTCACCCCAAATTCAACCAAATTGTCCCAAAATCACCCCAAAATGTCCCAAAATCACCCAAAATTCACCCAAATTGTCCCCAAATCACCCAAAATTCACTCTAAATGTCCCAAAAATCACCCCAAAATTACCCAAAATTTCCCAAAGGTCCCAAAATTCCCCCAAAATTCCCAAATTTGCCCCAAAATTGCCCCAAAACTCCCATAAAAATTCCCCAAAGTCCCAAATTTCTCCCCAAAATGTCCTAAAATTTCTCCAAAAATCCCCAATATTTTCCCCTAAAATCCCCAAAATTTCACCCAAAATCCCCCAAATCCCCAAATTTCCCCCAAAAATTCTGAAATTTTGGCCAAAAGTTTCCCAAAAAAATTCACAAAAACTCCCAAAATTCCCAAATTTGCCCCATAAAAATCCCCCAAATTCCTCCCAAAAATTCCCAAATTTTGGCCCAAAAATCCCTAAAATTCCCCCAAATCCCCCCAAAACTCATCTAAAATCCCCCCAAAAATTCCCAAATTTTTTTCAAAAATTCCCCAAAAAGTTCCCTGAAAAATTCCCCAAAATTCCCCAAATCCCCCAAAATTCCCGAATTTCCCCGAAATTCCCCCAAATTCCTCCAAATCCCCAAATTCCCAAAATCCCCCAAATCCCCGAATTCCTCCCCAAAACTCCCAAATTTTGCCCCATAAAAATCCCCAAAATCCCCCAAAAAATTCCCAAATTTTGGCCAAAACTTCCCTAAAAAAATTCCCCAAAATTCCCAAAATTGCCGAATTTCCCCCAAAATCCTGAATTTTCCCCCGAATTCCCAAATTCCCCAATTTCCAAAATCCCCCAAAATCCCCAAATTCCTACCCAAAACTCCCAAATTTTGCCCCATAAAAATCCCCAAAATTCCCCCCAAAAAATTCCCAAATTTTGGCCAAAACTTCCCTAAAAAAATTCCCCAAAACTCCCAAAAACTCCCAAATTTCTCCCCAAAAAATCCCCAAAATCCCCACAAAAAATTTCCAAAAATTTCCAAATTTCCCCTAAAATTCCCCAAAATCCCCAAATTCCTCCCAAAAACTCCCAAATTTTGCCCCATAAAAATCCCCAAAATCCCCAAATTCCCCCCAAAAAACTCCCAAAATTCGGCCAAAACTTCCCAAAAACATTCCCCAAAACTCCCAAATTTCTCCCCAAAAAATCCCCAAAACCCCCAAAAAATTTCCAAAAATTCCCCAAAATTTCCCAAAAATTCCCCAAAATTCCCAAAATCCCCCAAATCCCCAAAATTTCCCCCCAAAATTTCCCAAAATTTGGCCAAAACTTCCCTAAAAAAATTCCCCAAAAATCCCAAATTTCTCCCCAAAAAACCCCCAAAATCCCCCAAAAAAATTTCCAAAAATTTCCAAAATTCCCAAAAATTCCCCAAAATCCCCAAATTTTGCCCAAAATTCCCCAAGTCCCCCAAATCCCCAAATTTCCCCCCAAAATTTCCCAAAATTTGACCAAAACTTCCCCAGAAAATTCTGCAAAATTCCCCAAAAATCCCAAATTTCTCCCCAAAAAATCCCCCAAAATCCCCCCCAAAAAATTCCAAAAATTTCCAAATTTCCCAAAAATTCCCCAAAATTCCCCAAATTTGCCCAAAATTCCCCAAATTTTCCCAAAATCCGTGATTCTCACGGTGACGGGCGAATCGACTCTCTGCACGTTGCTCTCCTCCACCAGAATCTCCCTGCACAGCAATTAGTGATAATTAGCCATAATTAATGATAATTAGCGCTCATTAGTGCTAATTTATGCTAATGAGCAGCCATTGGCACCAAATTAACGCAAATTAAACCCAATTAACCCCCAATTCATGCTAATTAACCCTAATTTGCACAAAATTTACACTAATTAACACAAAATTAACACTAATTAACACAAAATTAATGCTAATTAACACTAATTAACACAAAATTAAAACTTATTAACACTAATTAAAACAAAATTAACACTCATTAACACAAAATTAACACAAAATTGACACTGATTAACACTGATTAATGAAAAATTAATGCTAATTAACACAAAATGAACACTAATTAGCGCAAAATTAACACTAATTAACACAAAATTGACACTAATTAGCACAAAATTAACACTAATTATCACTGATTAATGCAAAATTAATGCTAATTAACACAAAATTAACACTAATGAACACAAAAGTAACACAAAACTAACTCTGATTAACACAAAATTAACACTTATTAACACTAATTAACACTTATTAACACTAATTAACACAAAACTAACACTCATTAACACTAACACAAATTTAACAGTATTTAACACTGATTAATGCAAAATGAATGCTAATTAATACAAAATTAACACTAACTAACACAAAATTATCACTAATTAACACAAAATTAACGCAAAATTAACTCTAGTTAACACAAAATTAACACTCATTAACACTAATTAACACAAAATTGACACTAATTAGCACAAAATTAACACTAATTAACAATGATTAACGCAAAATTAACACTAATTGGCACCAAATTAACCCAAATTAACCCCAATTAACCCCCAATTCACGCTAATTAACCCTAATTAGCACAAAATTAACACTAATTAATACTGATTAACACAAAATTAACACTAATTAACACTGATTAATGCAAAATTAATACTCATGAACACTAATTAACACAAAATTAACACTAATTAATGAGCGTTAATGAGCGTTAATGAGCACTGAGGTCCCTAAATCAGCACTAACCCCAGTTAATGAATGTTAATTAGCATTAATTAGCGTTAATTAGCGCTAATTACCGGGCCTTGGTGCACAGGGCCTTCACTTCGCTCTCGCGGATCAGCGTTAATGAGCGTTAATGAGCGTTAATGAGCACTGAGGTCCCTGAGGGAGCACTAATGAGCACTAATGAGCGTTAATTAACATTAATTAGTGTTAATTAGCGCTAATTACCGGGCCTTGGCGCACAGGGCCTTCACTTCGCTCTCCCGGATCAGCGTTAATGAGCGTTAATGAGCGTTAATGAGCACTGAGGAGTTTCCATAACCCCTCAATGAGCACTAATGAGTATTAATTAGCATTAATTAGCGTTAATTAGCGCTAATTACCGGGCCTTGGCGCACAGGGCCTTCACTTCGCTCTCGCGGATCAGCGTTAATGAGCGTTAATGAGCGTTAATGAGCACTGAGGTCCCTGAGGGAGCACTAATGAGCACTAATCACAGTTAATTAGCATTAATTAGCGTTAATTAGCGCTAATTACCGGGCCTTGGCGCACAGGGCCTTCACTTCGCTCTCCCGGATCAGCGTTAATGAGCGTTAATGAGCGTTAATGAGCACTGAGGAGTTTCTATAACCCCTAAATGAGCACTAATGAGCATTAATTAACATTAATTAGCGTTAATTAGTGTTAATTACCGGGCCTTGGCGCACAGGGCCTTCACTTCGCTCTCCCGGATCAGCGTTAATGAGCGTTAATGAGCGTTAATGAGCGTTAATGAGCACTGAGGTCCCTGAGGGAGCACTAATGAGCACTACTGAGCATTAATTAACGTTAATTAGCGTTAATTAGCGCTAATTACCGGGCCTTGGCGCACAGGGCCTTCACTTCGCTCTCCCGGATCAGCTCGCAGCGCCGCAGTTGCTCGATCTGCCGGTCCAGGTCGCTCAGCTCCCCCATGGCGGCGCTAATTAACCCCTAATTAATTAATTACACCCTTCGTTAGCCGCCTCAGCCTCTCCCAGGGGGTAATTAACAAACCCGGGGGTAATTAACGCGAATTTGTCATTAATGAGGGTGGGGAAAGGGGGTTGGAAAGGGTTAAATCTCAGGGGTGCGCTACTTAACCCTTAATTAATTAATTAAGACCCCTCGTTAATTACCCAGAGGGGTAATTAGCCAGCCAGGGGGTAATTAACTCCCGATTTTTAATTAATGGGGGTTGGGCAAAGGGTTTGGAAGGGGTTAAAGTCTCAGGGATGGGGTAATTAACCCCTGATTGGTTAATTAAGGCTCTCGGTAATTAATTCAGCTCCTCCTGGAGGAGTTGGAGGGGTAATTAATGAGCCTGGGGTAATTAACAAGCCTGGGGTAATTAACGAGCCTGGGGTAATTAATGAGCCTGGGGTAATTAACTCCTGACAGGGGTAATTAACGAGCCTGGGGTAATTAATGAGCTTGGGGTAATTAACTCCTGACAGGGGTAATTAATGAGCCTGGGGTAATTAATGAGCCTGGGGTAATTAACGAGCCTGGGGTAATTAATGAGCCTGGGGTAATTAACTCCTGACAGGGGTAATTAATGAGCCTGGGGTAATTAACGAGCTGGGGGTAATTAATGAGATGGGGGTAATTAATGAGCCGGGGGTAATTAATGAGCCCAGGGTAATTAATGAGCTGGGGGTAATTAATGAGATGGGGGTAATTAATGAACTGGGGGTAATTAACAAGCTGGGGGTAATTAACTCCTGCCAGGGGTAATTAATGAGCCCGGGCTAATTAACCAGCCGGGGGTAATTAACGAGCCCACGGTAATTAACGAGCCGGGGGTAATTAACGAACCGGGGGTAATTAATGAACCCAGGGGTAATTAATGAACCCAGGGTAATTAACGAGCTGGGGGTAATTAACAAGCCGGGGGCAATTAATGAACCGGGGGTAATTAATGAATCCAGGGTAATTAACTCCTACCGGGGTAATTAACCCCCGGGGGTCGTTAGCAGGGCTGGGCGCAGGGGGCTCATTAAGCACTAATTAATGAGGGAGGTCGTTAATTACCCCCCCCACACTGCCCCTCCCCCACCCAGAGACACAAAAATCCCCAAAAATCCCCAAAAATAAAAAAAAAATCACCAAAAATTCCCAAAAATTAAGAAAAAAATCCCAAAATATTCTCCCAAAAAATCTCAAAAAATCCCAAAACTTCCCAAAAAATTCCCTAAAATATAAAAAAATCAAAAAAAATCCCCAAAAATTAAAAATATTCCCCAAAATCACAAAAAAATCCCAAAATTCCACAAAAAAATCCCAAAATTACTCGAAAGTCAAAAAAAATTCCCGAAAAAATCAGAAGAAATTCCCCAAAAATCTCCAAAACAATCCCAAAAAAACCCAAAATTCCCAAAAACCAAAAAATTCCCCAAAAATTTTCCCCTAAAATAAAAAAAACTTGAAAAAGTCCCCAAAAACTCCCCAAAATTCAAAAAAAAAAAATCCCAAAAATCCAAAAAAATCCCCAAAATCCACCAAAAATTCCCTGAAAATTTCCCAAAAAAACTTTAAAATCTCCCCAAAATCCAAAAATCAAAAAAAACCCCAAAATCTTCCCAAAAACCCCAAAAAAATCCCAAAAATTCCACCAAAATCACCCCAAAAATCCCCAAATGGCCCCAAAATCCCCAAAAATTCCCAAAAATCCCCAAATCCCCCCAAAATTCTCCCCTAAAAACTCAAAAATCCCAAATTCGATCCCAAATCCCTCCCAGAGCTCCAAAATTCCCCCAAATTCCCCCAAATTCCCCCAAATTCCCCAAAAATCGCCAAAAATTCCCCAAAATCCAAAAAAAAACCAAAATTTGTGATCCCAGAACTCCCAAAATTCCCAAATTTTGATCCCAGATCCCCCAAATTCCCCCAAATTCCCCCAAAATTTGTTCCTAAAAAGCCCCAAAATTCCCCAAATTCCCCAAATCCGATCCCAAACCCGCCCGGAATTCCCAAATTTCCTCCCGGAGCTCCAAAATTCCCAAAAATTCCATCCCAAAAACCCCAAAAATTCCCAAAATTTCCCCAAAATTCCCAAATTCTGACCCCAAATCCCCCAAAAATGCCCCAAAATTACCAAAAAATCCCCCAAATTCCCCAAAAATTCCCAAATTCTGCTGCCAAATCCCCCAAAAATGCCTCAAAATTCCCAAATTCTGATCCCAGACTGCCCCAAAAATTCCCCAAAAAAATGCCCCAAAATTCCTCCAAAATTCCCAAATTCTGATCCCAAATTCCCCCAAATCCCCAAAAAAATCCCAAATTCTGATCCCAACCCCCAAATTCCTCAAATTCCCCCAAATCCCCCCAAAATTCTCCCAAAAAATCCCCCAAAATGCCCCAAAATTCTCCAAATTCTTATCCCAGACTGCCCCAAAAATTCCCCCAAAAATGCCCCAAAATTCCCCCAAAATTCCCAAATTCTGACCTCAAATTCCCCCAAATCCCAAAAAAATTCCCCAAAATTCCCAAATTCTGATTCCAACCCCCAAATTCCCCCAAAATTCTCCAAATCCCCCCAAAATTTCCCCAAATTCTCCCAAATTCCCCCAAAATGCCCCAAAATTCCCCAAATTCTCATCTCAGACCGCCCCAAAAATTTCCCCAAAATTCCCCCAAAAATGCCCCAAAATTTACCCAAAATTTCCAAATTCTGAACCCAAATCCCCCCAAATTCTCCCAAAATTCCCAAATTCTGATCCCAGCACCCCCAAATTCCCCCAAAAATGCCCCAAAAATTTCCCAAATTCCCAAATTCTGGCTCCGAATTCCCCAAATTCCCCAAAATTCCCAAATCCCCAAAAAGTCCCAAGAAACCAAAAAAAAATCCCCAAAATTTCCCCCCAAAAATCCCAAAATTTCAACAAAAAGCCCAAAAATTCCAACAAAACCCCGAAAAATTCCCAAAAAATCCCCAAACTTTCCCCACAAAATCCCAAAATTCCGACAAAACCCCCAAAATTCCCCAAAAAATTCCCCAAAAAATTGCACAACAAAATACCCCAAAAATTCCAAAAAATCCCAAAAAAAATTCCAAAAAAACCCCAAAATTCCGACCCAAAAAAACCCAAAATCTCCAAAAATTCCACAAAAAAAGCCCCAAAATTCCAACCAAACCCCAAAAAACCCCAAAACGCCCCAAAATTCCCCCAAATTTTCCCAAAATCCTTAAAAATCCCCCCAAAATCCCCAAAAAATCCCAAAAAAAATCCCAAAAATTCCCCAAATTGCCCCAAACGGCCCCAAAATCCCCCCCGGGACCCCCCGACCCCCCCCAGGACCCCCCGAGAGCCCCAAAACCGCTCGGGGAAGGTTCGAGAACCCCAAAAACCCCAAAAAAAACCCCAAAAATCCCAAAAAACCCCAAAAATTCCCCAAAATTCCCCAAAATCCCCAAAACTTCCCTCAAGGCCGGAGCCGCCGCCGCCGCCGCGTCACTTCCGGCCACGCCCACACCGGAAGTGAAAACCCGGAAGTGACGAGCGGAGGCAAAATGGCGGCGGAGGCGCCAAAAACGGCCCCAAAATGGCGGAGCCGGAAAAGGGCGCGAAAAATGGACACGGACGGTGGCCGAAACGGCCCAAAATTGCCCAAAATTGCCCAAAATCGCCCAAAATCGCCCAAAATCGCCGAGATTTGGGGGAAAAGGGACCGGAAATGTCAAATTTGAGGGGAAAAGACGCGAAATTGGCCAAAATTCCCGAGATTTGTGGGGGAAAAGGACCCGAAATTCCCAAAATTGAGGGGAAAGTGACCCAAAATTCACCCAAATCCCGAAATTTGTGAGGGGAAAGGACCCAAAATTCCTGAAATTTGTGGGAAAAGGGACCTAAAATTACCCAAAATTCCACAAATTTGTGGGGAAAGGGACCCAAAATACACCGAAATCCCAAAATTTGTAGGAAAAAGGGGCCTAAAAACATCTAAAATCCCAAAATTTGTGGGAGAAACAGACCCAAAATTACCCAAAATCCTGAAATTGAGAGAAAAGGGACCCAAATTCCCCAAAATTCCTGAAATTTTTGGGGAAAGGGACCCGGAATTGCCCAAAATACTGGGAATTTGAGGGAAAAGAGACCCGGAATGGCAAAATTGGGGGGAAAGGACACAAAATTCCACAAAATTCCCCAAAATTCCACAAAATTCCACAAAATTCCAGAGATTTGTGGGGAAAAGGGACCTAAAATTACCCAAAATTACCCAAAATTGAAAGAAAGGGACCCGAAATTCAGCAAAATTCGGAAATTTTGGGGGAAAAGAGACCCAAAATTCTGGAAATTTGTGGGAGGAAAGGTCCCAAAATCCCAAAACTGAGGAAAAAGGACCCAAAATTCAGCAAAATTAGGAAAATTTTGGATAAAAGGGACCCAAAATTCCCCAAATTGAGGGGAAAGGACCAAAAATTCCCCCAAAATCCGGAGATCTGTGGGGAAAAGGGACCCAAAAAGCCAAAAATGAGCAGAAAGGGACCCAAAATTCACCAAAATCCTGAAATTTGTGGGGGAAAGGACCCGAAATTCCCAAAATTGAGCAGAAAGGGACCCAAAATTCACCAAAATTCTGAAATTTGTGGGGGAAAAGGACCCAAAATTGCCTAAATTGAGGGGAAAGGACCCAAAATTCCATAAAATCCTGAAATTTCTGGGGAAAAGGGACCCAAAATGCCAAAATTGAGGGGAAATGACCCAAAATTCACCAAAATCCTGAAATTTGTGGGGGAAAGGACCCAAAATTCCTGAAATTTGTGGGGAAAGGGACCCGGAATTGCCCAAAATTCTGGGAATTTGAGGGAAAAGAGACCCGGAATGGCAAAATTGGGGGGAAAAGACCCAAAATTCCACAAAATTCCCCAAAATTCCAGAGATTTGTGGGGAAAAAAGACCTAAAATTACCCAAAACTAACCGAAATTGAAAGAAAGGGACCCGAAATTCACCAAAATTCTGAAATTTTGGGGGAAAAGGACCCGAAATTGCCCAAATTGAATGGAAAGGACCCAAAATTCCCCAAAATTCCAGAGATTTGTGAGGAAAAGAAACCCAAATTTCCCCAAAATCCTGAAATTTCAGGGGAAAAGGGACCCGAAATGCCAAAATTGAGCAGAAAGGGACCCAAAATTCTCAAAATTGAGGGGAAAAGGGACCCAAAATTCACCAAAATCCTGAAATTTGTGGGGAAAAGGACCCAAAATTCCCAAAAATTTGTGGGAAAAGGGACCCAAAATGCCAAAATTGAGGGGAAAGGACCCAAAATTAGCAGAAATTCTGGAAATTTGTGAGGAAAAGGAGCCAAAATTCCTCAAAATCCTGAAATTTGTGTGAAAGGGATCTGAAAATACCCAAATTGAGGGAAAGGAGCCCAAAATTCCCTGAAATCCCAAAATTTGAGGGGGAAAAGGAGCCACAATTCCCCAAAATTCCTAAAATTTGTGGGAAATGGACCCAAAATTCCCCAAAAATCCCAAAATTGAGGGAAAAGGGACCCAAAATTACCAGAAATTGAGGGAAAGGGACCCAAAATTCCCCAAAATCCTGAAATTTGTGGGAAAGGGAACCTAAAATTACCCAAAATTGCAAAATTTGAGCGGAAAGGACCCGGAATTACCCAAAATAGTGAAAATTGAGGGGAAAGGGACCTAAAAACCCCCAAAATCCCAAATTTTGGAGGAAAAAGGGACTTAAAACACCTGAAATCCCCAAATTTGTGGGGGAAACAGACACAAAATTACCCAAAATCCTGAAATTGAGAGAAAAGGGGCCCAAATTACCCAAAATTCCTGAAATTTGTGGGGAAAGGGACCAGAAATACCAAAATTGAGGGGAAAGGGACACAAAATCCCAAAATTTGTGGGGAAAATGGGGAAAAAACACCCAAAATACCAAAAATGAGGTGCAAAGGACCCAAAAATACTTAAAACCTGTGGGGAAAAGGGATGGAAAAATACCCAAAATCCCAAAATTTGTATGGAGAGGGACAAAAAAATACCCAAAATCCTGAAATTTGTGGGGAAAGGGACCCAAACCCCCAAATTCTGAGGGGAAATGAACCCAAAATTCCCCAAAATCCCGAAATCTGTGAGGAAAACGCAGCCGAAATCCCAAAATTTGTGGGGAAAGGGACGTAAAAATACCCAAAATCCCAAATTTTTAGGGAAAGGGATGCAAAAATACCCAAAATTTGTGGGGAAAGAAACACAAAAATACCCAAAATCCCAAAATTTGTGGGGAAAGGGACCCAAAAATACCCAAAATCCCAAAATTTGTGGGGAGAACAGAACCGAAATCCCAAATTCTGAGGGAAATATTCCCCAAAATTCCCCAAAATCCCGAAATTTGTGAGGAAAACGCAGCCGAAATTCCAAAATTTGTGGGGAAAGGAACACAAAAATTCCCAAAATCCCAAAATTTTTAGGGAAAGGGATGAAAAATACCCAAAATTTGTGGGGAAAGGAACACAAAAATACACAAAATCCCAAAATTTGTGGTGAAAGCGACACAAAAACACCAAAAATCCCGAAATTTGTGGGGAGAACAGACCCCAAACCCCAAATTCTGACGGGAAATGAACCCGAAATTCCCCAAAATCCCGAAATTTGTGAGGAAAACGCAGCCGAAATCCCAAAATTTGTGGGGAAAGGAACACAAAAATACCCAAAATCCCAAAATTTTTAGGGAAAGGGATGCAAAAATACCCAAAATTTGTGGGGAAAGGAACCAAAAAAATACCCAAAATCCCAAAATTTGTGGGGAGAACAGACCCAAAACCCCAAATTCTGAGGGGAAATGAACCCAAAATTCCCCAAAATCCCGAAATTTGTGAGGAAAACGCAGCAAAAATCCCAAAATTTGTGGGGAAAGGGCTGCAAAAACACCCCAAATCCCAAAATTTTTAGGGAAAAGGATGCAAAAATACCCAAAATTTGTGGGGAAAGGAACACAAAAATACCCAAAATCCCAAAATTTGTGGGGAGAACAGACCCAAACCCCCAAATTCTGAGGGGAAAACGAATCCAAAATTCCCCAAAATCCCAAAGTTTGTGAGGAAAACGCAGCGAAATCCCAAAATTTGTGGGGAAAGGGATGTAAAAATACCCAAAATCCCCAAAATTTGTGGAAAAGGGATCCAAAAATACCCAAAATCCCAAAATTTTTAGGGAAAGGGATGCAAAAATACCCAAAATTTGTGGGGAAAGGAACACAAAAACACCAAAAATCCCAAAATTTGTGCGGAGAACAGACCCAAAACCCCAAATTCTGAGGGGAAAACGACCCCGAAAATCCCCAAAATCCCAAAATCTGTGAGGAAAACGCAGCCGAGATCCCGAAATTTGTGGTGAAAGGGCTGTAAAAATACCCAAAATCCCAAAATTTTAGGGAAAGGGCTGCAAAAACACCAAAAATCCCAAAATTTTTAGGGAAAGAGATGCAAAAATACCCAAAATTTGTGGGGAAAGGAACACAAAAATACCCAAAATCCCAAAATTTGTGGGGAGAACAGACCCAAAACCCCAAATTCTGAGGGAAAAATTCCCCAAAATTCCCCAAAATTCCCCAAAATTCCCCAAAATTCCCCAAAATTCCCCAAAATCTGTGAGGAAAACGCAGCGAAATCCCGAAATTTTTGGGGAAAAGTGAATCAAAATGAGGCAAAAGGGTGACATTGGGGAAAAAAACCCCAAAATTTTTGGGGACACTCTGGGGACATCTTGGGGACGTTGGGTTGGGTTGGTTGGGTTGGGTTGGTTAAGTTGGGTTGGTTAAGTTGGGTTGGTTAAGTTGGGTTGGGTTGGGTTGGGTTGGGTTGGTTAAGTTGGGTTGGTTAAGTTGGGTTGGGTTGGGTTGGGTTGGTTAAGTTGGGTTGGTTAAGTTGGGTTGGTTGGTTAAGTTGGGTTGGTTGGTTAAGTTGGGTTGGTTGGGTTGGGTTGGGTTGGTTGGTTAAGTTGGTTAAGTTGGGTTGGTTGGTTAAGTTGGGTTGGTTGGTTAAGTTGGGTTGGTTGGGTTGGGTTGGTTGGTTAAGTTGGGTTGGGTTGGTTAACTTGGGTTGGTTAAGTTGGGTTGACCCAACTCAAGGGGAATTGGAAGAGCAGAGGAGCCACATCTAAGGGGGGTTCAGAGGGGGACATTTGGGGACATTTGGGGACATTTGGGGACATTTGGGGTCTTTGGGACATTGGTGACACCAACGGCGAGACCACGACCCAGGGTGAGTGACAGCGCTGTCCCCAAGGCCACCAACATGTCCCCAAGGCCACCGACCTGTCCCCAAGGCCACCAACCTGTCCCCAAGGCCACCGACCTGTCCCCAAGGCCACCAACGTGTCCCCAAGGCCACCAACCTGTCCCCAGTGCCACCACCCTGTCCCCAAGGCCACCAACCTGTCCCCAGTGCCACCACCCTGTCCCCAGTGCCACCACCCTGTCCCCAAGGCCACCAACGTGTCCCCAAGGCCACCAAACTGTCCCCAGTGCCACCAACCTGTCCCCAAGGCCACCAAACTGTCCCCAGTGCCACCAAACTGTCCCCAATGTCCCCAAAATGTCCCGCAATGTCCCCAAAATGTCCCCAAATGTCCCCAAAATGTCCCCAAATGTCCCCAACACCCCCAATGTCCCCATTGACCCCAATGTCCCCAATGTCCCCAAAATGTCCCCAAATGTCCCCCATGTCCCCAATGTCCCCAAGTTTGGGGTCAAACCCACCCAAATCACCCCAAAACCCAAAAATTTGGGGTCAAAACACTCCAAACCTCCCAAATTTGGGGTCACATCAGCCCCAAATCCCCCCAAATTTGGGGCTAAACCACCCCAAAACCCCCAAATTTTGGGGTCAAACTCCCCAAACTACCCCAAAACCCCCAAATTTTGGGGTCAAACCCCCCCAAACCCCCAAATTTGGGTCCCCCCAAATCCCCGACAGCGTTTTGGGTCCATCCGTGACCTTTATTGCTCGGGGGGGGGAGGGGCAGCGGGACAGCGGCCGCGGGGGGGACACGGGGTCAGGGGTCAGGGGTCAGTGGGTGACCAGCAGTGGTCAGTGATGGTCACTGGGTGGTCAGTGGTCAGTGGGTGGGCAGTAGGTGGTCAGTGGGTGGTCAGTGATGGTCAGTGGGTGGTCACTGGGTGGTCAGTGGCCTGAGGATGGTCACTGGACTGAGGATGGTTAGTGGCCAGAGGGTGGTCAGCAGGTGGTCAGTGGCCAGAGGGTGGTCAGTGGATGGTTGATGGTGACCAGCGGTGGTCAGCAGTCCATGGGTGGTCAGTGATGGTCAGTGATGGTCAGTGGGTGGTCAGTGGCCAGAGGATGGTCACTGGCCAAAGGGTGGTCAGTGGATGGTTGATGGTGACCAGCGGTGGCCAGCAGTGCATGGGTGGTCAGTGGGTGGTCAGTGGGTGCTCAGCAGTGGTCAGTGGCCCATGGATTGTCAGCAGTGGTCAGCAGTCCATGGATGGTCAGTGGGTGGTCAGTGATGGTCAGTGATGGTCAGTGGCCAGAGGGTGGTCAGCAGTGGTCAGCAGTGGTCAGCAGTGGTCAGCAGTGGTCAGCAGGGGTTCAGCCATGGTCAGCAGTCCATGGGTGGTCAGCGGTCCATGGACAGTCAGCAGGTGGTCAGTGATGGTCAGTGATGGTCAGTGGATGGTCAATGGATGGTTGATGGTGACCAGTGGTGGTCAGCGGTCCATGGACGGTCAGTAATGGCCAGCAGGGGTTCAGTGGTCGTCAGCGGTCCATGGGTGGTCAGTGGGCCATGGACAGTCAGAAGATGGTCAGTGATGGTCAGTGGGTGGTCAGTGGTGGTCAGCAGAAGGTCAGCAGTGGCCAGCAGGGGTTCAGCAGTGGTCAGCAGTCCATGGGTGCTCAGCAGATGGTCAGTGGATGGTCAGAGACGGTCAGTGATGGTCAGTGGGTGCTCAGCAGTGGTCAGTGGGTGGTTGATGGTGACCAGCAATGGTCAGTGGCCCATGGACGGTCAGCAGGGGTTCAGCAGTGGTCAGCAGTCCATGGGTGGTCAGTGATGGTCAGTGGGTGGTCAGTGGATGGTTGATGGTGGCCCATGGACGGTCAGTGGTCCATGGGTGGTCAGTGGGTGGTCAGTGGCCCATGGACGGTCAGTGATGGTCAGCAGATCAGCGGTCCATGGGTGGTCAGCAGATGGTCAGTGGGTGGTCACTGGGTGGTCAGTGGGTGCTCAACAGTGGTCAGTGGCCCATGGACGGTCAGCAGGGGTTCAGCAGTGGTCAACGGTCCATGGGTGGTCAGTGGGCCATGGGTGGTCAGCAGACGGTCAGTGGGTGGTCAGTGATGGTCAGTGGGTGGTCAGTGGATGGCCAGCAGGGGTTCAGCCGTGGTCAGCAGTCCATGGGTGCTCAGCAGAAGGTCATTGGTGGATGGGTGGTCAGCAGAAGGTCAGCAGATGGTCAGCAGATGACCACGGTCAGTAGGTGTGGTTGGGTGGTCAGCAGAAGGTCAGTGGTGGTTGGGTGGTCAGCAGAAGGTCAGTGGTGGATGGGTGGTCAGCAGAAGGTCAGCAGAAGGTCAGCAGAAGGTCAGCAGAAGGTCAGTGGTGGATGGGTGGTCAGCAGAAGGTCAGCAGAAGGTCAGCAGAAGGTCAGCAGATGGCCGTTGGTGGCCGCGGTGGCCGCAGATGACCACGGTCAGTAGGCGTGGTTGGGTGGTCAGCAGAAGGTCAGCAGAAGGTCAGCAGAAGGTCAGCAGAAGGTCAGCAGAAGGTCAGCAGAAGGTCAGCAGAAGGTCAGCAGATGACCACGGTCAGTAGGCGTGGTTGGACACGAAGAGGGACTCGCTGGCCGCCGCCCCCGCGGTGCCACTCGGGGTGTACTTGCCCTGACACGCCAGGGAGTTGGCCTGGGGACAGAGGGGACAGAGGGGACATTGGGGACATCAGCGGGGGTTGGGGACATTGGGGACATTGGGGACATTGGGGGGTTTGGGGACATTGGGGGCAATGGGGACACGGGGGACATTGGGGACATTGGGGACATTGGGGACATTGGGACATTGGGGACATTGGGGGGTTTGGGGACATTGGGGGCAATGGGGACATTGGGGACATTGGGGGGATTGGGGACATTGGGGACATTGGGGACATTGGGGACATTGGGGACACGGGGGACATTGGGGACATTGGGGACATTGGGGACATTGGGGACACGGGGGACATTGGGGACATTGGGGACATTGGGGACAGTGGGGACATTGGGGACACTGGGGACATTGGGGACATTGGGGACATTGGGGACATTGGGGACACTGGGGACATTGGGGACATTGGGGACATCAGGGGGTTGGGGACACGGGGCACTCCGGTGTCCCCACGGTGCCCAGTGACCTCCTGGCCACCCTGTCCCTGTGTCCCACCACATGTCACCCCCAAACTGCTCCTGCCACTCCCAGCCCTCCCAGGGTGTCCCCAATGTCCCCAGGGTGTCCTCAATGTCCCTGAGGTGTCCCCAATGTCCCCAATGTCCCCAAATGTCCCAGTGCCACCTACCAGGGCTCTCTTGACCTTCTCCTCCTGGGCCACCTTGGTGTTCTCCTTGTATCCCCAAATGTCCCCAATGTCCCCGAGGTGTCCCCAATGTCCCCAATGGCCACAACCCCGACAATTCTCCTGCCACCCCAATGTCCCCAGATGTCCCTGAGGTGTCCCCAATGTCCCCGAATGTCCCCAAATGCCACCTACCAGGGCTCTTTTGACCTTCTCCTCCTGGGCCACCTTGGTGTTCTCCTTGTATCCCCAAATGTCCCCAATATCCCCAACATGTCCCCAAGGTCCTTGAGGTGTCCCAATGTCCCCAGGGTGTTCCCAATGTCCCCGAGGTGTCCCCAATGTCCCCAAATGTCCCCAAATGCCACCTACCAGGGCTCTCTTGACGTACTCCTCCTGGGCCACCTTGGTGTTGTCCCTGTCCCTGTGTCCCCAAAGTGTCCCCAATGTCCCTGAGGTGTCCCCAATATCCCCAAGGTGTCCCCAATGTCCCCAAATGTCCCCAAATGTCCCCAAGGTGCCACCTACCAGGGCTCTCTTGATGTTCTCCTCCTGGGCCACCTTGGTGCTGTCCCTGTCCTTGTGTCCCAAAGGTGTCCCCAATGTCCCCAATGGCCACAACCCCCACCTTTCTCCTGCCACCCCAATGTCCCCAATGTCCCCAAGATCCCTCAATGTCCCCAAGGTGTCCCCAATGTCCCCAAATGTCCCCGTGCCACCTACCAGGGCCCTCTTGACCTTCTCCTCCTGGGCCACCTTGGTGCTGTCCCTGTCCCTGTATCCCCAAGGTGTCCCCAATGACCCAAAGGTGTCCCAAATGACCCCGAGGTGTCCCCAATGTCCCCAAATGTCCCCAAGGTGCCACCTACCAGGGCTCTCTTGACCTTCTCCTCCTGGGCCACCTTGGTGTTCTCCTTGTATCCCCAAATGTCCCCAATGTCCCCAAGGTGTCCCCAAGGTCCCCAAATGTCCCAGTGTCACCTACCAGGGCTCTCTTGACGTACTCCTCCTGGGCCACCTTGGTGCTGTCCCTGCCCTTTGTCCCTAAAGTGCCCTCAAGGTCCCCGAGGTGTCCCCAAGGTCCCTGAGGTGTCCCCAAGGTCCCTGAGGTGTCCCCAAGGTCCCTGAGGTGTCCCCAATGTCCCCAAATGTCCCCGAGGTGCCACCTACCAGGGCTCTCTTGACCTTCTCCTCCTGGGCCACCTTGGTGCTGTCCCTGTCTCTGTATCCCCAAGGTGTCCCCAATGACCCCGAGAGGTGTCCAAGGTGTCCCCAAATGTCCCCAGATGTCCCCAAGGTGCCACCTACCAGGGCTCTCTTGATGTTCTCCTCCTGGGCCACCTTGGTGCTGTCCCTAACCTTATGTCCTCAATGTGTCCCCAAGATCCCCGAGGTGTCCCCAATGTCCCCAAGGTGTCCCCAATGTCTCCAATGTCCCCAATGTCCCAGTGTCACCTACCAGGGCTCTCTTGACCTTCTCCTCCTGGGCCACCTTGGTGTTCTCCTTGTGTCCTCAAGGTGTCTCCAATGTCCCCAATGTCCCCAAGGTCCCAATGTCCCCGAGGTGTCCCAATGTCCCCAAGATCCCCCAATGTCCCCAATGTCCCCAAATGTCCCCAAATGCCACCTACCAGGGCTCTCTTGATGTTCTCCTCCTGGGCCACCTTGGTGTTGTCCCTGTCCCTGTATCCCCAAGGTGTCCCCAAGGTGTCCCCCATGTCCCCAATGTCCCCAATGTCCCTGAGGTGTCCCCAAGGTCCCCAATGGCCACAACCCCAACACTTCTCCTGCCACCCCAATGTCCCCAGAGTGTCCCCAAGGTGTCCCCAAGGTCCCCCAGCTGTCCCCACCTCAGATGTGGCTCCCACCTCTCCATGGCTGACCCAACCCAAGGAACGCCCAACACCCTTTGGTGTCCCCATGTCCCCAATGTCCCCAAGATCCCCAAATGTCCCCAAGGTGTCCCCAAGGTGTCCCCAATGTCCCGAAGTTGTCCCCAAGGTGCCACCTACCAGGGCCCTGTTGATGTTCTCCTCCTGGGCCACCTCGGTGTTGTCCCTGCCCTTATGTCGTCAAGGTGTCCCCAATGTCCCCAATGTCCCCAACATGTCCCAATGTCCCTGAGGTCTCCCAAATGTCCCCAAATGCCCCAAATGTCCCCAAATGCCACCTACCAGGGCCCTCTTGACGTACTCCTCCTGGGCCACCTTGGTGTTCTCCTTGTATCCCCAAATGTCCCCAATATCCCCAAGGTGTCCCCAAGGTCCCCAATGTGTCCCCAATGTCCCCCATGGCCACAACCCCAACGCTTCTCCTGCCACCCCAATGTCCCCAGAGTGTCCCTGAGGTGTCCCCAATGTCCCCAAATGTCCCTGTGCCACCTACCAGGGCTCTCCTGACCTTCTCCTCCTGGGCCACCTTGGTGTTGTCCCTGTCCTTATCTCCTCATGGGTCACACCCCAACCCTTCTCCTGCCACCCCAATGTCCCCCCAATGTCCCCAAGATCCCTGAGGTGTCCCCAATGTCCCCAAATGTCCCCAAATGTCCCCAAATGCCACCTACCAGGGCTCTCTTGACGTACTCCTCCTGGGCCACCTTGGTGTTGTCCTTCTTGCCCGCCCAGGCCTTGAGGGCCGAGGCCTGCAGGGCGCGGCCGTAGGAGAAGGTCAGAGCCCAGGGCCGGGGCAGGGGACAGCGGTTGATGGCGTTGAGGTTCAGAGAGGCCTCCTCCTCGCTCTGGCCACCCGACAGGAACGTGATCCCTGGGGGGACATCGAGGTGACATCAGTGACATTGAGGTGACACCAGCCTGGGGACAGTCAGGGACACGGCAATGGCACAGGGACATTGGGGACATTGGGGACATTGGGGACACGGGACAGCGATTGATGGCGTTGAGGTTCAGAGAGGCCTCCTCCTCGCTCTGGCCACCCGACAGGAACGTGATCCCTGGGGGGACATCAAGGTGACACTGTGACATCCATGTGACATCGCTGTGACACCAGCCTGGGGACACCAGGACAGCCTGGGGACACTGGGACACTTGGGGACATTGGGGACATTGGGGACAGTGACGGCTCCTCCTCACTCTGACCCCCTGACAGGAACGTGATCCCTGTGGGGACATTGGGGACAGTGAGGTGACATCACTGTGACACCAGCCTGGGGACACTCAGATAGCTCAGATACAGCACAGGGACATTGGGGACATTGGGGACACGGGGCAGCGGTTGGTGGCGTTGAGGTTCAGAGGCTCCTCCTCGCTCTGGCCACCCGACAGGAACGTGATCCCTGGGGGGACATCGAGGGGACACTGTCACACCAGCCTGGGGACATTGGGACACTTGGGGACATGGCAATGGCACAGGGACATTGGGGACACGGGGCAGCGGTTGATGGCGTTGAGGTTCAGAGGTTCCTCCTCGCTCTGGCCACCCGACAGGAACGTGATCCCTGGGGGGACATCGGTGACATTGAGGTGACATTGAGGTGACATCACCCTGGAGACAGTGGGACACTCAGGGACACGGATATGGCACAGGGACATTGGGGACATTGGGGACATTGGGGACAGTGACAGCTCCTCCTCGCTCTGGCCACCCGACAGGAACGTGATCCCTGGGGGGACACCGAGGGGACATTGGGGACATCGGTGTGACACCAGCCTGGGGACACTCAGGGACACGGTGATGGCACAGTGACATTGGGGACATTGAGGTGACATCCCTGTGACACCAGACTGGGGACACTCAGGGACACTCAGGGACATGGAGATGGCACAGGGACACTGGGGACATCGAGGGGACATTGGGGACATCACTGTGACACCAGGCTGAGGACACGGTGATGGCACAGAGTCATTGGGGACATTGAGGACATCACTGTGACACCAGCCTGGGGACACTCAGGGACATGGCAATGGCACAGGGACATTGGGGACATTGGGGACATTGGGGACAGTGATAGTTCCTCCTCGCTCTGACCCCTGACAGGAACGTGATCCCTGGGGGGACATCGAGGGGACACTGTGACATCAGTGTGACATCGCTGTGACATCACCCTGGGGACATTGGGGACACTGGGGACACGGGACAGCGGTTGGTGGCGTTGAGGTTCAGAGGTTCCTCCTCGCTCTGGCCACCCGACAGGAACGTGATCCCTGGGGGGACATCGGTGACATTGAGGTGACATCAGTGTGACATCAGCCTGGGGACACTCAGGGACACAGATATGGCACAGGGACACTGGGGACATTGGGGACACTGGGGACATTGGGGACAGTGACGGCTCCTCCTCGCTCTGGCCACCCGACAGGAACGTGATCCCTGTGGGGACATTGGGGACATCAGTGACATTGAGGTGACATCACCCTGGGGACACTGGGACACTCAGGGACATTGGGGACATTGGGGACATTGGGGACAGCGACGGCTCCTCCTCGCTCTGAGCCCTGGTGACACCATGGGGACACCGTGGGGACACTGAGGTGACACAGGTGACACCCTGCAGGGACAGGAGGTGGCACACAGGACACAGGGACAGTGACACAGAGGTGACAGTGACACAGTGACAGTGACACAGGTGACACAGGTGACACAGAGGTGACACAGGAGGTGACACACAGGTGACACAGGTGACACACAGGTGACACAGGTGACACAGTGACACAGGTGACACAGGTGACACAGGTGACACACAGGTGACACAGGTGACACAGAGGTGACACAGGTGACACACAGGTGACACAGGTGACACAGTGACAGTGACACACAGGTGACACAGAGGTGACAATGACACACAGGTGACACAGGTGACACACAGGTGACACAGAGGTGACAGTGACACACAGGTGACACAGGTGACACACAGGTGACACAGGTGACACAGTGACAGTGACACAGGTGACACAGAGGTGACAATGACACACAGGTGACACAGGTGACACAGGTGACACAGAGGTGACACAGGTGACACAGGTGACACAGAGGTGACAGTGACAATGACACACAGGTGACACAGGTGACACAGGTGACACAGGTGACACAGAGGTGACACAGAGGTGACACAGGTGACACAGGTGACACAGGTGACACAGAGGTGACAGTGACACAGTGACAGTGACACAGTGACAGTGACACACAGGTGACACAGAGGTGACAGAGGTGACAGAGGTGACACAGGTGACACACAGGTGACACAGGGAGGTGACAGAGGTGACACAGTGACACAGGTGACACAGAGGTGACACAGGTGACACAGAGGTGACACAGGTGACACAGAGGTGACAATGACACACAGGTGACACAGGTGACACAGAGGTGACACAGGTGACACTGACCTGGCACGGCGGGTGGCACGGTGCGGCGCAGCGCGGTGACGGTGGCCATGGCACAGTGACAGTGACACAGGTGACACACAGGTGACACACAGGTGACACACAGGTGACACAGGTGACACAGAGGTGACACAGATGACACAGAGATGACACAGAGGTGACACAGGTGACACTGACCTGGCACAGCGGGTGGCACGGTGCGGCGCAGCGCGGTGACGGTGGCCATGGCACAGTGACACAGTGACAGTGACAGTGACACAGAGGTGACAATGACACACAGGTGACACAGGTGACACACAGGTGACACAGGTGACACACAGGTGACACAGGTGACACAGGTGACACACAGGTGACACAGGTGACACAGGTGACACAGAGGTGACAGTGACACAGGTGACACAGGTAACACAGGTGACACAGGGAGGTGACACAGGTGACACAGGTGACACAGGTGACACAGTGACAGTGACACACAGGTGACACAGAGGTGACAGTGACACACAGGTGACATAGAGGTGACACAGGTGACACAGGTGACAATGACACAGAGGTGACAATGACACACAGGTGACAGAGGTGACACAGGTGACACAGGTGACAGAGGTGACACAGGTGACACACAGGTGACAGTGACACACAGGTGACACAGGTGACACTGACCTGGCACGGCGGGTGGCACGGTGCGGCGCAGCGCGGTGACGGTGGCCATGGCACAGGGACAGTGACACAGGTGACACAGGTGACACAGAGGTGACACAGAGGTGACAATGACACACAGGTGACACAGGTGACAATGACACAGAGGTGACAATGACACTGACCTGGCACAGCCGGTGGCACGGTGCGGCGCAGCGCGGTGACGGTGGCCATGGCACAGGGACAGTGACACAGTGACAGTGACACAGGTGACACAGGTGACACAGGGAGGTGACACAGGTGACACAGGTGACACACTGACACAGTGACACAGGTGACACAGGTGACACAGAGGTGACACAGGTGACAGAGATGACACAGAGGTGACAATGACACAGGTGACACAGGTGACACAGATGACACACAGGTGACACAGTGACAGTGACACAGGTGACACAGAGGTGACACAGGTGACACAGGTGACACTGACCTGGCACGGCGGGTGGCACGGTGCGGCGCAGCGCGGTGACGGTGGCCATGGCACAGTGACAGTGACAGTGACACACAGGTGACAATGACACAGAGATGACAATGACACACAGGTGACACAGAGGTGACAATGACACAGGTGACACTGACCTGGCACGGCCGGTGGCACGGTGCGGCGCAGCGCGGTGACGGTTGCCATGGCGATCTCCTCGGGGCTGTACTTGGTGGCACAGGCGTGGCCGCCCGTCACCATGTTGGGCTTCAGCAGTGTCCCCTCCAGGTACACGTGGTGGTCACTGAGGGCCTTGTACACGGCTGCCAGGACCTGGGGGGGACATTGGGGACATTGTACACAGCTGCCAGGACCTGGGGACATTGGGGACATTGTACACAGCTGCCAGGACCTGGGGACATTGGGGACATCATTGGGGACATTGGGGACAGCATTGGGGACATTGTACACAGCTGCCAGGACCTGGGGACATTGGGGACATTGGGGACATTGTACACGGCTGCCAGGACCTGGGGACATTGGGGACATTGTACACAGCTGCCAGGACCTGGGGACATTGGGGACATTGGGGACATTGTACACGGCTGCCAGGACCTGGGGACATTGGGGACATTGTACACAGCTGCCAGGACCTGGGGACATTGGGGACACCATTGGGGACATTGGGGACACCATTGGGGACATTGTACACAGCTGCCAGGACCTGGGGACATTGGGGACATTGGTGACATCATTGGGGACATTGGGGACATTGTACACGGCTGCCAGGACCTGGGGACATTGGGGACACCATTGGGGACATCACTGAGGGCTTTGTACACGGCTGCCAGGACCTGGGGACATCGGGGACATTGTACACGGCTGCCAGGACCTGGGGACATCGGGGACATTGTACACGGCTGCCAGGACCTGGGGACATCGGGGACATTGTACACGGCTGCCAGGACCTGGGGACATTGGGGACAGCATTGGGGACATCACTGAGGGCTTTGTACACGGCTGCCAGGACCTGGGGACACCATTGGGGACATTGGGGACAGCACTGGGGACATTGTACACAGCTGCCAGGACCTGGGGACAGCATTGGGGACATTGTACACGGCTGCCAGGACCTGGGGGGGACATTGGGGACATTGGGGACATTGTACACGGCTGCCAGGACCTGGGGACATTGGGGACATCGGGGACAGCATTGGGGACATTGTACACGGCTGCCAGGACCTGGGGACATTGGGGACATTGGGGACATTGTACACGGCTGCCAGGACCTGGGGACATTATTGGGGACATTGTACACGGCTGCCAGGACCTGGGACAGCATTGGGGACATTGGGGACACTTTGGTGACATTTGTGGACACTTGGAGACATTTGGGGACACTGGGGACCCCTGGGGACACCTTGGGGACACTTCAGGACACTTGGGGACATCACTCGGGACACTTGGGGACACTTTGGGGACATTTGTGGACACTTGGGGACACTTGGAGACATTTGGGGACATCATTGGGAACACTGGGGGACACTTGGAGACATCTTGGGGACACTGTGGGGACACTTGGGGACAGTTGGGGACACCTTGGTGACACTTGGGGACACCTTGGGGACACTTTGGGGACCCCTGGGGACACTCGGGGACACTTGGATACATTTGGGGACACTTGTGGACACCTGGGGACAACTTGGGGACATTGGGGGACACTGGGGGACACTTGGGGACATCATTGGAGACACTGTGGGGACACTTGGGGACACCAGAGACACTGGGGAACACCTGGGGACACTGTGGGGACACTCGGGGACATCTGGGGACATCATTGGGGACACTTGGGGACGCTTGGGGACACTTGTGGACACTTGGGGACATCTGGGGACACTGGGAGACACCTTGGGGACACCTTGGGGACATTAGGGACACTTGGGGACCCCGGGGACACTTGGGGACATTTGGGGACACTTGTGGACACTTGGGGACACCTGGGGACCCCTGGGGACCCCTGGGGACCCCTGGGGACATTTGGGGACACTTGGGGACACCATTGGAGACACTTGGGGACACTTGGGGACACCCTGGGGACATTTGGGGACACTTGGGGACAGTTGGAGACATTTGGGGACATTTGGGCACACTTGGGGACACTTGGGGACATCATTGGGGACACCTTGGGGACACCTTGGGGACACCTTGGGACAACTGGGGACACTTGTGGACACTGTGGAGACACTTGGGGACATCATTTGGGACACTTGTGGACACCTGGAGACATTTGGGGACACTGGGGAACCCCTGGGGACACTTGGGGACACTTGGGGACACCTGGGGACACTTGGGGACATTTGGGGACATCATTGGGGACACTTGGGGACACTGGAGGACATTACTGGAGACACTTGGGGACACTGGGAGACACTTGGGGGCACCCTGGGGACCCCTGGTGACACCTGGGGACACCTTGGGGACACCTGGGGACACTGTGGGGCCACTGGGGGGGATACCTGGGGACACCATGGGGACACTTGGAGACATTTGGGGACACCTGGGGACACTTGGGGTCACCTGGAGACATCATTGGGGACACTTGGGGACATCATTGAGGACACTTGGGGACACTTGTGGACACTTGGAGACATTTGGGGACACTTGGGGACACTTGGTGACACTGGGGACACCCCGGGGGTGGCACTGACCTTCTCGGTGACGTACTGGCACGTCTTCAGGTCGTGGTCACCGTCCGGGAGGATCTCGGGCTCCACGATGGGCACGATGCCGTTCTGGGGACACCAGGGGACACGGAGGGGACACGGAGGGGACACGGAGGGGACACGGAGGGGACATGTCAGCCATGGTGGGGACAGCCAGGGGACACCCAGGGGACAGCCAGGGGACACCCAGGGGACAGCCAGGGGACAGCCAGGGGACGGCCAGGTGCCACCAAACCTGGTCTAGATGCCACCAAACCCCCTCCAGATGCCACCAAACCCCCTCCAGGTGCCACCAAACCCCCTCCAGATGCCACCAAACACAGTCTAGCTGCCACTAAACCTTTCCAGCTGCCACCAAACCCTGTTTAGATGCCACCAAACCCTCTCCAGGTGCCACCAAATCCCTTCCAGGTGCCACCAAACCCTCTCCAGATGCCACCAAACACAGTCTAGCTGCCACTAAACCTTTCCAGATGCCACCGAACCCCCTCCAGATGCCACCAAACCTTTCCAGATGCCACCAAACCCTGTCTAGATGCCACCAAACCCTCTCCAGGTGCCACCAAACATGCTTTAGATGCCACCAAACACTTCCAGGTGCCACCAAGTCTGGTTTAGATGCCACCAAACCTTTCCAGATGCCACCAAACCCTGTTTAGATGGCACCAAACCCTGTTTAGATGGCACCAAACCCCCTCCAGATGCCACCAAAGCCAGTCTAGCTGCCACTAAACCTTTCCAGATGCCACCAAACCCTCTCCAGATGCCACCAAACCCTGTTTAGATGCCACCAAACCCCCTTCAGATGCCACCAAACCCCCTCCAGATGCCACCAAACCCTGTTTAGACGCCACCAAACCCTGGTTAGATACCATCAAACCCTGTTTAGATGCCATTAAACCCCCTCCAGGTGCCACCAAACCCAGTTTAGATGCCACCAAATCTTTCTAGATGCCTCCAAACCCTGTTTAGATGCCACCAAACCTGGTCCAGATGCCACAAATCCTCTCTCGGTGCCACCAAACACAGTCTAGCTGCCACCAAACACAGTCTAGCTGCCACCAAACCTTTCCAGATGCCACCAAACCTGGTCTAGATGCCACCAAACCCTCTCCAGATGCCACCAAACTCTCTTCAGGTGCCACCAAACCCTCTCCAGATGCCTCCAAACCCTGTCTAGCTGCCAGTAAACCTTTCCAGATGTCACCAAACCCTCTCCAGGTGCCACCAAACATGGTTTAGATACCACCAAACACTTCTAGGTGCCACCATGTCTGGTTTAGATGCCACCAAACCTCTCTTGGTGCCACCAAACCCTCTCCAGATGCCACTAGACCTTTCCAGATGCCACCAAACCCTGTTTAGATGCCACCAAACCCCCTCCAGATGCCACCAAACCCTGTTTAGACACCACCAAACCCTGTTTAGATGCCACCAAACCCTGTCGCGCTGCCAGTAAACCTTTCCAGATGTCACCAAATCCTCTCCAGGTGCCACCAAACATGGTTTAGATGCCACCAAAGCCTGTTTAGATACCACCAACCCCTGTTTAGATACCACCAAACCCTGTTTAGATACCACCAACCCCCTCCAGACGGCACCTTTTGGCGCCACCTCCCCTGCGCTCCGTCCCCACACCACGGGGCCCTGCTGTGGACACTTGGGGACACTTGGGGACACTCGGGGACACTCGGTGACATCGCTGACCTGCTGGCAGATGCTGGCGTAGCGCGCCAGCACGTTGGCGTTCTCCATCACGGCCAGGCGGGTGGGCGTGTGCGCCGAGATCTTCAGCACGCAGCGCCACTTGGCAAAGTCAGCGCCGTCCTTCTTGTACTGGGCACAGCGCTCCATCAGCCCGTCCAGGCCTGGCAGGGGACATTGGGGACAATGGGGACATTGGGGACATTGGGGACATTGGGGACATTGGGGACATTGGGGACATTGGGGGGACATTGGGGGGATTGGGGACATTGGGGACATTGGGGACATTGGGGACATTGGGGGGATTGGGGACATTGGGGACAGTGGGGACATTGGGGACATTGGGGACATTGGGGACATTGGGGACATCGGGGACATTGGGGACACAGCGCCACTTGGCAAAGTCAGCACCGTCCTTCTTGTACTGGGCACAGCGCTCCATCAGCCCGTCCAGGCCTGGGACATCAGGGGGACATTGGGGACATTGGGGACATCTGGAGCAATGGGGACATTGGGGATGTTGGGGACATCTGGGATGTTGGAGACGTTTGGGACATTGGGGACAATGGGGACATTTGGTGGGGTTGGGGACATTGGGGACGTTGGGGGTGTTTGGGGCAATGGGGACATTGGGGGCATTGGGGACATTGGGGACACTGGAGAGTGTTGGGGACATTGGGGACATTGGGGACATTTGGCGCAAAGCGGACATTGGGGGTGTTTGGAGCAATGGGGACATTGGGGGGACAATGGGGACATTGGGGACATTGGGGACATTGGGGACATTGGGGACATTGGGGACATTGGGGACATTTGGGGACATTGGGGGACATTGGGGACATTGGGGACATTGGGGACATTGGGGGGACATTGGGGATATTTGGGGACATTGGGGACATTGGGGACAATGGGGGCAATGGGGACATTGGGGACATTGGGGACACTGGGGACATTGGGGACATTGGGGACGTTGGGGACATTGGGGACACTGGGGACATTGGGGACATTGGGGACATTGGGGACATTGGGGACGTTGGGGACATTGGGGACACTGGGGACATTGGGGACATTGGGGACATTGGGGACATTGGGGACATTGGGGACATTGGGGACATTGGGGACACTGGGGACATTGGGGACATTGGGGACGTTGGGGACATTGGGGACACTGGGGACATTGGGGGCATTGGGGACATTGGGGACGTTGGGGACATTGGGGACACTGGGGACATTGGGGACATTGGGGACATTGGGGACATTGGGGACACTGGGGACATTGGGGACATTGGGGACATTGGGGACATTGGGGACATTGGGACAGCAGGGTGACATTGGGGACATTGGGGACATTGGGGACATTGGGGACATTGGGGACATTGGGACAGCAGGGTGACATTGGGGACATTGGGGGCATTGGGGACACCGCAGGGGATCCATGAGGCCACCGAGCCCTGGGGCCATCGCGGCCATCGGGGACATCGGTGGCACAGGGACACGGGCCACCGTGAGCACCTTGGGGACATCGGGGACACGGAGCCTGTGGTGGCACAGGTGGCACTGGGGACAGGGCGGTGGCATTGGGGACAGGGCGGTGGCACTGGGGACAGTTTGGTGGCACTGGGGACAGGGTGGTGGCCTTGGGGACAGGTTGGTGGCACTGGGGACAGGGTGGTGGCCTTGGGGACAGGTTGGTGGCACTGGGGACAGTTTGGTGGCCTTGGGGACACGTTGGTGGCCTTGGGGACAGGTCGGTGGCCTTGGGGACAGTTGGTGGCCTTGGGGACAGTTGGTGGCCTTGGGGACAGTTTGGTGGCACTGGGGACACGTTGGTGGCCTTGGGGACAGTGTGGTGGCCTTGGGGACAGGGTGGTGGCCTTGGGGACAGGGACACAGTGGTGGCCTTGGGGACAGTTTGGTGGCACTGGGGACAGTTTGGTGGCCTTGGGGACAGGGTGGTGGCCTTGGGGACAGTTTGGTGGCCTTGGGGACAGGTTGGTGGCACTGGGGACACGTTGGTGGCCTTGGGGACACGTTGGTGGCACTGGGGACAGTTTGGTGGCCTTGGGGACAGTTTGGTGGCACTGGGGACACGTTGGTGGCCTTGGGGACAGTTTGGTGGCCTTGGGGACAGTTTGGTGGCACTGGGGACACGTTGGTGGCACTGGGGACACGTTGGTGGCCTTGGGGACAGTTTGGTGGCCTTGGTGACACGTTGGTGGCCTTGGGGACAGTTTGGTGGCCTTGGGGACAGTTTGGTGGCCTTGGGGACAGGTTGGTGGCCTTGGTGACACGTTGGTGGCACTGGGGACAGGTTGGTGGCACTGGGGACAGTTTGGTGGCACTGGGGACATGTTGGTGGCCTTAGGGACAGGTTGGTGGCCTTGGGGACAGTTTGGTGGCCTTAGGGACAGGGCGGTGGCACTGGGGACACGTTGGTGGCACTGGGGACAGGTTGGTGGCTTTGGGGACAGTTTGGTGGCCTTGGGGACAGTTTGGTGGCCTTGAGGACAGGGTGGTGGCCTTGGGGACACGTTGGTGGCCTTGGGGACAGGTTGGTGGCCTTGGGGACAGGGTGGTGGCCTTGGGGACAGTTTGGTGGCCTTGGGGACAGGGCGGTGGCATTGGGGACAGGTTGGTGGCACTGGGGACAGTTTGGTGGCCTTGGGGACAGTTTGGTGGCACTGGGGACACATTGGTGGCTCTGGGGACAGGTTGGTGGCCTTGGGGACAGTTTGGTGGCCTTGGGGACAGGTTGGTGGCCTTGGGGACAGGTTGGTGGCCTTGGGGACAGTTTGGTGGCCTTGGGGACAGTTTGGTGGCACTGGGGACAGTGTGGTGGCCTTGGGGACAGTTTGGTGGCCTTGGGGACAGGTTGGTGGCACTGGGGACAGCGTGGTGGCCTTGGGGACAGGTTGGTGGCCTTGGGGACAGTTTGGTGGCCTTGGGGACAGGGTGGTGGCACTGTGGACAGGTTGGTGGCCTTGGAGACACGTTGGTGGCCTTGGGGACAGTTGGTGGCCTTGGGGACAGGTTGGTGGCACTGGGGACAGGTTGGTGGCCTTGGGGACAGTTTGGAGGCACTGGGGACAGGTTGGTGGCCTTGGGGACAGTTTGGTGGCCTTGGGGACAGGTTGGTGGCCTTGGGGACAGGTTGGTGGCACTGGGGACAGTTTGGTGGCCTTGGGGACACGTTGGTGGCCTTGGGGACAGGTTGGTGACCTTAGGGACAGTTTGGTGGCACTGAGGACAGGTTGGTGGCCTTGGGGACAGGTTGGTGGCACTGGGGACAGTTTGGTGACCTTGGGGACAGGGTGGTGGCCTTGGGGACAGTTTGGTGGCACTGGTGACACATTGGTGGCACTGGGGACAGGTTGGTGGCCTTGGGGACAGTTTGGTGGCCTTGGGGACAGTTTGGTGGCACTGGGGACAGGTCGGTGGCACTGGGGACACATTGGTGGCCTTGGGGACAGGTTGGTGGCCTTGGGGACAGGGTGGTGGCCTTGGTGACACGTTGGTGGCCTTGGGGACAGGGTGGTGGCACTGGGGACAGGGTGGTGGCCTTGGGGACAGTTTGGTGGCACTGGGGACAGTTTGGTGGCCTTGGGGACAGGGTGGTGGCACTGGTGACACGTTGGTGGCACTGGGGACACGTTGGTGGCCTTGGGGACAGGGTGGTGGCCTTGGGGACAGTTTGGTGGCCTTGGGGACAGGTTGGTGGCCTTGGGGACAGGTTGGTGGCACTGGGGACAGGGTGGTGGCCTTGGGGACAGTTTGGTGGCCTTGGGGACAGGTTGGTGGCCTTGGGGACAGTTTGGTGGCCTTGGGGACACGTTGGTGGCACTGGGGACAGTTTGGTGGCCTTGGGGACACTTTGGTGGCACTGGGGACAGGGTGGTGGCCTTGGAGACAGTTTGGTGGCACTGGGGACACGTTGGTGGCCTTGGGGACAGTTTGGTGGCCTTGGGGACAGGGTGGTGGCACTGGGGACAGGTTGGTGGCCTTGGGGACAGTTTGGTGGCACTGAGGACACGTTGGTGGCACTGGGGACAGTTTGGTGGCACTGGGGACAGTTTGGTGACACTGGGGACAGGGTGGTGGCACTGGGGACAGTTTGGTGGCCTTGGGGACAGGGTGGTGGCACTGGGGACAGTTTGGTGGCACTGGGGACAGGTTGGTGGCCTTGGTGACACGTTGGTGGCCTTGGGGACAGGTTGGTGGCCTTGGGGACACGTTGGTGGCACTGGGGACACGTTGGTGGCCTTGGGGACAGGTTGGTGGCACTGGGGACAGGGCGGTGGCCTTGGGGACAGGTTGGTGGCACTGGGGACAGGGCGGTGGCCTTGGGGACAGGGTGGTGGCACTGGGGACAGTTTGGTGGCCTTGGTGACAGTTTGGTGGCCTTGGGGACAGTTTGGTGGCCTTGGGGACAGGTTGGTGGCACTGGGGACACATTGGTGGCACTGGGGACAGTTTGGTGGCATTGGGGACACGTTGGTGGCCTTGGGGACAGGTTGGTGGCACTGGGGACAGTTTGGTGGCCTTGGGGACAGGGCGGTGGCCTTGAGGACAGTTTGGTGGCCTTGGGGACAGTTTGGTGGCCTTGGGGACACGTTGGTGGCCTTGGGGACAGTTTGGTGGCACTGGGGACAGGTTGGTGGCACTGGGGACAGTTTGGTGGCCTTGGGGACAGTTTGGTGGCACTGGGGACAGTTTGGTGGCACTGAGGACAGGTTGGTGGCCTTGGGGACAGGGCGGTGGCCTTGGGGACAGGTTGGTGGCCTTGGGGACAGGGTGGTGGCACTGGTGACACGTTGGTGGCCTTGGGGACAGGGTGGTGGCTTTGGGGACAGGTTGGTGGCACTGGGGACAGTTGGTGGCCTTGGGGACAGTTTGGTGGCCTTGGGGACAGCGCTGTCACTCACCCTGGGTCGTGGTCTCGCCGTTGGTGCCAGCCAGGGGCACCACGCCCTTGTCCACCTGGGGACAGTGACACCGTCAGCGGGACAGCGGGACATGGCCACCGGTGTCCCCAGGGTGTCCTCAGGGTGTCCCCAGGGGGTCCCCAGGGTGTCCCCAGGGTGTCCCCAATGTCCCAAAGTCCCCAAATGTCCCCAAATGTCCCCAAATGTCCCCAAATGTCCCCAAATGTCCCCAAATGTCCCCCTCTGAACCCCCCTTAGATGTGGCTCCTCTGCTCTTCCAACTCACCTTGAGTTGGGTCAACCCAAACTAACCAACCAACTTAACCAACCCAACCAACCCAACCAACCCAACCAACCCAACCCAACTCAACTCAACCCAACCAACCCAACCAACCCAACCCAACCAACCCAACCAACCCAACCAACCCAACCCAACTCAACCCAACCCAACCCAACCCAACCTAACTCAACCCAACTCAACTAACGCAACTGAACTCAACCCAACTCAACTCAACTCAACCCAAACTATTTCAACCCAACCCAACCCAACCCAACCCAACCAACCCAAACCAACCAACTCATCCCAACCCAACCAACCCAACCCAACTCAACCCAACCCAACCATCCCAACCAACCCAACCCAATCTAAATCAAATCAACCAACCAACCCAACCAACCCAACTCAACTCAGCCCAAACCATTTCAACCCAACCAACCCAACCCAACTCAACCCATCCCAACCAACCCACCCCAACCCAAGCCAACCAACACAACTCAACCCGCCCAAACCATCTCAAACCAACTCAACCCAAACTATTTCAACCCAACCCAACTCAACCCAACCCAATCCAACCAACCCAACCAACCCAACCCAACCCAACCGAATTTAACTCAACCCAACTCAAGTCAACCCAACCAAACCAACCCAACCCAACCCAACTCACCCAACCAATCCAACTCAACTAACCCAACTGAACCCAACTGAACCCAACCCAACTCAACCCAAACCATTTTAACTCAACCCAACCCAACCCAACTCAAGTCAACTCAACCCAAACCATTTTAACCCAACTCAACCCAACCCAATCTAACCCAACCCAACCCAACTCAACCCCTTCCACCTTCCCAAGCCCCGTGACGCCCCCAATGACCCCGAGATGTCCCCGAGATGTCCCCGAGATGTCCCCGAGATGTCCCCGTGACGCCCCCGATGTCCCCGAGATGTCCCCGTGACGCCCCCGATGTCCCTGAGATGCCCCCGATGTCCCCGTGACGCCCCCGAGGTGTCCCCGCGATGTCCCCGAGATGTCCCCGAGATGTCCCCGATGACCCCGAGATGTCCCCGATGTCCCCGTGACGCCCCCGAGGTGTCCCCGCGATGTCCCCGAGATGTCCCCGAGATGTCCCCGATGACCCCGAGATGTCCCTGAGGTGTCCCCGTGACGCCCCCGATGACCCCGAGATGTCCCCGAGATGTCCCCAGGGTGTCCCCAGGGTGTCCCCAATGTCCCAAATGTCCCCAAATGTCCCCAAATGTCCCCCTCTGAACCCCCCTTAGATGTGGCTCCTCTGTTCCCACTTCTCCATGACCAACCCAACCAACCCAACCCAACTAACTCAACCCAACCAACCCACCCAACCCAACCGAATCCAACCAACTCAATCCAACCAACCCAACCAACCCAACCCAACCAATCCAAACTAACCCAACCCAACCCAACCTAACCGAACTCAACTCAACCCAACTCAACCAACCCAACCCAATCTAACTCAACTCAACCCAACTTGGCCGACCCGACCCAACTCACCCAACTAACCCAACTCAACTCAACCCAAACTATTTCAACTCAACCCAACTCAACCCAACCCAACCCAACCCAACCAACCCAACCCAACCAACCCAACCAACCCAACCCAACCAACACAACCCAAACCATTTCAACCCAACTCAACTCAACCCAACCCAACCCAACCAACCAAACGCAACCCAATCTAACTCAACTCAACTCAACCAACCCAACCCAACCCAACCAACCCAACTCAACCCCTTCCACCTTCCCAACCCCCGTGATGTCCCCGAGATGTCCCCGACGTGTCCCCGCGGTGTCCCCGCGGTGCCCCACACCCACCTTGATGCCCACCAGGGCGCCCTTGTCGCGGATGACCTGCGGGAAGGGGCGCCCGTCGTCGGCCTTCTGGTACATGGTCTCGTGGAAGAGGATGACGCCGCCGATGCACGGCTCCACGCGCTTGTCGGCCGTGAACAGCAGCTGCCGGTACCAGCGCCGGTTCTCCTCCGTGTTCTCGGCGCCCACCGAGCTCAGGCGCTTGGCGATGCTGCCTGAGGGGGGGAGAACCGGTTAGAACCAGTTAGAACCAGTGTGGAGCGGTCAGAACCGGTATAAACCAGTTACAAGTTGTATAAACCAGTTAGAACCAATGTAAATCAGCATGAACCAGTATGGACTGGTTAAACCAGTTTGGCTCAGCCACTTGGCAATGCTGCCTGTGGGGGGAGGAACCAGTTAGAACCAGTTAGAACCTGTATAAACCAGTTAGAACCAGTCAGAACCAATTAGAACCTGTATAAACCAGTTACAAGTTGTATAAACCACTTAGAACCTATATAAACCAGTTAGAACCAGTATAAAACAGTCACAATCAATGTAGATCACTATGAACCAGTATGGACCAGTCAGGACCTGTATAAACCAGTTACAAGCTGTATAAACCAGTTAGGGCCTATCAAAACCAGTTAGAACCAGTCTGGCTCAGCCGCTTGGCGATGCTGCCTGAGGGGGGGGAGACCGGTTAGAACCAGTTAGAACCAGTGTGGAGCGGTCAGGACCTGTATAAACCAGTTACAAGCCGTATAAACCAGTTAGAACCAGTATGGACTGGTTAAACCAGTCTGGCTCAGCCACTTGGCGATGCTGCCTGAGGGGGGAGGAACCAGTTAGAACCAGTATAAACCAGTCAGAACCGGTATAAACCAGTTACAAGCTGTATAAACCAGTTAGAACCTATATAAACCGGTTAGAACCTGTATAAGCCAGTTACAAGTTGCATAAACCAGTTAGAACCTGTATAAACCAGTTAGAAGCAGTATGGACCAGTCAGAACCTGTATAAACCAGTTACAAGCTGTATAAACCAGTTAGAACCAGTATGGACTGGTTAAACCAGTCTGGCTCAGACGCTTGGCGATGCTGCCTGAGGGGGGGGAAACTGGTTAGAACCAGTTAGAACCGGTCAGAACCAGTATGAACCAGTTAGAACCTACATAAACCAGTTACAAGTTGTATAAACCAGTTAGAACCTATATAAACCAGTTAGAATGTATATAAACCAGTTAGAACCAGTCTGGCTCAGCCGCTTGGCGATGCTGCCTGAGGGGGGGAGACCGGTTAGAACCAGTTAGAACCTGTATAAACCTGTTAGAACCAGTATAAACCAGTCACAACCAATGTAGATCAGTATGAACCAGTATGGCCCAGTTAGAACCAGTATGGCTCAGTCGCTTGGCGATGCTGCCTGAGGGGGGGAGACCGGTTAGAACCAGTTAGAACCAGTATAAACCTGTCAGAACCTGTATAAACCAGTTAGAACCTATATAGACCAGTTAGAACCTGTATAAACCAGTTACAAGCTGTATAAACCAGTCAGAACCTGTATAAACCAGTTAGAACCAGTATAAACCTCTCAGAACCTGTATAAACCAGTCAGAACCTGTATAAACCAGTTACAAGCCGTATAACCAGTTAGAACCTATATAAACCAGTTACAACCTATATAAACCAGTCAGAACCGGTATAAACCAGTTACAAGCTGTATAAACCAGTTAGAACCTATATAAACCAGTTAGAACCAGTCTGGACCTGTCAGAACCTGTATAAACCAGTTACAAGCTGTATAAACCAGTTAGGGCCTATATAAACCAGTTAGAACCAGTCTGGACCAGTCAGAACCTCTATAAACCAGTTACAAGTTGTATAAACCAGTTAGAACGTATATAAACCAGTTAGAACCTACATAAACCAGTCAGAACCAGTATGGACTGGTCAGAACCTGTATAAGCCAGTTTACAAGCTGTATAAACCTGTCAGAACCTACATAAACCAGTCAGAACCTGTATAAACCAGTTACAAGCTGTATAAACCAGTTAGAAGCTATATAAACCAGTTAAAACCAGTATAAACCAGTTAGAACCAGTCTGGCTCAGCCGCTTGGCGATGCTGCCTGAGGGGGGGAGACCGGTCAGAACCAGTATAAACCAGTTAGAACCTATATAAACCAGTCAGAACCTGTATAAACCAGTTACAAGCTGTATAAACCAGTCAGAACCTGTATAAACCAGTTAGAACTTATATAAACCAGTTAGAACCTATATAAACCAGTTAGAACCTATATAAACCAGGTAGAACCAGTATGGACCGGTCAGGACCTGTATAAACCAGTTTACAAGTTGTATAAACCAGTTAGGGCCTATATAAACCAGTTAGAACCTATATAGACCAGTCAGAACCGGTATAAACCAGTTAGAACCTATATAAACCAGTTAGAACCAGTCTGGACCAGTCAGAACCTGTATAAACCAGTTACAAGCTGTATAAAACTGTCAGAACCTATATAAACCAGTTAGAACCTGTATAAACCAGTCAGAACCTGTATAAACCAGTTAGAACCAGTATAAACCAGTTAGAACCTATATAAACCAGTTAGAACCAGTATAAACCAGTCACAACCAATATATATCAGTATGAACCAGTATGGACCAGTTACAACCAGTCTGGCTCAGGCGCTTGGCGATGCTGCCTGAGGGGGGGAGAACCGGTTAGAACCAGTTAGAACCAGTCAGAACCAGTCAGAACCAGTTACAAGCTGTATAAACCAGTTAGAACCTATATAAACCAGTTAGGGCTTATATAAACCAGTTAGAACCAGTATGGACTGGTTAAACCAGTTTGGCTCAGACGCTTGGCGATGCTGCCTGAGGGGGGGAGAACCAGTTAGAACCAGTTAGAACCAGTATAAACCAGTTACAAGCTGTATAAACCAGTTACAAGCTGTATAAACCAGTTACAAGCTGTATAAACCAGTCAGAACAAGTATGGACCAGTCAGAACCTATATAAACCAGTTAGAACCAGTCTGGACCGGTCAGAACCTCTATAAACCAGTTACAAGTTGTATAAACCAGTTAGAACATATATAAACCAGTTACGGCCTATATAAACCAGTTAGAACCTATATAAACCAGTTAGAACCTATATAAACCAGTTAGAACCAGTATGGACTGGTCAGAACCTGTATAAGCCAGTTTACAAGCTGTATAAACCTGTCAGAACCTATATAAACTAGTCAGAACCTGTATAAACCAGTTACAAGCTGTATAAACCAGTTAGAACCAGTATAAACCAGTTAGAACCAGTCTGGCTGAGCCGCTTGGCGATGCTGCCTGAGGGGGGGGAAACCAGTCAGAACCAGTATAAACCAGTTAGAACCTGTATAAACCAGTTACAAGCTGTATAAACCAGTTAAAACCAGTATAAACCAGTTAGAACCTGTATAAACCAGTTAGAACCAGTATGGACCAGTCAGAACCTGTATAAACCTGTCAGAACCTATATAAACCAGTTAGAACCTATATAAACCAGTTAGGGCCTATATAAACCAGTTAGAACCAGTATGGACCAGTTAGAACCAGTATAAACCAGTTAGAACCTATATAAACCAGTTAGAACCTATATAGACCAGTTAGAACCTGTATAAACCAGTTACAAGCTGTATAAACCAGTCAGAACCTGTATAAACCAGTTAGAACCAGTATAAACCTCTCAGAACCTGTATAAACCAGTCAGAACCTGTATAAACCAGTTACAAGCCGTATAACCAGTTAGAACCTATATAAACCAGTTACAACCTATATAAACCAGTCAGAACCGGTATAAACCAGTTACAAGCTGTATAAACCAGTTAGAACCTATATAAACCAGTTAGAACCAGTCTGGACCTGTCAGAACCTGTATAAACCAGTTACAAGCTGTATAAACCAGTTAGGGCCTATATAAACCAGTTAGAACCAGTCTGGACCAGTCAGAACCTCTATAAACCAGTTACAAGTTGTATAAACCAGTTAGAACGTATATAAACCAGTTAGAACCTACATAAACCAGTCAGAACCAGTATGGACTGGTCAGAACCTGTATAAGCCAGTTTACAAGCTGTATAAACCTGTCAGAACCTACATAAACCAGTCAGAACCTGTATAAACCAGTTACAAGCTGTATAAACCAGTTAGAAGCTATATAAACCAGTTAAAACCAGTATAAACCAGTTAGAACCAGTCTGGCTCAGCCGCTTGGCGATGCTGCCTGAGGGGGGGAGACCGGTCAGAACCAGTATAAACCAGTTAGAACCTATATAAACCAGTCAGAACCTGTATAAACCAGTTACAAGCTGTATAAACCAGTCAGAACCTGTATAAACCAGTTAGAACTTATATAAACCAGTTAGAACCTATATAAACCAGTTAGAACCTATATAAACCAGGTAGAACCAGTATGGACCGGTCAGGACCTGTATAAACCAGTTACAAGTTGTATAAACCAGTTAGGGCCTATATAAACCAGTTAGAACCTATATAGACCAGTCAGAACCGGTATAAACCAGTTAGAACCTATATAAACCAGTTAGAACCAGTCTGGACCAGTCAGAACCTGTATAAACCAGTTACAAGCTGTATAAAACTGTCAGAACCTATATAAACCAGTTAGAACCTGTATAAACCAGTCAGAACCTGTATAAACCAGTTAGAACCAGTATAAACCAGTTAGAACCTATATAAACCAGTTAGAACCAGTATAAACCAGTCACAACCAATATATATCAGTATGAACCAGTATGGACCAGTTACAACCAGTCTGGCTCAGGCGCTTGGCGATGCTGCCTGAGGGGGGGAGAACCGGTTAGAACCAGTTAGAACCAGTCAGAACCAGTCAGAACCAGTTACAAGCTGTATAAACCAGTTAGAACCTATATAAACCAGTTAGGGCTTATATAAACCAGTTAGAACCAGTATGGACTGGTTAAACCAGTTTGGCTCAGACGCTTGGCGATGCTGCCTGAGGGGGGGAGAACCAGTTAGAACCAGTTAGAACCAGTATAAACCAGTTACAAGCTGTATAAACCAGTTACAAGCTGTATAAACCAGTTACAAGCTGTATAAACCAGTCAGAACAAGTATGGACCAGTCAGAACCTATATAAACCAGTTAGAACCAGTCTGGACCGGTCAGAACCTCTATAAACCAGTTACAAGTTGTATAAACCAGTTAGAACATATATAAACCAGTTACGGCCTATATAAACCAGTTAGAACCTATATAAACCAGTTAGAACCTATATAAACCAGTTAGAACCAGTATGGACTGGTCAGAACCTGTATAAGCCAGTTTACAAGCTGTATAAACCTGTCAGAACCTATATAAACTAGTCAGAACCTGTATAAACCAGTTACAAGCTGTATAAACCAGTTAGAACCAGTATAAACCAGTTAGAACCAGTCTGGCTGAGCCGCTTGGCGATGCTGCCTGAGGGGGGGGAAACCAGTCAGAACCAGTATAAACCAGTTAGAACCTGTATAAACCAGTTACAAGCTGTATAAACCAGTTAAAACCAGTATAAACCAGTTAGAACCTGTATAAACCAGTTAGAACCAGTATGGACCAGTCAGAACCTGTATAAACCTGTCAGAACCTATATAAACCAGTTAGAACCTATATAAACCAGTTAGGGCCTATATAAACCAGTTAGAACCAGTATGGACCAGTTAGAACCAGTATAAACCAGTTAGAACCAGTATGGACCAGTCAGAACCTGTATAAACCAGTCAGGACCTGTATAAACCAGTTACAAGCTGTATAAACTGGTTAGAACCTATATAAACCAGTTAGAACCAGTATAAACCAGTCAGTACCGGTATAAACCAGTTACAAGCTGTATAAACCAGTTAGAACCTATATAAACCAGTTAGAACCAGTATAAACCAGTTAGAACCTGTATAAACCTGTCAGAACCTACATAAACCAGTTAGAACCTATATAAACCAGTTAGAACCAGTATAAACCAGTTAGAACCAGTATAAACCTGTCAGAACCTATATAAACCAGTTAGAACCAGTATAAACCAGTTAGAACCAGTTAGAACCAGTTAGAACCTGTATAAACCAATTAAACCCTACACAAACCAGTTAAAACCAGTATAAACCAGTTAGAACCTGTACTGACCACTCAGAACCAGTATAAACCAGTTAGGATCGCTACAGACCAGTATGGACTGGTAAAACCAGTATGGACCAGTATAAGTCAGTCAAAACCAGTATAGACTGATGTAAACCAGTATGGACCAGTTAGATCCAGTATGGACCAGTATAAGCCAGTCAGAACCAGTATAGACCAGTTAGAACCAGTATGAACCAGTATAAGTCAGTCAAAACCAGTATAGACTGATATAAACCAGTATAGACCAGTATAAACCAGTATGGACCAGTATAAACCAGTCTGGCTCGGCCACTTGGCAATGCTGCCTGCAGAGGGATGGACCGGTCAGAACCAGTATAAACCAGTTAGAACCAGTATGGACCAGTATAAACCAGTGTACACCAGTATAAACCAGGAACCCCCAGCCAGGCTCCTGGCATTGCCTCGGTGCTCCCCAGTATAAACCAGTAACTCCCAGTAACTCCCAGTAAGTCCCAGTTCACTCCCAGTTCCCTCCCAGTCCCTCCCAGTCCCCCCCAGTCCCTCCCAGTCCCTCCCAGTCCATCCCAGTCCATTCCCAGTCCCTCCCAGTCCATTCCCAGTCCCTCCCAGTCCGTCCCAGTATAACCCAGTCCCTCCCAGTCTGTCCCAGTCCCTCCCAGTCCATTCCCAGTCCCTCCCAGTCCATTCCCAGTCCCTCCCAGTCTCTCCCAGTCCCTCCCAGTCCCTCCCAGTCTCTCCCAGTCCCTCCCAGTCCATTCCAACTTCACTCCCAGTCCCTCCCAGTCCCTCCCAGTCCCTCCCAGTCTCTCCCAGTCCCTCCCAGTCTCTCCCAGTCCCTCCCAGTCCATCCCAGTTCACTCCCAGTCCCTCCCAGTTCGCTCCCAGTCTCTCCCAGTCCCTCCCAGTCCATCCCAGTCCATTCCCAGTCCCTCCCAGTCTGTCCCAGTCCCTCCCAGTCCGTTCCAGTCCACTCCCAGTCCATTCCCAGTCCCTCCCAGTCCCTCCCAGTCCATTCCCAGTCCCTCCCAGTCCATTCCCAGTCCCTCCCAGTATAACCCAGTCCCTCCCAGTCCCTCCCAGTCCATTCCCAGTCCCTCCCAGTCCATCCCAGTACAGACCAGTAGACTCATCGGCGGCCAGGATGCCCTTGCCGGGCGCCACGATGCGCTGGGCGATGGCCGCGGTGCCTCCCAGTCCATTCCCAGTCCATTCCCAGTCCCTCCCAGTATAACCCAGTCCATTCCCAGTCTCTCCCAGTCCCTCCCAGTCCCTCCCAGTTTGTCCCAGTACACACCAGTAGACTCATCAGCAGCCAGGATGCCCTTGCCGGGCGCCACGATGCGCTGGGCGATGGCCGCGGTGCCTCCCAGTCCCTCCCAGTATAACCCAGTCCATTCCCAGTCCCTCCCAGTGCCCTCCCAGCCCATTCCCAGTCCGCCCCAGTTTATCCCAGTTCACTCCCAGTCCTTCCCAGTCTGTCCCAGTCCATTCCCAGTCCCTCCCAGTATAACCCAGTCCATCCCAGTACACACCAGTGGACTCGTCGGCAGCCAGGATGCCCTTGCCGGGCGCCACGATGCGCTGGGCGATGGCCGCCAGCTCCTTCTTCTGCTCGGGGGTCAGCGCGGGCACGGGGGGGGACATCCTGCGGCCACCGCTGCAGGGACAGCGTGTGACGTCACCGTGGCGGCACCGTGACGTCACCATGATGTGACAATGACGTCACAGTGATGTCACCATGATGTCACAGTGATGTCACAGGGGTGGTGGTGATGTCATCGGTCACACCTGCGGTGAGGGAGGGGAACGGACATGGCCACACCCCAGGGGGGGTCCCCAAAAAGGGGACTGGGAGGGACTGGGAGGGACTGGGAGGGACTGGGAGGGGACTGGGTTATAATGGGAGGGAACTGGGTTATACCGGGTTATACTGGTAAGGGACTGGGAGAGACTGGGAGAGACTGGGAGGGACTGGGAGCGAACTGGGAGGGACTGGGAGGGACTGGGAGGAGTCTGAGGGCACCGAGAGTGAACTGGGACTGGGATGGAAGTGGACTGGGAGGGACTGGAAGTGGACTGGGAGGGACTGGGAGTGAACTGGGAGCCAATGGGAATGGACTGGGGACACTGGGAGTGAACTGGGAGGGCCCTGGGGGCACTGGGATGAGATAAGGAGGGCACTGATAAGGACTGGGGGCACTGGGAGTGAACTGGGACTGAACTGGGAGGGGACTGGGACTGAACTGGGGGCACTGGGAGTGGACTGGGATTGAACTGGGGCACTGGGACTGAACTGGGATGGGACTCGGGCCACTGGGAGTGAACTGGGAAGGGACTGGGAGTAGATGGAGAGTGACTGGGAGTGACTGGTGAAGGTCAGGGAGCACTGGGAAGGGACTGGGACTGAACTGGAGGCACTGGGACTGAACTGGGAGGAGACTGGGAGGAGATAAGGAGGGCACTGATAAGGACTGGGAATGGACTGGGAAGGACTGGGAGGGACTGGGAGGGGACTGGGATGGACTGGGAATGGACTGGGAGGGAACTGGGAGGGACTGGGAGGGAACTGGGAGGGACTGGGAGGGACTGGGAGTGAACTGGGAGGGACTGGGATGGACTAGGAGTGAACTGGGATGGACTGGGAGGGGATTGTGGGGGAATGGGATGGACTGGGAGGGACTGGGAATGGACTGGGAGGGACTGGGAGGGGACTGGGAATGACTGGGAGAGACTGGGAGTGAACTGGGATAAACTGGGATGGACTGGGAATGGACAGGGAGGGACTGGGAGGGACTGGGAGGGACTGGGAGGGACTGGGAGGGACTGGGAGGGACTGGGGGGAATTGGGGGGGACTGGGAAGGGACTGGGAGGGACTGGGAGGGGACTGGGAGGGAACTGGGGGGGACTGGGAGGGAACTGGGAGGGACTGGGAGGGACTGGGAGGGACTGGGAGGGACTGGGAGGGGACTGGGAGGGACTGGGAGTGAACTGGGACAGACTGGGAGGGACTGGGGGGGACTGGGAGGGACTGGGAGGGAACTGGGGGGGACTGGGAGTGAATTGGGAGGGGACTGGGAGGGACTGGGAGGGAACTGGGAGGGACTGGGAGGGCACTGGGAGTGAACTGGGAGGGACTGGGAGGGACTGGGACTGAACTGGAAGGGACTGGGGGCACTGGAAGTTAACTGGGGCACTGGGAGTGGACTGGGAGTGAACTGGGAGTGAACTGGGGGCACTGGGAAGGGACTGGGGGCACTGGGAGGTGACTGGGACTGAACTGGGAGTGACTGGGAACAGATTGAGAGTGACTGGGAGTGACTGGTAAAGGTCAGGGAGCACTGGGAGTGAACTGGGACTGAACTGGGGGCACTGGGAAGGGACTGGGGGCACTGGAAGGAGATAAGGAGGGCACTGATAAGGACTGGGGGCACTGGGAATGAACTGGGAGCGAACTGGGAGGGCACTGGGAACGAACTGGGGGCACTGGGAATGAACTGGCGGCACTGGGACTGAACTGGGACTGAGCTGGGAGGGGACTGGGAGTGATTTGGAACAGATGGAGAGTGACTGGGAGGGACTGGTGAAGGTCAGGGAGCACTGGGAAGGGACTGGGACTGAACTGGGAGGAGACTGGGAGGGACTGGGGGCACTGGGAGGGCACTGGGACGAGATAAGGAGGGCACTGATAAGGACTGGGGGCACTGGGAGTGAACTGGGACTGAGCTGGAAGTGAACTGGGAGGCACTGGGAGTGAACTGGGAGTGGACTGGGACCATTGGGAGTGAACTGGGCGCACTGGGAGGGGACTGGGAGTGAACTGGGGCCACTGGGACTGAACTGGGATGGGACTTGGGCCACTGGGAGTGAACTGGGAAGGGACTGGAGGTGCTGGAATTGAACTGGGGGCACTGGGAGTGAACTGGGAGGGACTGGGAGTAGATGGAGAGTGACTGGGAGAGGTCAGGGAGCACTGGGAAGGGACTGGGACTGAACTGGGGGCACTGGGACTGAACTGGGGGCACTGGGAAGGGACTGGGGGCACTGGGAGTGAACTGGGAGTGAACTGGGAGTGGACTGGGAGTGAACTGGGAGTGAACTGGGGGCACTGGGAGGGGACTGGGACTGAACTGGGGGCACTGGGAATGGACTGGGACTGAACTGGGAGGGACTGGGAACAGTTTGACAGTGACTGGGAGTGACTGGTAAAGGTCAGGGAGCACTGGGAAGGGACTGGGACTGAACTGGGAGGAGACTGGGAGGGACTGGGGGCACTGGGACTGAACTGGGAGGGCACTGGGAGGAGATAAGGAGGGCACTGATAAGGACTGGAGGCACTGGGAGTGAACTGGGAGTGAACTGGGAGTGAACTGGGGGCACTGGGAGTGAACTGGGACTGAACTGGGGGCACTGGGAGTGAACTGGGAGTGAACTGGGGGCACTGGGAATGGACTGGGGGCACTGGGAAGAGATAAGGAGGGCACTGATAAGGACTGGGGGCACTGGGAGTGAACTGGGAGTGAACTGGAGGCACTGGGAGTGAACTGGGAGTGAACTGGGGGCACTGGGACTGAACTGGGGGCACTGGGAGTGAACTGGGAGTGAACTGGGGGCACTGGGAAGGGACTGGGGGCACTGGGAGTGAACTGGGAGTGAACTGGGGGCACTGGGAGGGCACTGGGAGTGAACTGGGAGTGAACTGGGGGCACTGGGAGGGCACTGGGAGGGCAATGGGGGCACTGGGAGGGCACTGGGAGTGAACTGGGAAGAGACTGGGAGGGAACTGGGAGGGACTGGGAACAGATTGAGAGTAAGTGGGAGTGACTGGTAAAGGTCAGGGAGCACTGGGGGCACTGGGACTGAACTGGGGCCACTGGGAATGGACTGGGGGCACTGGGACTGAACTGGGAGGGGACTGGAAGGAGATAAGGAGGGCACTGGGGGCACTGGGAGGGGACTGGCAGTGAATTGGGACTGAACTGGGAGGGACTGGGGGCACTGGAAGTTAACTGGGGCACTGGGAGTGAACTGGGAGGGCACTGGGAGGAGATAAGGAGGGGACTGATAAGGACTGGGAGCACTGGGAGTGAACTGGGAGTGAACTGGGAGTGAACTGGGGGCACTGGGAGGGCACTGGGAGTGAACTGGGAGTGAACTGGGGGCACTGGGAGTGGACTGGGGGCACTGGGAGTGAACTGGGAGTGGACTGGGAGGAGATAAGGAGGGCACTGGGGGCACTGGGAGGGCACTGGGACTGAACTGGGGGCACTGGGAGGAGATAAGGAGGGCACTGATAAGGACTGGGGGCACTGGGAGTGAACTGGGAGGGCACTGGGAGGGACTGGGGGCACTGGAAGGTAACTGGGGCACTGGGAGTGAACTGGGAGTGAACTGGGAGTGAACTGGGAGTGAACTGGGAAGGGACTGGGGGCACTGACGGGGGAAGAACCCCAGATTTTGGGGGAAGAACCCCAGGATTGGAGGGGGAAAAAAATCTCAAGAATTTTTGGGAAGAACTCCCAAAATTTTGAGGGGAACACCCCAAAATTTTGAGGGGAAATCCCAAGATTTTGAGGGTAAAATCCCAAAATTTTGAGGGAAAACCTCCAGGAGTTTTAGGGGAAAATCCCAAAAATTTGAGGCGAAAACCTCAGGATTTTGAGGGGAAAACTCCAATATTTTTAGGGAAATATATCAAGATTTTAAGGGTAAAACCCCAAGATTTTGAGGGGAAATCCCAGGATTTTTAGGGGAAAACACCAAGATTTTAAGGGAAAAACCCCAAAATTTTGAGGGTAAAATCCCAAAATTTTTAGGGAAAAACCTCAGGATTTTGAGGGGAAACTTCCAATATTTGAAAGGGAAAAACCCCAAAGTTTTGAGGGTAAAATCCCAAAATTGTGAGGGGAAAACCCCGAGACTTTGAGGGGAACACCCCAAAATTTTGAGGGAAAACCTCCAGGAGTTTTAGGGGAAAATCCCAAAATTTGAGGGGAAAACCTCAGGATTTTGAGGGGAAAACTCCAATTTTTTAGGGAAAAATATCAAGATTTTAAGGGTAAAACACCAAGATTTTGAGGGGAAATCCCCAAAATTTTAAGGGAAAATCCCAAGATTTTTAGGGGAAAATCCCAAAATTTTAAGGGAAAATCCCAAGATTTTTAGGGGAAAACCCCAAAATTTTAAGGGAAAAACCACCAAAATTTTTAGGGAAAACCACCAAAATTTTTAGGGAAACATCCCAAGATTTTGGGGGGAAAACCTCAAGATTTTAAGGGGAAAACCCCAGGATTTTGGGAGGAAATCCCAAAATTTTGAGGGGAAAAGCCCAGGATTTTTAGGGTAAACCTCAAGATTTTAAGACTAAAACCCCAAGATTTTTAAGGGAAAACCCCAAAATTTTGAGGGCAAATCTTTAAAATTTTTAGGGAAATATCCCAAGATTTTAAGGAGAAACCCCAAGATTTTGAGAAAAAAACCCACAAAATTCTAAGGGAAAACCCCAAAATTTTGAGGAAAACCCCACAAAATTCTAAGGGAAACCCCCAAGATTTTAAGGAAAAAAACCCAAATTTTAAGGGAAACCCCCAGATTTTAAGGGAAACCCCCAGATTTTGAGGGAAAACCCCCAGATTTAAGGGTAAAATCCCAAAATTTTAAGGGAAAACCCCCAAGATTTTAAGGGAAAACCCCCAGATTTTGAGAGAAAACCCCAAAATTTTGAGAGAAAACCCCAAAATTTTAAGGGTAAAACCCGAAGATTTTGAGGACAAAACCCCAAAATTTTGAGGGAAAACCCCCGGATTTTGAGGGTAAACCTCAAGTTTTAAGAGTAAAGCCCCAAGTTTTTGAGGTGAAATCCCAAGATTTTAAGGAAAAACTCCCAAATTTTAAGGGAAAATCCCTACATTTTGAGGAAAAAAACCCAGATTTTAAGGGAAACACCCAGATTTTAAGGGAAAACCCCCAAATGTTAGGGGAAAATCCCAATATTTTAAGGGAAAACTCCCAGATTTTAAGGGAAAACCCCCAGATTTTAAGGAAAAACCCCTAAATTTTAGGGGAAAATCCCAAGATTTTAAGGGAAAACCCCCAGATTCTAAGGGAAAATCCCAAGATTTTAAGGAAAAACCCCCAGATTTGAAGAGAAAACCCCAGATTTGAAGGTAAACCCCCCAAATTTTTAGGGAAAACCCCAAGATTTTGAGGAAAAAAACCCAAAATTCTAAGGGAAAATCCCAAGATTTTAAGGAAAAACCCCCAAATTTCAAGGGAAAACCCCAAAATTTTGAGGAAAACCCCAAAATTCTAAGGGAAAACCCTAAAATTTTAAGGAAAAACCCCAAGATTTGAAGGTAAAACCCCCAGATTTCAAGGAAAACCCCAAAGCTTCAGGGAAAACCCCTGATTTTAAGGGAAAACCCCAAATCCGCAGGGGAAAACCTCAGATTTTAAGGGAAAACCCACAGATTTTAAGGAAAACCCCCCAAATTTTAAGGGAAAATCCCAAGATTTTAAGGGAAAACCCCATGATTTTGAAGAAAAAACACCAAACTTCTAAGGGAAAATCCCAAGATTTTAAGGGAAAACCCCAAGATTTTGAGGAAAAAAACCCAGATTTTAAGGGAAAACCTCTAGATTTTAAGGAAAAAACCCCAAATTTCAAGGGAAAACCCCCCAGATTTGAAGGGAAAACCCCAAGATTTTGAGGAAAAAAACCCCAAAATTCTAAGGGAAAACCCCAAAATTTTGAGGAAGACCCCTTAAATTTTAAGGAAAACCCCCAGATTTTAAGGCAAAACCCCAGATTTGAAGGGAAAACCCCAAGATTTTGAGGAAAAACCCCCAGATTTGAAGGGAAACCCCCAAATTTGAAGGGAAAACCCCCAAATTTTAAGGAAAACCCCCAGATTTGAAGGTAAAACCCCCAAATTTTAAGGGAAAATCCCAAGATTTTAAGGGAAAACCCCAAGATTTGAAGGTAAAACCCCCAGATTTTAAGGAAAAAACCCCAAAATTCTAAGGGAAAACCCCCAAAATTTTGAGGAAAAACCCCTAGATTTAAAGAGAAAACCCCAGATTTTAAGGAAAAACCCCCAAATCCGCAAGGGAAAACCCCAAGATTTTGAGGAAAAAACCCCTAGATTTTAAGGAAAAACCCCAAGATTTTGAGGAAAAAACCTCAGATTTTAAGGAAAAACCCCAAGATTTTAAGGAAAAACCCCCATATTTTAGGGAAAACACCTAGATTTTAAGGGAAAACCCCAAGATTTTGAGGAAAAAACCCCAAACTTCTAAGGGAAAACCCCTAGATTTTACGGGAAACCCCCTAGATTTTAAGGGAAAAACCCCAAATTTTAGGGGAAACCCCAAGATTTGAAGGTAAAACCCACAGATTTGAAGGTAAAACCCCCAAATTTTAAGGGAAAACCCCTAGATTTTAAGACTAAAACCCCAAATTTTAGGGGAAAACCCCCAGATTTTAAGGGAAAATCCCTACATTTTGAGGAAAAAAGCCCAGATTTTAAGGGAAACCCCCAAATCTTCAGGGAAAACCCAAGATTTTAAGGGAAAACCCCCAGATTTTAAGGGAAAACCCAGGATTTTGTGGAAAACCCCCCAAAATTCTATGGGAAAATCCCAAGATTTTAAGGAAAACCCCCCAGATTTTAAGGGAAAACATCTAGATTTTAAGGAAAAGCCCCCAAAATTCTAAGGGAAAACCCACAGATTTTAAGGAAAAACTCCCAAATTTTAAGGGAAAACCCCAAGATTTTGAGGAAAAAACCACCAAAATTCTAAGGAAAACCCCCAAAATTTTGAGGAAAAACCCCTAGATTTTAAGGGAAAACTCCCAGATTTTGAAGAAAAACTCCCAAAATTCTAAGGGAAAACCCCAAATTTTAAGGGAAAACCCCAAGATTTTGAGGAAAAACCCCCAAAATTCTAAGGGAAAACCCCAAGATTTTGAGGAAACCCCCTAAATTTTAAAGGAAACCCCCAAGATTTTGAAGAAAAACCCCCCAAATTTGAAGGGAAAACCCAGGACTTTTTGGGTCGGGCAGGGAGAGGAAAATGAGGAAAATCCCGAATTGGAAGAGGAGGAGCGGGACGTTCGTGCGGGGGGGAGAACCCACCGAGTGTCCGGAGGGGCTGAAGTGTCCGGGAGTGTCCGGTGAGTGTCCGGTGAGTGTCCGGGAGTGTCCGGGAGTGTCCGGTGGTGTCCGGTGGTGTCCGGAGGGGCTGAAGTGTCCGAGTGTCCGGAGTGTGTCCGAGTGTCCGAGTGTCCGGAGTGTCCGGGAGTGTCCGGAGTGTCCGGAGGGGCTGAAGTGTCCGAGTGTCCGAGTGTCCGGCGGTGTCCGGAGTGTCCGGAGGGTCCGGGAGCTGCGGGAGCCGAGCCGGGAGTGACCGAGGGAGCCCCGAGCACCGGGAAGGGCACCGGGAACGGCCCCGCCCCCGCCAAGGGCGGCTCAAGGAGAGGAGGAGGAGGAGGAGGAAGAGGAAGGAGGAAAATGAAATGGGGAGAGAGGCGGGCGGGGGGGGGGACGCACCCACCGAGCCCCGAAATCGGCATTTTGCACCCCAAAAGTGACACTGGAAACCCAAAATCCGCCTTTGGAACCCACAAAATCCCCAAAATCCGCCTTTGGAACACCCAAAATCCCCAAAATCCGCCTTTGGAACACCCAAAATCTGCACTTTGCACCCCAAAATCCCTAAAATCTGCACTTTGCACCCCAAAAATCACGAAAATCCGCCTTTGGAACCCCAAAATCTGCACTTTGCACCCCAAAACTGACCCTGGAACCGCAAAATCTGACTTTGGAACCCCAAAATCTGCACTTTGCACCCCAAAATCCCTAAAATCCGCCTTTGGAACCCCAAAATCTGCACTTTGCACCCCAAATCTGCCTTGGAACACCCAAAATCCGTATTTTGCACCCCAAAATCACTAAAATCCGCACTGGGCAACCAAAATCTGCACTTTGCACCCCAAAACTGACCCTGGAACCCCAAAATCCACGCTGGGAACCCCAAAATCTGCACTTTGCACCCCAAATCTGCCTTGGAACCCCTAAAATCTGCACTTTGCACCCCAAAATCCCTAAAATCCGCCTTTGGAACCCCTAAAATCCGCACTTTGCACCCCAAAATCCGCCTTTGGAACCCCTAAAATCCGCACTTTGCACCCCAAAATCCGTCCCTGGAACACCCAAAATCCGTATTTTGCACCCCAAAATCACTAAAATCCGCACTGGGCAACCAAAATCTGCACTTTGTACCCCAAAACTGACCCTGGAACCCCCAAAATCCTCCTTGGAACCCCCAAAATCTGCACTTTGCACCCCAAAATCACTAAAATCCGCCTTTGGAACCCCCAAAATCCGTATTTTACACCCCAAAATCCGTCCCTGGAACCCCCAAAATCCGTATTTTGCACCCCAAAATGTGCCTTAGAACCCCAAAATCTGCGCTGGGCACCCCAAAATCTGCCTTGGAACCCCATAATCCGCACTTTGCACCCCAAAATCCCTAAAATCCGCTTTGGAACCCCCAAAATCTGCACTTTGCACCCCAAAATCCCTAAAATCCGCCTTTGGAACCCCAAAATCCGCCTTTGGAACCCCCAAAATCTGCACTTTGCACCCCAAAATCACTAAAATCTGCACTGGGCAACCAAAATCTGCACTTTGCACCCCAAATCTGCCCTGGAACCCCCAAAATCTGCGCTGGGCACCCCAAAATCTGTCCCTGGAACTCCCAAAATCCACACTTTGCACCCCAAAATCTGCCTTGGAATCCCCAAAATCTGCACTTTGCACCCCAAAATCCCTAAAATCCGCACTGGGCAACCAAAATCTGCACTTTGCACCCCAAAACTGACCCTGGAACCCCAAAATCCGCTTTTGGAACCCTAAAATCCGCACTTTGCACCCCAAAATCCGTCCCTGGAACACCCAAAATCTGTATTTTGCACCCCAAAATCCCTAAAATCCGCACTGGGCAACCAAAATCTGCAGTTTGCACCCCAAAACTGACCCTGGAAACCCCAAAATCTGCACTTTGCACCCCAAAATCCTTAAAATTCGCCTTTGGAACCCCCAAAATCTGCACTTTGCACCCCAAAATCCGTATTTTGCACCCCAAAATCACTAAAATCCGCACTGGGCAACCAAAATCTGCACTTTGCACCCCAAATCTGCCCTGGAACCCCAAAATCTGCCTTTGGAACCCCAAATCCTCCTTTTTCACCCCAAAAATTGAATTTTTGTACCCCAAAATCCACCTTTTGAACCCCAAAATTTATCTTTTCCTCTCACCAATCTGACTTTTTAACCCCAAATTCTCCTTTTTGCACCCCCAAATTCGACTTTTGCACCCCCAAATCTGAGTTTTGCACCCCAAAATTGAACTTTTTCACCCCAAACTTTGAGTTTTGCACCCCCAAATTCAACTTTTGCTCCCACAAATCTGCTTTGTGCACCCCAAAATTTCATTTTTACCCCAAATTCGGCTTTTTCACCCCAAATCCGCCTTTAGCTCCCTGAAAATTCAACTTTTTCTCTCACAAATCCAATTTTTTCACCCCAAATCCGCCTTTTGCACACCAAAATTCAACTTTTCACCCCAAAATCTGACTTTTTCACCCATAGATTTGAATTTTTTACCCCAATATCCAACTTTTGCACCCAAAATTTGACTTTTTTACCCCCAAATCTGCCATTTTCACCCCAAAATGTGAATTATTCATCCCAAAATACCAATTTTCACCCCAAAATTGCATTTTTTTACCCTAATTCTGCCCTTTACACCCCAAAATTCAACTTTTCACCCCAAAATCTGACTTTTCACCCATAAATTCGATTTTTTCCCCAATATCCACCTTTTACACCCAAAATTTGACTTTTTTTACCCCAAAATTTGACATTTTCACCCCAAAATCTCCCTTTTGCACCCCAAAATTTGAAGTTTCACCCCAAAATCTGCCGTCACTCCCAAATCTGAAATTTTTGCCTCTAATTTGACCTTTTTCCCCTCAAATTTGACCCTTTTGGCCCCAAATCTGACCCTTTTTGCCTGAAATTTGCCATTTTTGCCCCAAAATCAGCTGTTTTTAGTCCCAAATTTGCCTTTTTCACCTCAATATTGACCCTTCAACCTCAATATTGACATTTTCCACCCCAAAATCTCCAATTTTCACCTCAAAATTTCTCCTCCTCGCCCCAAAATCTGCATTTTCCCACCCAAAACCGTTCCAGTCCCCCCAAAATCTTCATTTTCACCCCAAAATCTGCAGCCAGACACCAAAATCTGAATTTTTTACCTCACAATTTTCTCCCCATATCCCAAGATTTCCTTTTTCACCCACAAATTTGCATTTTTACCCCCAAAATCGGCACTTTTTACTTCAGGATTTCCTCCCGGACTCCAAAATTCACAATTTAACCTCCAAATCGCCTTTTTTTACCTCAAAATCTGACATTTTACCCCAAAATCTGCATTTTCATCCCAAAAATCTGCATTTTTACCTCAAAAATCTTCATTTTCACCCCGAAAATCTGCATTTTTGTCTCAAAATCTGCATTTTTACCTCACGATTTCCTCACCCACCACAAAATCTGCCCCAGACCCCAAAATCGGCACTTTCCACCTCAAAACCTGCACTTTTCACCTCAAAAATCAGCATTTTTACCCCAAAATCTGAACTTTTCACCTCAAAATCTGAAATTTTACCCCAAAATCTGCATTTTCACCTCAAAATCTGCAATTTTTACTTCAGGATTTCCTCCCAACCTCCAAAATTCACAATTTAACCTCCAAATCGACTTTTTTTACCTCAAAATCTGAAATTTTACCCCAAAATCTGCATTTTCATCCCAAAAATCTTCATTTTCACGCCAAAAATCTTAATTTTCACCCCAAAAATCTGCATTTTTATCTCAAAATCTGCACTTTTTACCTCACGATTTCCTCACCCTCCACAAAATCTGCCTCAGATCCCAAAATCTGCACTTTTCACCTCAAAACCTGCATTTTTCACCTCAAAAATCAGCATTTTTACCCCAAAATCTGCACTTTTTACCTCAAAACCTCCACTTTTTTTATGATTACCCTATGTCCCCAAAATCTGCACTTTTCACCCCAAAATCTGCATTTTTACCCCAAAAATCTGCACTTTTCACCTCAAAACCTGCACTTTTTACTTCAGGATTTCCTCCCGACCTCCAAAATTCACAATTTAACCTCCAAATCAACTTTTTTAACCTCAAAACCGGCACTTTGTACCTCAAAATCTGAAATTTTACCCCAAAATCTGCATTTTCATCCCAAAAAATCTTCATTTTAACCTCAAAAATCTTCATTTTCACCCCAAAAATCTGCATTTTTATCTCAAAATCTGCACTTTTTACCTCACGATTTCCTCACCCTCCACAAAATCTGCCCCAGACCCCAAAATCGGCACTTTCCACCTCAAAACCTGCACTTTTCACCTCAAAAATCAGCATTTTTACCCCAAAATCTGCACTTTCCACCCCAAAATCCGCTTTTTTCACCCCCAAATGCACTTTTTTTCCCTCTAAATCTGCACTTTTCACTCAAAATCTGCACTTTCCTCCTCAGAATCTGCACTTTTCATCCCAAAATCTGCATTTTTACCCCAAAATCTGCACTTTTCCCCTCAGAATTTGCACTTTTCACCTCAAAATCTGCAATTTTTACTTCAGGATTTCCTCCCGACCTCCAAAATTCACAATTTAACCTCCAAATCGACTTTTTTTACCTCAAAATCTGAATTTTTACCCCAAAATCTGCATTTTCACCTCAAAAATCTTCATTTTCACCTCAAAAATCTTCATTTTCACCCCAAAAATCTGCATTTTTATCTCAAAATCTACATTTTTACCTCACGATTTCCTCACCCTCCACAAAATCTGCCTCAGACCCCAAAATCGGCACTTTCCACCTCAAAACCTGCACTTTTCATCCCAAAAATCAGCATTTTTACCCCAAAATCTGCACTTTTCACCTCAAAACCTGCACTTTTCCCCTCAAAATCTGCAATTTTTACTTCAGGATTTCCTCCTGACCTCCAAAATTCACAATTTAACCTCCAAATCGACCTTTTTTTACCTCAAACTCGGCACTTTTCACCTCAAAATCTGAATTTTTACCCCAAAATCTCAATTTTCACCCTAAAAATCTGCATTTTTATCTCAAAATCTTTCTTTTCACCTCAAAAATCTTCATTTTCACCCCAAAAATCTGCATTTATATCTCAAAATCTGCATTTTTACCTCACGATTTCCTCACCCACCACAAAATCTGCCCCAGACCCCAAAATCGGCACTTTCCACCTCAAAACCTGCACTTTTCACCTCAAAAATCAGCATTTTTACCCCAAAATCTGCACTTTTCACCTCAAAGCCTCCACTTTTTTTTGTGATTGTCCTATGCCCCCAAAATCTGCACTTTCCACCCCAAAATCTGGATTTTTACCCCAAAATCTGCACTTTTCCCCTCAGAATCTGCACTTTTCACCTCAAAATCTGCATTTTTTACTTCACGATTTCCTCCCAACCTCCAAAATTCACAATTTAACCTCCAAATCGACTTTTTTTACCTCAAAACCGGCACTTTTCACCTCAAAATCTGAAATTTTACCCCAAAATCTGCATTTTCATCCCAAAAATCTGCATTTTCACCTCAAAAATCTTCATTTGCACCCCAAAAATCTGCATTTTTATCTCAAAATCTGCATTTTTACCTCACGATTTCCTCACCCACCACAAAATCTGCCTCAGATCCCAAAATCGGCACTTTTCACCTCAAAACCTGCAATTTTCACCTCAAAAATCAGCATTTTCACCACAAAAATCTGCATTTTTATCTCAAAATCTGCATTTTTACCTCACAATTTCCCCACCCTCCACAAAATCTGCCTCAGACCCCAAAATCGGCACTTTCCACCTCAAAACCTGCACTTTTCACCTCAAAAATCGGCATTTTTACCCCAAAATCTGCACTTTTCACCTCAAAACCTGCACTTTTCACCCCAAAATCGGCACTTTCCACCTCAAAACCTGCACTTTTCACCTCAAAAATCAGCATTTTTACCCCAAAATCTGCACTTTTCACCTCAAAACCTGCACTTTTCCCCTCAGAATTTGCACTTTTCATCTCCAAACCTGCACTTTTTACTTCAGAATTTCCTCCCGACCTCCAAAATTCACAATTTAACCTCCAAATCGACTTTTTTTACCTCAAAACCGGCACTTTTCACCTCAAAAATCAGCATTTTTACCCCAAAATCTGCATTTTCACCTCAAAATCTGCATTTTTCACCTCAAAACCTGCACTTTTCACCTCAAAAATCAGCATTTTTACCCCAAAATCTGCACTTTTTACCTCACGATTTCCTCACCCACCACAAAATCTGCCCCAGACCCCAAAATCGGCACTTTCCACCTCAAAACCTGCACTTTTCACCTCAAAAATCAGCATTTTTACCCCAAAATCTGCACTTTTCACCTCAAAACCTGCACTTTTCACCTCAAAACCTGCACTTTTTCCCTCAGAATTTGCACTTTTCATCCCAAAATCTGTACTTTTCACCCCAAAACCTGCATTTTTACCCCAAAATCTGCACTTTTTACCTCAGGATTTCCTCACCCTCCAGAAAATCTGCCTCAGATCCCAAAACCTGCACTTTTCACCTCAAAACCTGCACTTTTCCCCTCAGAATTTGCACTTTTCACCTCAAAATCTGCCTTTTAACCCCGAAATCTGCACTTTTCACCTCAAAATCTGCACTTTTCACTCAAAATCTGCAATTTCCACCTCAGAATCTGCACTTTTCATCCCAAAAATCTGCATTTTTACCCCAAAATCTGCACTTTTTACCTCACGATTTCCTCACCCTCCACAAAATCTGCCTCAGATCCCAAAATCTGCACTTTTCACCTCAAAACCTGCACTTTTCACCTCAAAAATCATCATTTTTACCCCAAAATCTGCACTTTTCACCTCAAAGCCTCCACTTTTTTTATGATTGTCCTATGCCCCCAAAATCTGCACTTTTCACCCCAAAACCTGCACTTTTCCCCTCAGAATTTGCACTTTTCACCTCAAAACCTGCACTTTTCCCCTCAGAATTTGCACTTTTCATCCCAAAATCTGCACTTTTTACTTCAGGATTTCCTCCCGACCTCCAAAATTCACAATTTAACCCCCAAATCGACTTTTTTTACCTCAAAATCTGAAATTTTACCTCAAAATCTTCATTTTCACCTCAAAAATCTTCATTTTCACCTCAAAAATCTTCATTTTTATCTCAAAATCTGCACTTTTTACCTCACGATTTCCTCACCCTCCACAAAATCTGCCTCAGATCCCAAAATCGGCACTTTCCACCTCAAAACCTGCACTTTTCACCTCAAAAATCAGCATTTTTACCCCAAAATCTGCACTTTTCACCTCAAAACCTGCACTTTTTCTATGATTGCCCTATGCCCCCAAAATCTGCACTTGACACCCCAAAATCTGCATTTTTACCCCAAAATCTGCACTTTTCATCTCAAAACCTGCACTTTTCCCCTCAGAATTTGCACTTTTCACCTCAAAACTTGCACTTTTTATTTCAGGATTTCCTCTCGACCTCCAAAATTCGCAATTTAACCTCCAAATCGACCTTTTTTTACCTCAAAACCGACACTTTTCACATCAAAATCGTCATTTGCACCTCAGAATCTGCATTTTTCACCCCAAAATCTGGATTTCTACTCTAAAATCTGCACTTTTTACCTCAAAATCTGCATTTTTACCTCAAAACCATCACTTTTCACCTCAAAATCTGAATTTTTACCCCAAAATCTGCATTTTCATCCCAAAAATCTTCATTTTCACCTCAAAAATCTTCATTTTCACCCCAAAAATCTGCATTTTTATCTCAAAATCTGCATTTTTACCTCACGATTTCCTCACCCACCACAAAATCTGCCCCAGACCCCAAAATCGGCACTTTTCACCTCAAAACCTGCACTTTTCACCTCAAAAATAAGCATTTTTACCCCAAAATTTGCACTTTTCACCTCAAAATCTGCACTTTTTTTATGATTGCCCTGTGCCCCCAAAATCTGCACTTTTCACCCCAAAATCTGGATTTTTACCCCAAAATCTGCACTTTTTTCCTCAGAATTTGCACTTTTCATCCCAAAATCTGCACTTTTTACTTCAGGATTTCCTCCCGACCTCCAAAATTCACAATTTAACCTCCAAATCGACTTTTTTTACCTCAAAATCTGAAATTTTACCCCAAAATCTGCATTTTCATCCCAAAAATCTTCATTTTCACCTCAAAAATCTCCATTTTCACACCAAAAATCTGCATTTTTATCTCAAAATCTACATTTTTACCTCACGATTTCCTCACCCTCCACAAAATCTGCCCCAGACTCCAAAATCGGCACTTTCCACCTCAAAAGCTGCACTTTTCACCTCAAAAATCAGCATTTTAACCCCAAAATCTGCACTTTTCACCCCAAAATCAGCATTTTTACCCCAAAATCTGCACTTTTCACCTCAAAACCTGCTCTTTTCCCCTCAGAATTTGCACTTTTCACCTCAAAATCTGAAATTTTACCCCAAAATCTGCATTTTCATCCCAAAAATCTGCATTTTTATCTCAAAATCTGCATTTTTACCTCACGATTTCCTCACCCACCACAAAATCTGCCCCAGACCCCAAAATCGGCACTTTCCACCTCAAAACCTGCACTTTTCACCTCAAAAATCAGCATTTTTACCCCAAAATCTGAACTTTTCACCTCAAAATCTGGATTTCTACCCTAAAATCTGCACTTTTCACCTCAAAATCTGCAATTTTTACTTCAGGATTTCCTCCCGACCTCCAAAATTCACAATTTAACCTCCAAATCGACTTTTCTACCTCAAACCCGGCACTTTTCACCTCAAAATCTGAAATTTTACCCCAAAATCTGCATTTTCACCCCAAAAATCTGCATTTTTATATCAAAATCTACATTTTTACCTCACGATTTCCTCACCCACCACAAAATCTGCCTCAGATCCCAAAACCTGCACTTTTCACCTCAAAACTTGCACTTTTCACCTCAAAAATCAGCATTTTTACCCCAAAATCCGCTTTTTTCACCCCAAAATGCACTTTTTTCCCTCAAAATCTGCATTTTCCCTCAAAATCTGCACTTTCCCCTCACGTTTCCTCGAACCGCCCCCAACGCTCCCCCCGCACCCAAAATTCGCCTTTTTCCCCCCAAAATTCGCCTTTTTCCCCCCAAAATTCGCCTTTTTCTCCCCAAACCCCGCCTGTCCCAGCCCCGCCTCGGCCCCTTTTCCCTCCCAGCCCCAAATTTTCCCTTTTTCACCCCAAAATCTGCCCCAGTCCCCAAAATCTGATTTTTTAAAATCTCAAAACCTGCTGCTTTTACCTGAGGATTTCCTCCCGACCACCAAATCGACTTTTTTTACCTCAAAACCGGCACTTTTCACCTCAAAATCTGAAATTTCACCCCAAAAATCTGCATTTTTATCTCAAAATCTACATTTTTACCTCACGATTTCCTCACCCTCCACAAAATCTGCCTCAGATCCCAAAACCTGCACTTTCCACCTCAAAATCTGCACTTTTCACCTCAAAAATCAACATTTTTACCCAAAAATCTGCACTTTTCACACAAAAATCTGGATTTTTACCCCAAAATCTGCATTTTTCACCTCAAAACCTGCACTTTTCCCCTCAGAATTTGCACTTTTCATCTCAAAATCTGCAATTTTTACTTCAGGATTTCCTCCCGACCTCCAAAATTCACAATTTAACCTCCAAATCGACTTTTCTTACCTCAAAACTGGCACTTTTCACCCCAAAATCTGAAATTTCACCCCAAATTCTGCATTTTCACCCCAAAAATCTGCATTTTTATCTCAAAATCTGCAATTTTTACCTCACGATTTCCTCACCCTCCACAAAATCTGCCCCAGGCCCCAAAATCGGCACTTTCCATCTCAAAACCTGCACTTTTCACCTCAAAAATCAGCATTTTTACCCCAAAATCTGCATTTTCACCTCAAAATCTGCCTTTTTACCCCAAAATCTGCACTTTTCACCTCAAAACCTGCACTTTTCCCCTCAGAATTTGCACTTTTCACCTCAAAATCAGCATTTTTACCCCGAAATCTGCACTTTTCACCCCAAAATCCACTTTTTTCACCCCAAAATGCACTTTTTTCCCTCAAAATCTGCACTTTTCCCCTCAGAATTTGCACTTTTCACCTCAAAATCTGCAACTTTTCCCCTCAGAATTTGCACTTTTCACCTCAAAATCTGCATTTTTACCCCAAAACCTGCACTTTTCCCCTCAGAATTTGCACTTTTCACCTCAAAATCTGCATTAATACCCCAAAATCTGCACTTTTCACCACAAAATCTGCACTTTTTTCCTCCAGGATTGCCCTCTGCACCCAAATCCCCCCATTTTCACCCCAAAATCCACTTTTTAACCTCAAAATCTGCACTTTTCCCCTCAAAATCTGACTTTTCACCCCAAAATCTGCACTTTTCTCCTCAAAACCTGCACTTTTCCCCTCAGAATTTGCACTTTTCATCTCAAAATCTGCATTTATACCCCAAAATCTGCACTTTTCACCTCAAAATCTGCACTTTTTTTCCTCCAGGATTGCCCTCCGCACCCAAATCCCCCCATTTTCACCCCAAAATGCACTTTTTTCCCCTCAAAATCTGCACTTTTCCCCTCACGTTTCCTCCAACCGCCCCCAACGCTCCCCCCGCACCCAAAATTCGCCTTTTTCCCCCCAAATCCTGCCCTTTCCCCCCAAACCCAGAAATCTTCATTTTCACCTCAAAAATCTTCATTTTCACCCCAAAAATCTTCATTTTCACCCCAAAAATCTGCATTTTTACCCCAAAATCTGCAATTTTTACCTCACGATTTCCTCACCCTCCACAAAATCTGCCTCAGATCCCAAAACCGGCACTTTTCACCCCAAAACCTGCACTTTTCACCTCAAAAATCAGCATTTTTACCCCAAAACCCGCACTTTTCTCCTCAAAACCTGCACTTTTCCCCTCAGAATTTGCACTTTTCATCTCAAAATCTGCACTTTTTACTTCAGGATTTCCTCCCGACCTGCAAATCGACTTTTTTTACCTCAAAACCGGCACTTTTCACCTCAAAATCTGAATTTTTACCCCAAAATCTGCATTTTCACCTCAAAAATCTTCATTTTCACCTCAAAAATCTTCATTTTCACCTCAAAAATCTGCATTTTTATATCAAAATCTGCACTTTTTACCTCACGATTTCCTCACCCACCACAAAATCTGCCCCAGACCCCAAAATCGGCACTTTCCACCTCAAAACCTGCACTTTTCCCCTCAGAATTTGCACTTTTCACCTCAAAATCTGCATTTTACCCCCAAAATCTGCACTTTTCACCCCAAAATCTGCACTTTTCACTTCAAAACCCGCACTTTTCACCTCAAAACCTGCACTTTTCACCTCAAAAATCAGCATTTTTAACCCCAAATCCGCTTTTTTCACCCCAAAATCCACTTTTTTCCCTCAAAATCTGCACTTTTCCCCTCACGTTTCCTCCAACCGCCCCCAACGCTCCCCCCGCACCCAAAATTCGCCTTTTTCCCCCCAAAAATTCGCCTTTTTCCCCCCAAAATTCACTTTTTTCTCCCCAAACCCCGCCTGTCCCAGCCCCGCCTCGGCCCCTTTTCCCTCCCAGCCCCAAATTTTCCCTTTTTCACCCCAAAATCTGCCCCAGTCCCCAAAATCTGATTTTTTAAAATCTCAAAACCTGCTGCTTTTACCTCAGGATTTCCTCCCGACCTCCAAATCGACATTTTTTACCTCAAAACCGGCACTTTTCACCTCAAAATCTGAAATTTTACCCCAAAATCTGCATTTTCACCTCAAAAATCTGTATTTTTACCTCACGATTTCCTCACCCTCCACAAAATCTGCCCCAGATCCCAAAACCTGCACTTTTCACCTCAAAACCTGCACTTTTCACCTCAAAAATCAGCATTTTTACCCCAAAAATCTGCATTTTTATCTCAAAATCAACATTTTTACCTCACGATTTCCTCACCCTCCACAAAATCTGCCTCAGATCCCAAAACCTGCACTTTTCACCTCAAAACCTGCACTTTTCACCTCAAAATCTGCACTTTTCACCTCAAAAATCAGCATTTTTACCCCAAAATCCGCTTTTTTCACCCCAAAATGCACTTTTTTCCCTCAAAATCTGCACTTTTCCCCTCACACCGCCCCTTTCCCCTCACGCTCCCTCCAACCGCCCCCAACGCTCCCCCCGCACCCAAAATTCGCCTTTTTCCCCCCAAAATTCGCCTTTTTCTCCCCAAACCCCGCCTGTCCCAGCCCCGCCTCGGCCCCTTTTCCCTCCCAGCCCCAAATTTTCCCTTTTTCACCCCAAAATCCGCCCCCCCCCCGCCCCCCCCCACCTGAGCTCCGCCGCGGCGCTCGCGGGGCGGGGGCGGGGCTTGAGGCGGTGACGTCACCGCGCTCCGCCCAGAGTGGGCGGGGCCTTAAAAGGGCAACGCCGCGAGCTGAGTCACGGTGGGGCCCACCGGGATTTTGGGGTTCCCGTTAAGATTTTGGGGTTCCCGGGGGGGATTTTGGGGTCCCGGGGGGGATTTTTGGGGTTCAGGGTAATTTTTTGGGGGTTTTGGGTGGAATTTTGGGGTCCCAGAGGGATTTTGGGGGGTTCTGAGGGGAATTTGGGGTCCCGGGGGGGATTTTGGGGTCCCAGGGGGATTTTTGGAGTTCCCGGTGGGATTTTGGGGTTCCCGGGGGGATTTTTGGGGTTCAGGGCCATTTTTGGGGTTTTTGGGGGAGATTTCGGGGGTCCAGGGGCAGTTTAGGGGTTCCCAGGGGGGGATTTTGCAGTTCTCGGGTGGAATTTTGGGGTTCCCGGGGAGGATTTTTGGGGTTCAGGGTAATTTTGGGGGTTTTTGGGGGAGATTTCGGGGGTCCAGGGGCAGTTTAGGGGTTCCCAGGATGGAATTTTGGGGTTCCCGGGTGGATTTTTGGGGTTCCCAGTGGGATTTTGGGGTTTCCGGGGGAATTTTGGGGTTCCCGGGGGGAATTTTGGGGTCCCGGAGGAGATTTTTGGGGTTCCCGGGGGGAATTTTGGGGTCCCGGAGAGGATTTTTGGGGTTCCCGGGGGGAATTTTGGGGTCCCGGAGAGGATTTTTGGGGTCCCGGAGGGGATTTTGGGGTTCCCGGGGCGGATTTTGGGGTTCCCGGGGGGATTTTTGGGGTTCGGGGCCAAATTTGGGGTTTTTTGGGGGGGTTTTGGGGTTCCCGGGGGGATTTTTGGGGTTCCCGGGGGGATTTTGGGGTTTGGGACCAAATTTGGTTTTTTTGGGGTGGGATTTTGGGGTTCCCGGGGAGATTTTTGGGGTCCCGGGGGGATTTTGGGGTCCCGAGGGAATTTTGGGGTGCCCGGGAACAATTTTGGGGTCTGGGCTCCAATTTGGGGGTCGGATTTTGGGGGATTTGGGTTCAGGGGGATTTTTGGGGTGTCCCAGTCCCATTTCGGGAGGAATTTTGGGGTTTCGGGGTCATTTTTGGGGTCCGGGGGGGATTTGGGGACAATCCCGGGGGATTTTTGGGGTCCGGGGGGGATTTGGGGACAATCCCGGGGGATTTTTGGGGTCCGGGGGGATTTTTGGGGTCTCTCTCCTTTCCCAGGCAGATTTTGGGTTATTTTTGGGATTTTTGGGGTCTCTTTCCCCGCAGACGAATTTTGGGATTTTTTTGGGGGTCTCTCCCAGCCCGGCCACATTTTGGGTTATTTTTGGGATTTTTTGGGGTCTCTCCCAGCCCGGCCACATTTTGGGGATTTTTTGGGGGTTATTTTGGGGTCTCTCTTCCCCTCCCCGTCCACATTTTGGGATAATTTTGGGGGTTTTTTTTGTGGATATTTTTGGGTCTCCCCGTTCACATTTTGTGATAATTTTGGGGTTTTTTTGGATATTTTCGGGTCTCCCCCCCCATCCAAATTTTGGGATAATTTTGGGGGTTTTTTTTGTGGATATTTTGGATCTCCCTCCCCATCCAAATTTTGGGATAATTTTGGGGTTTTTTTTGTGGAAATATTTTTGGGTCTCCCTCCCCGTCCACATTTTGTGATAATTTTGGGGTTTTTTTGGGGAATATTTTTGGGTCTCCCTCCCCCTTCACATTTTGTGATAATTTTGGAGTTTTTTTGGGGTTTATTTTGGGTCTCTCTCCCCATCCAAATTTTGGGATAATTTTGGGGGTTTTTTTTGGATATTTTCGGGTCTCCCTCCCCGTTCACATTTTGGGTTATTTTTGGGATTTTTTGGGGTCTCTCCCATCCCGGCCACATTTTGGGGATTTTTTGGGGTTTTTTTTTGGGGGATATTTTTGGATCTCCCTCCCTCCCCATTTTGGGACAATTTTGGGGGATTTTTTTGGGGTTCACTCACCGTGGGGTGTCCGGGGCCGTCTCGGGGGGCTCCGGGGGCTCCCCCTTATATCGGGGGGGGGGGGGGGGACCCCCCCGTGACCTTCTCGGGTCCCCTTTGGCCTTTCGGGAGCCCAAAATAGCCCCGCCCGCCCCTCCCCCACCCCCGCGGCCCGAGGTGGGGGAGGGGCGAGTCCGCCCATCCCCCCCCAGGGCGATTTTGGGGACCCCCTTTAACCCCACCCCCCATTTTGGGGACCCCTTTTACCCCTCCCCCAATTTTTTGGGGATCCCATTTACATTTTTTGGCTCCTCCCCCCATTTTTGGGATCGAATTCCCCAATTTTGGGACCCGACCCCAAATTTTTGGGACCCCAAATTTTGGGGCGCCTCCCGCAGATTTTGGGACCCCCCCCCCTTAAATTTTGGTGTTTTTCCCCCTTTTAGGAGCCAAAATTTTGGGGTTTTTCCCCCTTTTTGGACACCAAATTTTGGGGCGCCTCCTCCAGATTTTGGGACCCCCCCCCCCCTTAAATTTTGGGGCCACGCCCCATTTTAGGAGCCAAAATTTTGGTTTTTTTCACCCATTTTAGGAGCCAAAATTTTGGGGTTTTTCCCCCTTTTAGGAGCCAAAATTTTGGGGTTTTTCCCCATTTTAGGAGCCAAAATTTTGGGGTTTTTCCCCCCTTTTAGGAGCCAAAATTTTGGGGTTTTTCCCCCATTTTAGGAGCCAAAATTTTGGGGTTTTTCCCCCATTTTAGGAGCCAAAATTTTGGGTTTTTCCCCCATTTTATGAGCCAAAATTTTGGGGTTTTTCCCCCTTTTTGGACACCAAATTTTGGGGGTTTTCCCCCATTTTAGGAGCCAAATTTTGGTGTTTTTCCCCCTTTTTGGGCACCAAATTTTGGGGTTTTTCCCCATTTTAGGAGCCAAAATTTTGGGTTTTTCCCCCCTTTTTAGGAGCCAAAATTTTGGGGGTTTTCCCCCATTTTAGGAGCCAAAATTTTGGGGTTTTTCCCCCATTTTAGGAGCCAAAATTTTGGGGGTTTTCCCCCATTTTAGGAGCCAAAATTTTGGGGTTTTTCCCCCATTTTAGGAGCCAAAATTTTGGGGTTTTTCCCCCTTTTAGGAGCCAAAATTTTGGGGTTTTTCCCCCTTTTAGGAGCCAAAATTTTGGGGTTTTTCCCCCTTTTTGGGCACCAAATTTTGGGGTTTTTCCCCCATTTTAGGAGCCAAAATTTTGGGGTTCTTCCCCCATTTTAGGAGCCAAAATTTTGGTGTTTTTCCCCCTTTTTGAACACCAAATTTTGGGGTTTTTCCCCATTTTAGGAGCCAAAATTTTGGGGGTTTTTCCCCCTTTTAGGAGCCAAAATTTTGGTGTTTTTCCCCCTTTTTGGGACACCAAATTTTGGTGTTTTTCCCCCTTTTAGGAGCCAAAATTTTGGGGTTTTTCCCCCATTTTAGGAGCCAAAATTTTGGGGTTTTTTCCCCCATTTTAGGAGCCAAAATTTTGGGGTTTTTCCCCCTTTTTGGGACACCAAATTTTGGTGTTTTTCCCCCTTTTAGGAGCCAAAATTTTGGGGTTTTTCCCCCATTTTAGGAGCCAAAATTTTGGGGTTCCTCCCCCTTTTAGGAGCCAAAATTTTAGTGTTTTTCCCCCCTTTTAGGAGCCAAAATTTTGGGGTTTTTCCCCCCTTTTAGGAGCCAAAATTTTGGGGTTTTTCCCCCTTTTAGGAGCCAAAATTTTGGGGTTTTTCCCCCATTTTAGGAGCCAAAATTTTAGTGTTTTTCCCCCCTTTTAGGAGCCAAAATTTTGGGGTTTTTCCCCCTTTTAGGAGCCAAAATTTTGGGGTTTTTCCCCCTTTTTGGGCACCAAATTTTGGTGTTTTTCCCCATTTTAGGAGCCAAAATTTTGGGGTTTTTCCCCCATTTTAGGAGCCAAAATTTTGGGGGTTTTCCCCCTTTTTGGGACACCAAATTTTGGTGTTTTTCCCCCATTTTAGGAGCCAAAATTTTGGGGTTTTTCCCCCCTTTTAGGAGCCAAAATTTTGGGGTTTTTCCCCCATTTTAGGAACCAAAATTTTGGTGTTTTTCCCCCATTTTAGGAGCCAAAATTTTGGGTTTTTTCCCCCATTTTAGGAGCCAAAATTTTGGTGGTTTTCCCCCTTTTAGGAGCCAAAATTTTGGGGTTTTTCCCCCATTTTAGGAGCCAAAATTTTGGGGTTTTTCCCCCTTTTGGGACACCAAATTTTGTGGCCCCTCCCCCCCCTTTTTGGAGACCCCAAATTTTTGGGCTCCGCCCCCTTTTTGAACCCCAAATTTTGGGGCCCCTCCCCCTTTTGAAACCCCAAATTTTGGGGTCACCCTTTGGCCCCGCCCCCTCTTTATTATGTTAATGAGGGGGTGTGGCCTCGCTAGCGCGAGGGGCGGAGCCTCCTCCCCTTTCCCTTACGTCATTAAAATCTCATTAATATTCATGAATGCACACGACTGAGCTGTTAAAACCTCGTTAATATTCATGAGCACAGCCCAGGTGATCGTTATTATGCAAAACAGCCCCGCCCACCTCATAAATATGCAACAAACCGCCGCCGTCGCCATGGCAACCCCGCACCGCGCGCTCCCATTGGCCGCCCGCCCCTCAAGCCCCGCCCCTTTTCTCTCAGCCAATCAGCGCCGCCGGTTCCTCCCCCGCTCTGCCCCGCGACGCGTCCTGATTGGCCGCCGGGCTCCGCCAATCAGCGCGCTCGGCCTTCCCGCCGCGGCTGTGTGGGCGGCCCCCGTGGGGTGGGGGGGGCTCATGGAAATTTATGTAAATGAGCGGCGATAGCGCCGCGCTGAATATTCATGAGGCGCTGAGGGAGGCCGCAGACACGCCCGGGTGCCGGTGAGAGGGAGATTTATGCAAATGAGGCGGGGGAGAGGGAGGGGGAGGGGCCGGGGGCGGGGCTTAGGGCGTGGCTCATCCACTTACCTCAAAGCCACGCCCCTTTGGTGACGTCACATCTCGACCACGCCCATTATTCCGCGACAAGCCCCTCCCCCACCTCGTGGCCACGCCTATTCCCAGCGGCCCCGCCCCCCCAGCCCTTCCCCATCCCCTATTGGCTCCTCCCTCGAGGCCCCGCCCCCTCCCTACATCCCAATTGGCCCCATCCCCCAATGGCCCCGCCCCATTTCCAAGCCACGCCCCTTTCCTATGCCCCCTTTAGCCCCGCCCCTCTGTGCCCATCCCCACTGACCCTCCCCACTAGCCCCGCCCCTATACCCGGTGTCCCTGCCGGTGTCGCGTTGGCCACGCCCCTAATTTGATTAAACCCCGCCCCCTCCATTAAATTCCGATGTCCCCTTGGCCACGCCCACACCCCTTAAGCCCCGCCCTCTCTAAGCCCCGCCCCATTCCCGGTGTCCCTCCCGGTGTTCCCTTGGCCACGCCCCTAATTTGATTAAACCCCGCCCCCTCCATTCATCCCCGGTGTCCCCTTGGCCACGCCCACCCCCTAAACCCCGCCCCCATTATTCCCGGTGTCCCGTTTTCCCCGCCCCCTTAAGCCCCACCCCTATTCCCGGTGTCCCTGCCGGTGTCCCCTTGGCCACGCCCACCCCCTTAAGCCCCGCCCTCCCTAAGCCCCGCCCCCTCCATTCATTCCCAGTATCCCTGCCGGTGTCCCCTTGGCCACGCCCCTAATTTGATTAAACCCCGCCCCTCCATTCATTCCCGGTGTCCCCTTGGCCACGCCCCTAATTTGATTAAACCCCGCCCCCTCCATTCATTCCCGGTGTCCCCGCCGGTGTCCCCATGGCCACGCCCACACCCCTTAAGCCCCGCCCTCACTTAAGCCCCGCCCCTCCATTAATTCCCGGTGTCCCTCCCGGTGTCCCCTTATTCCCGGTGTCCCGTTGTCCCCACCCCCTTAAGCCCCGCCCCTATTCCCGGTGTCCCGCAGGTGTCCTAATGGCCACGCCCCAACCCCTTTAAGCCCCGCCCTCCCCTAAGCCCTGCCCCCGTTATTTCCGGTGTCCCGTTGTCCCCACCCCCTTAAGCCCCGCCCCTATTCCCGGTGTCCCGCCGATGTCCCCTTGGCCACGCCCCCAACCCCATTAAACCCCGCCCCCTCCATTCACTCCCGCTGTCCCCTTGGCCACGCCCACCCCCTTAAGCCCCGCCCTCCCCAAGCCCCGCCCCCTCCATTCATTCCCGGTGTCCCGCCGGTGTCCCCTTGGCCACGCCCCTAAACCCCTTTAACCCCGCCTCCTCCATTAATTCCCGATGTCCCCTTGGCCACGCCCACACCCCTAAGCCCCGCCCCCGTTATTCCCGGTGTCCGGTTGTCCCCGCCCCCTTAAGCCCCGCCCCTATTCCCGGTGTCCCCTTGGCCACGCCCACACCCCCTAAGCCCCGCCCCCTCCATTCATTCCCGGTGTCCCATTGACCACGCCCACACCCTTAAGCCCCGCCCCCTCCATGCATTCCCGGTGTCCCCTTGGCCACGCCCACACCCTCTAAGCCCCGCCCCCGTCATTCCCGGTGTCCCGTTGTCCCCACCCCCTTAAGCCCCGCCCCCATTCCCGGTGTCCCGCCGGTGTCCCCTTGGCCACGCCCACACCCCATAAGCCCCGCCCACCGTTATTCCCGGTGTCCCCGCCGATGTCCCCTTGGCCACGCCCCTAATTTGAATAAACCCCGCCCCCTCAATTCACTCCCGCTGTCCCCTTGGCCACGCCCACCCCCTAATCCCCGCCCCCGTTAATCCCGGTATTCCCGGTGTCCCCGCCCCCTTAAGCCTCGCCCCTATTCCCGGTGTCCCTGCCGGTGTCCCCTTGGCCACGCCCCCAAACCCATTAATCCCCGCCCCCTCCATTCATTCCCGGTGTCGCGTTGGCCACGCCCACCCCTTAAGCCCCGCCCTCCCCAAGCCCCGCCCCCCGTTATTCCCGGTATCCTTGCCGGTGTCCTCTTGGCCACGCCCCCTCCATTAATTCCCGGTGTCCCCGCCGGTGTCCCCTTGGCCACGCCCACCCCTAAGCCCCGCCCTCCAAACGCCCCGCCCCCTCCGTTAATTCCCGGTGTCTTTGCCGGTGTCCCTATGGCCACGCCCACACCCCCTAAGCCCCGCCCCCTCCATTCATTCCCGGTGTCCCCTTGGCCACGCCCACCCCCTTTAGCCCCGCCCCCTTAAGCCCCGCCGGTGTCCGGTTGTCCCCGCCCCCTTAAGCCCCGCCCCATTCCCGGTGTCCCGCCGGTGTCCGGTGGCCCCGCCCCCTCCGGCCATGCCCGGTGTCCCCTCTCCGTCCCCTCTGTCCCCTCACTGTCCCCTCACTGTCCCCGTTGTCCCCTCACCGCCCGTTCAGCCCCGCCCCCCTTAGGCCCCGCCCGCCCGGCCATGCCCGGGCCCGCCGTGTCGCCGGTGTCGCCGCCGGTGTCCCCGCCGGTGTCCCCGGCGGTGTGGCCGCTGTCGCCGCTGCCCGCGGGGCTGCTGCTGCTGCCGGGGCTGCTCTTCTTCCCGGGGCTCTTCCTGCTGGCGCGCCGGGCGCTGGCCGCCATCGCCGGCTGTCCCCAGGGCCGCGCCACCGTGCTGGCAGCCAGGTGACACCGCGGGGACACCGGGGGGGACAGGGGACAGGGATGGGGACAGGGGACACGGGGCTGGCCGCCATCGCCGGCTGTCCCCAGGGCCGCGCCACCGTGCTGGCAGCCAGGTGACACCGCGGGGACAGCGACAGGGGGGATGGGGACACGGGACACGGGGCTGGCAGCCAGGTGACACCGCGGGGACACCGGGGACACCGGGGGGGACAGGGGACAGGGGACACCGCGGGGACAGCGACAGGGGGGATGGGGACAGGGGACAGGGACACGGGGCTGGCCGCCATCGCCGGCTGTCCCCAGGGCCGCGCCACCGTGCTGGCAGCCAGGTGACACCGCGGGGACACCGGGGACAGCGGGGGGGACACGGGGCTGGCAGCCAGGTGACACCGCGGGGACACCGGGGACACCGGGGGGGACAGGGGGGACAGGGGGGATGGGGACACGGGGACACGGGGCTGGTCGCCATCGCCGGCTGTCCCCAGGGCCGCGCCACCGTGCTGGCAGCCAGGTGACACCGCGGGGACACCGGGGACAGGGATGGGGACAGCTGACACCGCGGGGACACGGACAGGGGGGATGGGGGACAGGGATGGGGACAGGGATGGGGACAGGGATGGGGACAGGGACACGGGGCTGGCCGCCATCGCCGGCTGTCCCCAGGGCCGCGCCACCGTGCTGGCAGCCAGGTGACACCGCGGGGACAGCGACAGGGGGGATGGGGACAGGGACAGCGGGGGATGGGGACACGGGGCTGGCAGCCAGGTGACACCGCGGGGACAGGGACACGGGGGATGGGGACACGGGGGATGGGGACAGGGGACAGGGGACACGGGGCTGGCAGCCAGGTGACACCGCGGGGACAGCGGGGACAGCGGGGGGGACAGGGACAGGGATGGGGACAGGGGACAGCGGGGGATGGGGACATGGAGGGGACAAGGAGGGGACAAGGAGGGGGTGAGGAGGGGACAGGGATGGGACAAGAAGGGGACAGAGATGGGGACATGGAAGGGATGGAGGGGACAAGGAGGGGGTGAGGAGGGGACAGGAAGGGACAGGGATGGGGACATGGAGGGGACAGGGAGGGGGATGGGGAAGGGACAGGAAGGGGACAGGGAGGGGGACATGGAGGGGACAGGGGTGGGTGGCACCGTGCCAGGGAGGGGACAGGGAGGGGAATGGGGACAGGGACGGGACAGCGGGGGATGGGGACAGGGAAGGGGACACGGAGGGGACAAGGAGGGGGATGGGGACACTGCAGGGACAGGGATGGGTGGCACCGGGCCAGGGATGGGGACATGGATGGGGACAAGGAGGGGACAGGGAGGGGACAAGGAGGGGACAGGGCTGGGGACACGACAAGGCCAAGGCTCAGGTGGCCCCGGGCAGGGACAGGGATGGGACAGGGATGGGGACAGGGATGGGACAAGGAGGGGGATGGGGACACTGCAGGGACAGGGACAGGGACAGGGACAGGGACAGGGACAGGGACAGGGACAGGAGGGGACAGGGATGGGGATGGGGACACTCCAGGGACAGGGAGGGGTGGCACCGGGCCAGGGAGGGGACAAGAAGGGGACAGGGATGGGACAAGGATGGGGACAGAGATGGGGACAGGGAGGGGACAGGGAGGGGTGGCACCAGGCCAGGAAGGGACAGGGATGGGGACAGGGATGGGACAGGGAGGGGGATGGGGACACTGCAGGGACAGGGAGGGGTGGCACCGGGCCAGGGATGGGGCCAGGGAGGGGGCCAGGGAGGGGCCAGGGAGGGGACAGGGCTGGGGACACTGCGGGGACACGGAGGGGTGGCACTGGGCCAGGGAGGTGACAGGGCAGGAGGTGACACTGCCAGGGTGACAGGGAGAGGGATGGAGGTGGGGGGACAAGGAGGGGACAGGGCTGGTGACAGGGCTGGGGACACTGCGGGTGGCACCGGGCCAGGGAGGGGACAGGGAGGGGACAGAGCCACTTCCAGGCCGGTGGTGGCCCGGGCATGGCGGGATCAGGGACGGTGACAGTGACAAGGCCAGGCCGGGGGGGGAGGTGACAATCCGGGGGGGATCAGGGACAGGACAGGGACAATCCTGGAGGGGGTTGGGGACAATCCGGGGGGGGGGTTGGTGACAATCCGGGGGGGGGTTGGGGACAATCCGGGGGGGGTGACACTCGTGGGGGCTTAGTGACAATCCGGGGGGGGGTTGGGGACAATCCGGGGGGGGTTGGTGACAATCCGGGGGGGTTGGTGACACTCGTGGGGGGGTTGGTGACAATCCGGGGGGGTTGGTGACAATCCGGGGGGGGTTGGGGACAATCCGGGGGGGGCGGGGCAGGATTAGCTGGTGACACGGGGACACGGTGACAGGGGACACGGGGACACGGGGACACGGCTTAGGGACGTCAGCGCGGGCCCATCCCCCACCCTGCCACCCGCGTGTCACCCGCGTGTCACCCGTGTCACCTGCATGTCACCCGTGTCACCCTGATGTCCCCGTGTCCCCGCTGTCCCCAGGCTGCTGTCCTCGGTGCTGATGTCCCCAATGTCCCCAATGTCCCCAATGTCCCCAATGTCCCCAATGTCCCCAATGTCCCCAACACCCCCAATGTCCCCCAATGTCCCCAATGTCCCCAATGTCACCCCGATGTCCCCAATGTCCCCATTGCCCCAATGTCCCCATTGCCCCAAATGTCCCCAATGTCCCCAATGTCCCCAATGTCCCCAATGTCCCCATTGCCCCAAATGTCCCCAATGCCCCCAATGTCCCCAATGTCCCCACTGTCCCCAATCCCCCTCAATGTCCCCAATCCCCCCAATGTCCCCAATGTCCCCGATGTCCCCAATGTCCCCACTGTCCCCAATGTCCCCAATGTCCCCAATGCCCCCAATGTCCCCAATGTGTCCCCAATGTCCCCACTGTCCCCAATGTCCCCAATGTCCCCAATGCCCCCAATGTCCCCAATGTGTCCCCAATGTCCCCAATGTCCCCAATGTCCCCAATGTCCCCAATCCCCCCAATGTCCCCAATGTCCCCAATGTCCCCAATGTCACCCTGCTGTCCCCAATGTCCCCAATGTCCCCAATGTCCCCAATGTCCCCCCAATGTCCCCCCAATGTCCCCGATGTCCCCAATGTCCCCAATGTCCCCAATGTCCCCCAATGTCCCCAATGTCCCCAATGTCCCCCCAATGCCCCCAATGTCACCCTGCTGTCCCCAATGTCCCCCCAATGTCCCCCCAATGTCCCCAATCCCCCCAATGTCCCCAATCCCCCCAGTGTCCCCAATGTCCCCCCAATGTCCCCAATCCCCCCAATGTCCCCAATGTCCCCGATGTCCCCAATGTCCCCAATGTCCCCAATGTCCCAGGTTGGTGTCCTCGGTTCAGGCTGTCATGGCCTCCACCGCCGGGTTCATCATCTCCCGCTCCTGCCGGCGGCACGTCATCGATGACCAGTGAGGGACACAGGGGACACGGCTGGGGACATGGGGACACACCTGGGCACACCTGGGCACACCTGGGGACAGCGGGGACAGTGGGGACACAACAGGGACATGGCTGGGGACATGGGGACACACCTGGGGGCAGTGGGGTCACACCTGGGGACATGGGGACACACCTGGGACACACCTGGGGACAGCGGGGACACACCTGGGGACACAGCAGCGACACAGCGGGGACACACCTGGGGACAGTGGGGACACGGCTGGGACACACCTGGGGACAGGCTGGGGCCACATGGGGACACAGCTGGGGACAGGGGGGACATGCCTGGAGACACCTGGGCACACCTGGGGACACCTGGGGACAGAGGGGACACACCTGGGTCACACCTGGGCACACTTGGGTTACTGGGTGACACCTGGGCACACCTGGGCACACCTTGAACCCACCTCTGCCCACCTGGGGCACACTTGGGCACATTTTAAACCCGCCTGGGCACACCTGGGCACACCTGGGGGCACACCTGGGCACACCTGGGATATACCTGGGACAGATGTGGGCACACCTGGGCACACTTTGAGCACACCTGTCCCCACCTGGGCACACTTAAAACCCACCTGGGCACACTTAAAACCCACCTGGGCACACCTGGGCACACTGTAAACACACCTTGGCACACCTGAGGCACACCTGGGCACACTGTAAACCCAACTGGGCACACCTGGGACACATGTGGGCACACTTTGAACCCACCTGGGGCACACCTGGGCACACCTGGGCACAGCTGGACACACCTGGGACACACTTGGGTTACCTGGGCACAGTGGGACACACCTGGGACACATGTGGGCACACCTGAGATACACCTGGATACACTTTAACCCCACCTGGGCACAGCTGGGACACACCTGGGCACACCTGGGGCACACCTGGGCACACCTGGGGCACACCTGGGCACACTTTAAACCCACCTGGGCACACCTGGGCACACTTTAAACACACCTGGGGCACTCTGGGGCACACCTGGGGCACTCCTGGGCACACCTGGGCATATCTGGGCACACTTTATACCCACCTGGGACACACCTGAGCACATTTTAAACACACCTGGGGCACACCTGGGCACACTTTAAGCCCACCTGGGCACACCTGGGGGCACCTGGGACACACCAGGGACAGTGGGGACACACCTGGGGACACCTGGGATATACCTGGGGACAGATGTGGGCACACCTGGGCAGACCTGGGCACACCTGGGGCACATGTGGGCACACCTGGGCACACCTGGGGCACTCTGGGACATACCTGGGGCACACCTGGGCACAGTTTAAACCCACCTGGGGCACTCTGGGACACACCTGAGATACACCTGGGCACACTTTAAACCCACCTGGGCACAGTTTAAACCCACCTGTCCCCACCTGTCCCCACCTGGGCACACCTGGGCCATACCTGTGCCCACTTTGACCCCCCCTGTGCCCGCAGGCACTGGCTGGCCGCCGCCTACCCGCCCTTCGCGGTGCCGTACTTCGTGTACGACGTGTACGCCATGTACCTGTGCCACCTGCAGCGCGCCCAGGTGAAGGGGCACGGGCCGGGCACGGGCACGGGGGGCACGGCCGGCGCCGCCGCCGCCTTCCTGCGCCGCGAGCTGCTGCTGGTGCTGCACCACCTGGCCATGGTGCTGGTCTGCTTCCCCGTGGCCACCGTGAGTACCTGGGCACCTACCTGGGCACCTACCTGGGCACACCTGGGCACACCTGGGCAGGGTTAGACACACCTGGGCACTCACCTGGGCATGATAAACACACACCTGGGCACACCTCGGGGCACCTAGGCACACCTGGGCACCTACCTGGGCACACCTGAGAGTCATTACACACACCTGGGCACTCACCTGGGCACACCTGGGCATGATAAACACACCTGGGCACTCACCTGGGCACACCTGGGCAGGGTTAAACACACACCTGGGCACACCTGGGCACACCTGGGCACACCTGGGCACCTACCTGGGGGCACCTGGGCACACCTGGGCACACTTTAAACACACCTGGGCACTCACCTGGGCACACCTGGGCATGATAAACACACCTGGGCATGATAAACACACACCTGGGCACACCTGGGGGCACCTGGGCACACTTTAAACACACACCTGGCACACCTGGGCACACCTGGGCACTCACCTGGGCACACCTGGGCACACCTGGGGGCACCGGGGGCACCTGGGCACAGCTGGGCACTCACCTGGGCACAGCTGGTCAGGGTTAGATACACCTGGGCACACCTGGGCACACCTGGGCACACCTGGGCACTGTTAAACACACACCTGGGCACTCACCTGGGCATGATAAACACACACCTGGGCACTCACCTGGGCACGGGGCTCTGCTGGTGCTGCACCACCTGGCCATGGTGCTGGTCTGCTTCCCCGTGGCCACCGTGAGTACCTGCGGGCACCTGGGGGCACCTGGGCACACCTGGGGGCACCTGGGCACACCTGGGCACACCTGGGCATGTTAAACACACACCTGGGCACACCTGGGCACACCTGGGCACTCACCTGGACACATATGGGCATGATAAACACACACCTGGGCATGATAAACACACACCTGGGCATGATAAACACACACCTGGGCGCACCTGGGCACTCACCTGGGCACAGCTGGGCACACCTGGGGGCACCTGGGCACACCTGGGCAGGGTTAAACACACTTGGGCACACCTGGGCATGTTAAACACACACCTGGGCACACCTGGGCACTCACCTGGGCATGTTAAACACACACCTGGGCACTCACCTGGGCACACCTGGGTACACCTGGGGGCACCTGGGCATGTTAAACACTCACCTGGGCACACCTGGGCAGGGTTAGACACACCTGGGCACACCTGGGCAGGGTTAGACACACCTGGGCACACCTGAGAGTCATTACACACACCTGGGCACCCACCTGGGCACACCTGGGGGCACCTGGGCATGTTAAACACACACCTGGGCACTCACCTGGGCACACCTGGGCACACCTGGGCACTCACCTGGGCACCTGGGCACACCTGGGGGCACCTGGGCACACCTGGGGGCACCTGAGAGTCATTACACACACCTGGGCACACCTGGGCACTCACCTGGGGGCACCTGGGGGCACCTGGGCACCTACCTGGGTACACCTGGGTATGGTTAAACACATCTGGGCACTCACCTGGGCACACCTGGGCACCTACCTGGGCACACTTTAAACACACCTGGGCACACACCTGGGCACACCTGGGGGCACCTGGGCATGATAAACACACCTGGGCACACCTGGGGGCACCTGGGCATGATAAACACACCTGGGCACACCTGGGGGCACCTGGGCACATCTCAGTATATCTGGGGCATACTTGGGTTACCTGGGATATACCTGAGACACACCTGGGCACACCTGGGGGCACCTGGGGGCACCTGGGCAGGGTTAGATACACCTGGGCACACCTGGGCACACCTGGGCATGTTAAACACTCACCTGGGCACTCACCTGGGCACTCACCTGGGCACGGGGCTCTGCTGGTGCTGCACCACCTGGCCATGGTGCTGCTCTGCTTCCCCGTGGCCACCGTGAGTACCTGGGCACACCTGGGCACAGCTGGGCAGGGTTAGGTACACCTGGGCACTCACCTGGGCACACCTGGGTGCACCTGGGCACACTTTAAACCCACATGGGCACACCTGGGCACAGCTGGGCACACCTGGGCACTCACCTGGGCATGATAAACACACCTGGGCACTCACCTGGGCACACCTGGGCAGGGTTAGACACACCTGGGCACTCATCCGGGCGCACTTTAAACACACCTGGGTGGGGTTAAACACAGCTGGGCACACCTGGGCACACCTGGGCACACCTGGGGGCACCTGGGCACTCACCTGGGCACACCTGGGTACAGTTAAACACACCTGGGCACACCTGGGCACAATTTGGGGACCCTGTGGAGAGTCTGGGGACACCTGGAGGAGGTTGGGGACACCTGGGGACACTTTGGGGCACCCTGGGGACACCTTTGAAGGGGGCTGGGGACACTTTGGGGACACCTTGGGGACACTTTGGTGCACCCTGGGCACACCTGGGCACACCTGGAGGAGTTTGGGACACTTTGGGGACACTTTGGGGCACCCTGGGCACACCTGGAGGAGTTTTGGGACACTCAGGTGCACCTGGGCACACCTGCAGGGGTTGGGGACATCTTGGGGACACCCCGGGGGGATTTGGGGACACTTTGAGGACACCTTGGGGGCAGTTTGGGGACATCTTGGGGCACCCTGGGGACACCTGGGGGGGGTTGGGGACACTTTAGGGTCACCTGGGGACACTTTGGGGGGGTTGGTGACATTGTGGGGACATTTGGGGACACTTGGCGACACTTTGGGGACACCTGGGGACACCTGGGGGGGTTGGGGACACTCTGGGGACACTGTGGAGACTTTGGGGACACCTGGGGACACCTTGGTGACACTTTGGTGGCACTTTGGTTGGGTTGGTGACACCGTGGGGACATTTTGGGGACATTTTGGGGACCCTGGGGGACACTTTGGGGGGTTGGTGACACTGTGGGGACACTTGGGGACACTTTGGGGACACTCTGGGGACACCTGGGGACATTTTGGGGGGTCTTGGGGACACCTGGGGACATCTTTGGACACATTGGGGGGATTGGTGACATTGTGGGGACATTTGGGGACACTTGGCAACACTTTGGGGACACCTGGGGACACTTTGGGGGGGTCGGGGACACCTGGGGACACTTTGTGACACTTTGGGGGCATCGGTGACACTCTGGGGACACCGTGGAGACTTTGGGGACACCTGGGGACGCCTTGAGGGGGTTTGGGGACACTTTGGGGGGGTTGGTGACACCGTGGGGACACTGTGGGGACATTTTGGGGACCCTGGTGACACTTTGGGGGTGTTGGGGTCATCTTGGGGACACCTGGGGGGGGGTTGGGGACACTCTGGGGACACTCAGGGACAATTGGGGACACTGTGGAGACCTTGGGGACACTGTGGGGACATTGTGGGGACGCTTGGGGACACTTTAGGGACACATTGGGGACACTTTGGGGGAGTTGGGGACACTCTGGGGACACTCTGGGGACACTGTGGGGACATTGTGGGGACACCTGGGGACACTCTGGGCACACTTGGGGACACTTTGGTGGCACTTTGGGGACACTTTGGGGACACTTTGGAGGGGTTGGTGACACTCAGGGACATTTGGTGACACTTTGGGGGGGCTTGGGGACACCTGGGGACATCTTGGGGCACTTGGGGGGCTCGGGGACACTGTGGGGACACTGTGGGGACATTTTGGGGACATTTTGGGGACATTTTGGGGACCCTGGTGACACTTTGGGGGGGTTGGGGACACCTTGGGGACCCTGGGGGACATTTGGGGGGGTTAGTGACACTCTGGGGACAGTCGAGGACACTTTGGGGACACTTTGGGACATTTGGTGACAGTTTGGTGACACTTCGGGGACCCTGGGGACACTCTGGGGGGGGGTTGGGGACACTCTGGGGACATTTGGGAACACTCGGGGACACTCTGGGGACACTTTGGTGACACTTTGGGGGGGTTGGGGACACTTGGGGACACTCAGGGACACTTTGGGGGGGGTTGGTGACACATTGGGGGGGTTGGTGACACTTTGGGACATTTGGTGACATTTGGTGACATTTGGTGACATTTGGTGACACTTTGGGACATTTGGTGACATTTGGTGACATTTGATGACATTTGGTGACATTTGGTGACATTTGATGACATTTGGTGGCATTTGGTGACATTTGGTGCCACTTTAGTGACATTTGGTGACATTTGGTGACATTTGGTGACATTTGGTGCCACTTTAGTGACATTTGGTGACATTTGGTGACATTTGGTGACATTTGGTGACATTTGGTGCCACTTTGGTGACATCTGGTGACACTTTGGTGACATTTGGTGACATTTGGTGCCACTTTGATGACATTTGGTGACATTTGGTGACACTTTGGTGACATTTGGTGACATCTGGTGCCACTTGGTGACATTTGGTGCCACTTTAGTGACATTTGGTGACATTTTGGTGACATTTGGTGCCACTTTGGTGACATTTGGTGACATTTGGTGACATTTGGTGACATTTGGTGACATTTGATGACACTTTGGTGACACTTTGGTGACATTTGGTGACATTTGGTGACACTTGGGTGACACTTGGGTGACATTTGGTGACACTTGGGTGACACTTGGTGACATTTGGTGGCATTTGGTGCCACTTTGGTGACACTTTGGTGACATTTGGTGACATTTGGTGACACTCTGGTGACATTTGGTGACATTTGATGACACTTTGGTGACATTTGGTGCCACTTTGATGACATTTGGTGACATTTGATGACATTTAGTGACATTTGGTGACACTCTGGTGACATTTGGTGCCACTCTGGTGACATTTGGTGACATTTTGGTGACATTTGGTGACATTTGGTGACATTTGGTGCCACTTTGATGACATTTGGTGACACTTTGGTGACATTTGGTGACATTTGGTGCCACTCTGGTGACATTTGGTGGCATTTGGTGGCATTTGGTGACATTTGGTGACATTTGGTGACATTTGGTGCCACTTTGATGACATTTGGTGACACTTTGGTGACATTTGGTGACATTTTGGTGACATTTGGTGACATTTGGTGCCACTCTGGTGACATTTGGTGACATTTGGTGCCACTCTGGTGACATTTGGTGACATTTGGTGACATTTGGTGACATTTGGTGACACTTTGGTGACATTTGGTGACACTTTGGTGGCATTTGGTGACATTTGGTGGCATTTCTGTCCCAGCTGTGGCGTCAGGGCAAAGGCGATTTCTTCCTGGGCTGTCTCCTGATGGCCGAGCTGAGCACCCCCTTCGTGTGCCTGGGCAAGGTCCTCATCCTGGTGAGTGTCCCCAAAGTGTCCCCAAATGTCCCCAAATGTCCCCAAATGTCCCCAAATCCCAAATCCCAAAAAACCCCAAAAAAATCCCACCAAAAATGGCCAAAAACCTCAAAAATCCCCCAAAATCCCATAAAATTCCACCAAAATCCCATAAAACTCCTGGTCCTGGGCAAGGTCCTCATCCTGGTGAGTGTCCCCAAAGTGTCCCCAAAGTGTCCCCAAATGTCCCCAAATGTCCCCAAATCCCAAATCCCAAAAAACCCCCAAAAAAATCCCATAAAAAATGGCCAAAAAATGGAAAAATCCTAAAAAAATCCCAAAAAATCCCAGAAAACTCCTAATTCTGGGCAAGGTCCTCATCCTGGTGAGTGTCCCCAAAGTGTCCCCAAAGTGTCCCCAAATGTCCCCAAATGTCCCCAAATCCCAAATCCCAAAAAACCCCCAAAAAATCCCATAAAAAACGGCCAAAAATTGGAAAAATCCTAAAAAAATCCCATTAAATCCCATCAAAATCCTCAATGAGGCACCAAAAACTCCTAAAAAATCCCCAAAAAAGATCCCAAAATTATCCCGAAAACATCCCCCAAAAATCCCAAAATTATCCTAAAAATCCCCAAAAATATCCCCAAAAAAATCCCTAAAAAGTCCCTCCAAATATCCCAAAATAGCCCAAAAAATCCCGCAAAAAACTCCCCCAAAAATCCGCCCAAATCCCAAAAAATTCAAAAAAATCCACAAAAATTCCCCAAAAATATCCCCAAAATTAAAAAATCTCCTAAAAATCCCTAAAAAAATTTAAAAATCCCTAAAATTTCCCAAAAAACCCAAAACTTCTCCCAAAACCCCCAAAAATATCCCAAAAAATGCTGAAAAAAATCCCAATTCCAGAAAATTCTATAAAAATCCCAAAAAATTTCCCCAAAATCCCAAAAATTGGCCCCAAATCCCCAGAAATCCCCAAAAAATCCTAAAAAGATACAAAAAAATCCCAGAAAAATCAGAAAAATAAAAAATGCACAAAATATCCCCAAATCAAAAAAAAATCCCTAAAAAATCCCCCAAAATCCCAAAAATTCCCCAAAAAAATCCCAAAAAAGGTGAAAAAATCCCCCAAAAAGCCCCAAAAAACTAAAAATCCCCAAAATCTGAAAAATCCCCCAAAAAATCCCCAGAAAATCTCAAAAAATTCCTAAAAATCCCAAAAATCCCCCAAAATACCCCAAAAAAATCTCTGAAATCCTCCTGAAATCCCCCCAAAAAATCCCAAAAATCCCCCAAAAAATCCCCAAAATTCCCCAAAAATTCCCCGAAAATCTCAAAAAATTCCTAAAAATCCCAAAAATCACCCAAAAAACCCAAAAATACCCCCCAAAAAATCTCTGAAATCCTCCTGAAATCCCCTCAAAAAATCCTCAAAATTCCCCAAATTTCCCTCAAAATCCCTGAAATCCCCAAAAATCCCAAAAAATCCCCAAATCCCAAAAAAATCCTCCAAAATCTCCCAAAAATCTGCAAAAATTCCCCAAATCTCCCCAAAATCCCGAAAAAAATCCCCCAAACATCTGCAAAAAATCCCAAAAAAATCCCCAAAAGTGCCCAAAAAAAGTCTCTGAAATCCCCAAAAATCCCGAAAATAAAAAAAAATCCCAAAAATCCGAAAAATCCCCAAAGTCCCAAAAAATCCCAAAAATCCCCCCCAAAAAAAAAATCCCCAAAATCCCCAAAAACCCCAAAAATCCCCAAAAATAAAAAAAATGAAAAATCCCAAAAATCCCAAAAAATTCAAAAAATCCAAAAAATTCCAAAAAATCTGAAAAATCCGAAAAATCGGAAAAATCCCAAATTTCCCAAAAAATAAAAAAAATCCGGAAAAATCCGGAAAAATCCGGAAAAATCCCAAAAATCCCCAAAATTTCCAAAAATCCCCAAAAATAAAAAAATCTGAAAAATCCAAAAAATCCCCCAAAATCCCCAAAATCCCCCAAAATCCCCCCAAACCCCCCCAAAATCCCAAAAAATCCCCAAATCCCAAAAATCCCCAAAAAAAAAAAAATCCGAAAAATCCGAAAAAGCCGAAAAATCCGAAAATCCCCAAAAATCCCAAAAAATAAAAAAATCTGAAAAATCCCAAAAATCTCCCAAAAATCCCCCAAAAATCCCAAAAAAATCCCCCAAAAATCCCGAAAAATCCCCAAAAATAAAAAAAATCTGAAAAATCCCAAAAATCCCCCAAAATTCCCAAAAATCCCAAAAATCACAAAATTCCCAAAAAAAAAAAAAATCCGGAAAAATCCGGAAAAATCCGGAAAAATCCCAAAAATCCCCAAAAATCCCCCAAAATCCCCAAAATCCCCCAAAATGCCCCCAAATCCCCACCCCCGGAGAGGCCCCAATCCCGCAGCCCCGAGCTGGGCCCAGCCCGGGCTCCTCCCGTGGTCCTCCTCAAACCCCCCCGAGATGTGGCCACCACGGGTTCCTCCTGTTCCCCTCACCCCACACGGACTTTTGAGGTCTCCATGGATTTGTCACCCCCCGGAGACCCCAGAACCACATCGGGATCCCCTCCCAGAGTGTCCCCGTGGGGTCCTCTAAACCCTATTGAGATGTGGCCACCACGGGTTCCTCCCCTTCCCCTCACCCCACACGGACTTTTGAGGTCTCCATGGATTTGTCACCCTCCAGAGACCTCAGAACCACGTTGGGATCCCCTCCCAGAGTGTCCCCGTGGGGTCCTCTAAACCCTATTGAGATGTGGCCACCACGGGTTACTCCCCTTCCCCTCATCCCACATGAACCTTTGAGGTCTCCATGGAATTGTCACCCTCCAGAGACCCCAGAACCACATCTGACCCTTTCTAGAAAGTTCCTGATTGTCCTCCTCAAACCCTCCTGAGATGTGGCCACCACGGGTTCCTCCCCTTCCCTCGCCCCACATGGATTTATGAGGTGTCCATGGATTCGTCACCCCCCAGAGACCCCAGAACCACATCGGGATCTCCTCCAAGAGTGTCCCCATTAGGTCCTCAAACCCCCCTGAGATGTGGCCACCACGGGTTCCTCCCCTTCCCCTCACCCCACATGAACCTTTGTGGTGTCCCCACGTCCCTCAACCCCTGGAGACCCCAGAACCACATTGAGATTTCCCTTCCGACCCCTCCATTGGTCTTTCCAAACCCCGCTGAGATGTGGCCACCACGGGTTCCTCCTGTTCCCCTCCCCCCACACGAACCTTTGTGGTGTCCCCACGTCCCTCAGCCCCTGGAGACCTCAGAACCACATCTGCCCCCTTCTAGAAAGTTCCTCCTTGTCCTCCTCAAACCCCTCTGAGATGTGGCCACCACGGGTTCCTCCTGTTTCCCTTTATCCCAGAAGGACTTATAATGTGTCCATGGATTTGTCACCCTCCAGAGACCCCAGAACCACATCTGGCTCCTTCTAGAAAGTTCCTCCTTGTCCTCCTCAAACCCCCCCGAGATGTGGCCACCACGGGTTCCTCCTGTTCCCCTCACCCCACATGAACCTTTGCGGTGTCCCCATGTCCCCCACCCCACGGTGACCCCATCCCACCTCCCGGTGACGGTGCCACCTCCTGCTCGCAGCTGCGGCGGCAGCACACGGCGCTGCACAAGCTGAACGGGCTGGCGCTGCTGGTGACCTTCCTGGGCTGCCGCGTGCTGCTCTTCCCGTACCTGTACTGGGCCTACGGGCGGCAGCGGGGCCTGGAGCTGCTGCGTGTCCCGGCCGCGCTGCCACCGGCCTACAACGCCGCCGCCGCCGCCATGGCCGCGCCCCAGATCTACTGGTTCGGCCTCATCTGCCGCGGCGCCTGGCGCCTCTTCCGGCCCGCGGGGACACCGCCGCGGCCACCCTGAGGGGACAGCTGGGGACAGCGGGGGGACAGCGGGGTGGCCTTGGGGTGGCCTTGGGAGGACCTCGGGGTGACCTCAGGGGGAGCTGGGGTGGCCTTGGGGTGGCCTCGGGGTGACCTCAGGGTGGCCTCAGGAGGATCTGGGGTGGCCTCGGGGTGGCCTCAGGGTGGCCTCGGGGTGACCTTGGGGGGATCCAGGGTGGCCTCAAGGTGACCTCAGGGTGGCCTCGAGGTGGCCTCAGGGTGGTCTTGGGGTGGCCTCAGGGGGATCTGGGGTGGCCTCAGGGTGGCCTTGGGGTGGCCTCAGGGTGATCTTGGGGTGACCTCAGGGGGATCTGGGGTGGCCTCAGGGTGACCTTGGGGTGGCCTCAGGGTGACCTCAGGGGGATCTGGGGTGGCCTCAGGGTGACCTTGGGGTGGCCTCAGGGTGACCTCGGGGGGATCTGGGGTGACCTCAGGGTGACCTCGGGGAATGTGGGGGGGAGCCAGGGTGGCCTTGGGGTGGCCTTGGGGTGACCTCAGGGTGACCTCGGGGTGACCTCGGGGTGACCTCGGGGGGATCTGGGGTGGCCTCAGGGTGGCCTCAGGGTGGCCTTGGGGTGGCCTCGGGGTGGCCTCGGGGTGGCCTCGGGGTGGCCTCGGGGTGGCCCTGGAGGGTCTTGGGGGTGTCCTGAGAGGTCCTGGGGTGGCTCTGGGGCACCCACGGGTGGCTTTGGGACATCCCTGGGACACCCCAGGGTGGCTCTGGGACATCCATGGGGCAACTTGGGTGGCTTTGGGGACACCTGGGGTGGCTTTGGGGACACCTGGGGTGGCTTTGGGGACACCTGGGGTCTCCATGGGGCACCCACGGGTGGCTTTGGGACATCTGTGGGACACCCCGGGGTGGCTCTGGGACATCCATGGGACATCCATGGGACACCTGGGGTGGCTTTGGGGACACCTGGGGTGGCTTTGGGACCTCCATGGACACCTGGGGTGGCTTTGGGACCTCCATGGACACCTGGGGTGGCTTTGGGGACACCTGGGGTGGCTTTGGGACCTCCATGGACACCTGGGGTGGCTTTGGGGACACCTGGGGTGGCTTTGGGACCTCCATGGACACCTTCGGGCGCTGCCCCTCCCCCATTAAAGCTGCGGCACCTCCGGCACTGAGAGAGAGTCCTGAATGGGGGAGGGGCGGGAGTGACCCCGAGTGACCCCTGAGTGACCCTGAGTGACCCTGAGTGACCCTGAGTGACCCTGAGTGACCCTGAGTGACCAATGAGTGACCCCGAGTGACCAATGAGTGACCAATGAGTGACCCTGAGTGACCCCTGAGTGACCCCTGAGTGACCCTGAGTGACCAATGAGTGACCCCTGAGTGACCCCGAGTGACCCTGAGTGACCCCTGAGTGACCCTGAGTGACCCTGAGTGACCAATGAGTGACCCCTGAGTGACCCCTGAGTGACCCTGAGTGACCCTGAGTGACCCTGAGTGACCAATGAGTGACCCCTGAGTGACCCTGAGTGACCAATGAGTGACCCTGAGTGACCCCTGAGTGACCCTGAGTGACCCCTGAGTGACCCTGAGTGACCCTGAGTGACCAATGAGTGACCAATGAGTGACCCTGAGTGACCCCGAGTGACCCCGAGTGACCCCGAGTGACCCCTGAGTGACCCTGAGTGACCCCTGAGTGACCCCTGAGTGACCCTGAGTGACCAATGAGTGACCATAGAGTGACCAATGAGTGACCAATGAGTGACCATAGAGTGACCAATGAGTGACCAATGAGTGACCCTGAGTGACCCCGAGTGACCCCGAGTGACCCCGAGTGACCCCTGAGTGACCCCTGAGTGACCCTGAGTGACCCTGAGTGACCCCTGAGTGACCCTGAGTGACCAATGAGTGACCCTGAGTGACCCCTGAGTGACCCTGAGTGACCAATGAGTGACCAATGAGTGACCAATGAGTGACCCTGAGTGACCCCTGAGTGACCCTGAGTGACCCTGAGTGACCCTGAGTGACCAATGAGGGACCCCGAGTGACCCTGAGTGACCCCTGAGTGACCCTGAGTGACCCTGAGTGACCCCTGAGTGACCCCTGAGTGACCCCGAGTGACCCCAAGTGACCCTGAGTGACCCCTGAGTGACCCTGAGTGACCCCTGAGTGACCCCTGAGTGACCCCTGAGTGACCAATGAGTGACCCTGAGTGACCAATGAGTGACCCTGAGTGACCCTGAGTGACCCTGAGTGACCAATGAGTGACCCCTGAGTGACCCCTGAGTGACCAATGAGTGACCCCTGAGTGACCAATGAGTGACCAATGAGTGACCAGTGAGTGACCAATGAGTGACCAGTGAGTGACCACAAAATCCCAAATTCAAGAAAATTCCAAATTACAAAAAAACCCCGAATTAACAAAAAATTCTAAATTAAAAAAATGAGAAATTAATTTTAAAATTCCAAATAAATTAAAAAATGACAAATTAATTTTAAATTGCAAATCAATTAAAAATGACAAATAAATTTAAAAATTCAAAATAAATTTTAAAATGTTGAATAAATTTAAAAATTACAAATAGATTTTAAAATTACAGATAAAAAATGAAAAATTAATTTTAAAATGGCAAACAAATTTAAAAATGACAAATAAATTTTACAATTTTAAATAAATTTAAAAATTACAAATAAATTTTAAAATGACAAATTTTAAAATTTTAACTAAAATTTAAAAATGACAAATAAATTAAAAAATGGCAATTAAATGTATAAATTACAAATTAAAAGTGACAAATATTTTTTAAAATTACGGATAAATTAAAAAATTTTAAATAAATTAAAAAATTACAAATAAATTTAAAATTATGAATTGATTTAAATAATTACAATTAAAATTTCCTTGATCTTGGTGTCACCAACCTCAGTGTCACCTTCCCCTCAGTGTCACCCTCAGTGGTGTCACTCTCACCTCAGTGTCACCTTGGTGTCACCAACCCTGGTGTCACCCTCACATTGGTGCCACCCTCACATCAGTGCCACCAACCCTGGTGTCACCCTCACCTCAGTGTCACCTCCTCAGTGCCACCTCCTCCTTGGTGTCCCCAGCCTTGGTGCCACCTTCACCTTGATGTCACCTCAGTGTCACCAACCCTGGTGCCACCCTCACATCGGTGTCACCTTCATTGGTGTCACCCTTGCATCGGTGTCACCTTCTCAGTGTCACCAACCCTGGTGCCACCCCCACCTTGATGTCACCTCGATCTTGGTGTCACCGACCTTAGTGCCACCTTCCCCTCAGTGTCACCCTCATTGCTGTCACCCTCACCTTGATGTCACCTTGGTGTCACCAACCCTGGTGCCACTCTCACCTCGGTGCCACCCTCATTGGTGTCACCCTCGCATCAGTGTCACCTTCTCAGTGTCACCCACCCTGGTGCCACCCTCACCTTGATGTCACCTCGGTGTCACCAACCCTGGTGCCACTCTCACTCTGGTGTCACCTCCTCAGTGTCACCAACCCTGGTGCCACCCTCACCTTGATGTCACCTCGGTGCCACCAGCCGTGGTGCCACCCACACCTCGGTGTCACCTCCTCAGTGCCACCTCCTCCTTGGTGTCCCCAGCCTTGGTGCCACCCTCACCTCAGTGTGACCATCTCAGTGTCACCCACGCTGATGTCACCCTCACCTGTCACCTTCTCTGTGCCACCTCCATTGGTGCCACCTTCAGCTTCGTGTCACCTTCCCCTGAGTGTCACCAACCCTGGTGCCACCCTCACCTTGATGTCACCAAGATCTTGGTGTCACCGACCTTGGTGCCACCCTCACCTTGGTGCCACCTTCATTGGTGTCACCTTCACCTCGGTGTCACCTTCATTGGTGTCACCTTCACCTTGATGTCACCTCAGTGTCACCAACCCTGGTGTCATCCTTGTAACGTCGGTGTCACCTTGATCTTGGTGTCACCAACCCCGGTGTCACCTTCCCCTCAGTGTCACCCTCATTGGTGTCACTCTCACCTCGGTGTCACCTCGGTGTCACCAACCCTGGTGTCACCCTGACATTGGTGCCACCCTCACATTGGTGCCACCAGCCCTGGTGTCACGCTCACCTCGGTGTTACCTCCTCAGTGCCACCTCCTCCTTGGTGTCCCCAGCCTTGGTGCCACCCTCACTTTGGTGTCACCTTCTGGATGTCACCAACCCTGGTGCCACCCTCACTTTGGTGTCACCCTCACGTTGGTGCCACCAACCCTGGTGCCACCCTCACTTTGGTGTCACCCTCACGTTGGTGCCACCAGCCCTGGTGTCATTGTCACCTTGGTGTCACCTCCTCAGTGTCACCCACCCTGGTGCCACCCTCACCTCAGTGTCACCCATGCTGATGTCACCCTCACCTGTCACCTTCTCCGTGCCACCATCATTGGTGCCACCTTCAGCTTCGTGTCACCTTCCCCTGAGTGTCACCAACCCTGGTGCCACCCTCACCTTGATGTCACCAAGATCTTGGTGTCACCGACCTTGGTGCCACCCTCACCTTGGTGCCACCTTCATTGGTGTCACCTTCACCTCGGTGTCACCTTCATTGGTGTCACCTTCACCTTGATGTCACCTCAGTGTCACCAACCCTGGTGTCATCCTTGTAACGTCGGTGTCACCTTGATCTTGGTGTCACCAACCCCGGTGTCACCTTCCCCTCAGTGTCACCCTCAGTGGTTTCACTCTCACCTCGGTGTCACCTCGGTGTCACCAACCCTGGTGTCACCCTCACATTGGTGCCACCCTCACATCAGTGCCACCAACCCTGGTGTCACCCTCACCTCGGTGCCACCTTCATTGGTGTCACCTTCAGCTCGGTGTCACCTTCATTGGTGTCACCCTCACCTCGGTGTCACCTTCTTGGTGTCACCAACCCTGGTGCCACCCTCACCTTGGTGTCACCTTGATCTTGGTGTCACCAACCTTGGTGCCACCCTCACGTTGGCGCCACCAGCCCTGGTGTCATTCTCACCTTGGTGTCACCCCCTCAGTGTCACCCACCCTGGTGCCACCCTCACCTCGGTGTCACCTCCTCAGTGCCACCTCCTCCTTGGTGACCTCAGCCTTGGTGCCACCCTCACCTCGGTGTCACCATCTCAGTGTCACCCACCCTGATGTCACCCTCACCTGTCACCTTCTCCGTGCCACCTTCATTGGTGCCACCTTCAGCTTCGTGTCACCTTCCCCTCGGTGTCACCAACCCTGGTGCCACCCCAAGCCCCGGTCCGTCCCCACCCCCAGCCCGGATTGTCCCCAAATGTCGCAAGAGCCCCGCGGTGACGTCATCGCCATTGCACAACTCCCGCTTCCCCTTTTCCCGCCAATTCCGGCCCCGCCCTGGCGACAGTGAGGGGACAGAGAGGGGACAGAGAGGGGACAGTGAGGGGACAGTGAGGGGACAGTGAGGGACACCCAAGATGGCGCTGAGGAGCTTCATCCCATTCCTGGGTGAGATTCCCATTCCCTGTGCCCATTCCCATTCCCTGTGCCCATTCCCATTCCCTGTGCCCATTCCCATTCCCTGTGCCCATTCCCTGTGCCCATTCCCATTCCCTGTGCCCATTCCCATTCCCTGTGCCCATTCCCTGTGCCCATTCCCTGTGCCCATTCCCTGTGCCCATTCCCTGTGCCCATTCCCATTCCCTGTGCCCATTCCCTGTGCCCATTCCCTGTGCCCATTCCCATTCCCTGTGCCCATTCCCTGTGCCCATTCCCTGTGCCCATTCCCATTCCCTGTGCCCATTCCCTGTGCCCATTCCCATTCCCTGTGCCCATTCCCATTCCCTGTGCCCATTCCCTGTGCCCATTCCCATTCCCTGTGCCCATTCCCTCTGCCCATTCCCATTCCCTGTGCCCATTCCCTGTGCCCATTCCCTGTGCCCATTCCCTGTGCCCATTCCCATTCCCTGTGCCCATTCCCATTCCCTGTGCCCATTCCCATTCCCTGTGCCCATTCCCTGTGCCCATTCCCATTCCCTGTGCCCATTCCCATTCCCTGTGCCCATTCCCTGTGCCCATTCCCTGTGCCCATTCCCATTCCCTGTGCCCATTCCCTGTGCCCATTCCCTGTGCCCATTCCCTGTGCCCATTCCCATTCCCTGTGCCCATTCCCATTCCCTGTGCCCATTCCCATTCCCTGTGCCCATTCCCTGTGCCCATTCCCTGTGCCCATCCCTGTGCCCATTCCCATTCCCTGTGCCCATCCCCATTCCCGGTGCCCATTCCCATTCCCT